AAAAAAACAAAGTTATTTGTTACAATATTTGCAAAGAAAATAAAAAAACTGGATTTAAATAATTTTTCCCTATACTTTTAAAAACAAATGAGATTATTGTAGTTTTTTCTTTTTAAAAAAAAAGGAAATATTACTTCGAAAGTAAAAAAAGAGCTATTTTAAATCTAAATTAAATCTACATTGAGCCTATAATGAACCTAGAATTGACCTATTTTGAACTTAATTTGAATATTTTATCTACATTGAACCTTCTTTTAGACCTTCATAAACACAAATTAGAACTATTTTAAACCTAAATTGGATCTAATTTTAGACTACAATGAACCTAGAATTGATCTATTTTGAACTCACTTTGTATACCTAAAGTAAATCTACATTGAATCTATTATTATATCTCCATGCACCTTATTAGACTTACTTTAAACCTAAATTAAACCTAGTTTGGGCATACAATGAACCTATAATTTGCCTAGAATTAAGCTCATTTTAACCTAAATTAGACCTACATTAAACCTACTTTTATACCTAGAATTAACCTACTTTTAAATTTCCATGAACTTAAATTAGATCTACTTAAAACCTAAATTTAACCTATTTTGAGCCTAAACTGAACCTATATTAAAATTTACCATGAGTCTAGAATTGACATAATTTTGAACTTACTTTGAACCTAAATGAGACCTACATTGAACCTACTTTTAGCCTTCTAAGAACCTAAATTATACCTACAATTAACCTACTTTTACATCTCCATGAACCTGAATTAGATTTACTTTAAATTTAAATTTAACCTAAATTGATCCTACTTCGAGCCTAAACTGAACCTATATATTAAAACCTACCATGAGTCTAGAATTGACATAATTTTGCACCTACTTTGAACCTACATTTAGTCCTTCATGAATCTAAATTGGAGCTACTTTAAACCTCAATTCAATCTACGTTGAGTCTAAAATAAACCTCTTTTAAAACCAAATAATGTGCTTAGAGTAGACCTACTTTGAACCTTCATTAGACCTACATTGAACCTACTTTTAGCCTTCTAAGAACCTAAATTAGACCTACAATTAGCTTACTTTTAAATTTCAATGAACTTAAATTAGATCTACTTAAAACCTAAATTTAACCTAAATTTAACCTATTTTGAGCCTAAACTGAACCTATATTAAAACCTACCATGACTCTAGAATTGACATAATTTTGAACCTACCATGACTCTAGAATTGACATAATTTTGAACCTACTTTGAACCTAAATGTGACCTATATTGAACCTACGTTTAGTCCTCCATGAATCTAAATTGGAGCTACTTTAACCCTAAATTAGACCTACAATGACCTAAGATGATTCTAAAATAATCCTTTTTTCAAACCTATAATACGCCTAGAATTGACTCATTTTGAACCTACTTTTAGACTTCTATGAATCTAACTTAATCCTACTTTAAACCTCAATTCAACATACGTTGAGTCTAAAATAAACCTCTTTTAAAACCAAATAATGTGGCTAGAATAGACCGACTTTGAACCTTCATTAGACCTACATTGAACCTACTTTAAGCCTTCTAAGAACCTAAATTAGACCTAGTTTAAAACTTAATTAAATCTAGTTTGAATATACAATGAACCCATAATGTACCTTAGAATTAACATAATTTTAACCTTTAGACCTACAATTAACCTACTTTTACATCTCCATGAACCTGAATTATAGATCTACTTTAAACTTAAATTAAACCTAAATTGATCCTACTTCGAGCCTAAACTGAACCTATATATTATAACCTACTATGCGAGCCTAGAATTGCCATATTTTGAACCTACTTTAAATCTATAATTGGGACCTACTTTGAACATACATTTAACCTCTTTTCGACCTTTATAAACCTAAATTAGACCTTTATAAACGGGGCGTTTCTTTTCTTGAGAGACTAAAAGAAAAATTGATTTTGCATTTATACTTCGTGATTTTTGTTTTGTTTGGAGTGCTAAATAAAGTATGCTAAAAGATTTTGCAAAATTTTTAATATTTTTTGCAAGATATTTGCAATTAAACAATTTCGTCACTTTTTTTGCATGAATTTTTATCTCGCAAACTATATTGATCGGAGAAAAAAAAAACTTTTTAATTAAAAATTTTTAGGGAAAACATTGAAATTTGATAATATAATTTTTTAAATTAACAAAAGTGCGATTCCAAGTGATATTTTGACTTTTTCGAAGTAGGTTAACCGATTGCAATGAAACTTTGGAATTTTGTTATATATAGTAAGACTAATCTTTAACGTAAATTTCAGCTTAAAATATTTGTTAGTTTACGAGATTTGCAATAATAACAAAAACTTTTAAACTGCTATATCTTCCATTCTAATAATCAGATTGAGGTCTACTTTTTTTTTGAAAATGTCAAGGAAAATGAGAGGAAAAAATCTCTTTCAGAACAATTTTTTATAATTTTACAACTAAAAAAATTTATTAAATAATAATTGAATAAATTTCAAGCGACAATCTAAAATTCAATCACTTAAACGCTAAAATGATTTTACCAGTGTTTTCTTTAATATTACAAAGGAATCCAATTGTAAATGCAAGTTGAACTTTGTTAATTTTAATAATTTACGAGTATAAACAATTGCGATTTCTGCTTGTTGACGTGCAGACGACATTGCGCACGCAGCATTCTCACGTAGCCAATTTAGTCCACCAATCACGTCAGCTGGTTACAGGAGAATGCTGCGTGCGCAATGTCGTCTGCACGTCAACTAGCAGAAATCGCAATTGTTTATACTCGTAAATTATTAAAATTAACAAAGTTCAACTTGCATTTACAATTGGATTCCTTTGTAATATTAAAGAAAACACTGGTAAAATCATTTTAGCGTTTAAGTGATTGAATTTTAGATTGTCGCTTGAAATTTATTCAATTATTATTTAATAAATTTTTTTAGTTGTAAAATTATAAAAAATTGTTCTGAAAGAGATTTTTTCCTCTCATTTTCCTTGACATTTTCAAAAAAAAAGTAGACCTCAATCTGATTATTAGAATGGAAGATATAGCAGTTTAAAAGTTTTTGTTATTATTGCAAATCTCGTAAACTAACAAATATTTTAAGCTGAAATTTACGTTAAAGATTAGTCTTACTATATATAACAAAATTCCAAAGTTTCATTGCAATCGGTTAACCTACTTCGAAAAAGTCAAAATTTCACTTTTTTTTTTTTGATTTTTTCGAGAAATTTTTTTTTTTGTTGAAATTTTTACTGCAACATCCTATTGGCGCGGCTTGCTTAAAAAAAAAAAATTGAAAACAATTTATATACAATTTTTCCATCTTGATTCTTTTACTGGTTTTAAAAATTATATGAAAAATAATTTCAAGAAATTATTATTTATTTAAAAAAAAAGTAAATATACGTTTCAAACAAGTACACATAAAAAAAATATTAAATTTTAAAAAAATAAAATTTTTGAAAAAAAATTGATACTATATTAAGATATAATTAAAGAGATATATTATAATTTTCATTTAATGGTGCTAAATCATAAAATTCAAAAGAATATATAGAACACAAAATTTCAGTAGCATAAAAATAGATGAGTTAATATATAAACTTTTAAAAGCTCGTTCTAAAATCGTTAAAGTAACTTCAAACTTGTTAAATTTAATAGCTATTACCAGTATACCAATATACTTTTAAAATAAAATCTTTGTTATAATTTTTAAAGTCTTAAAATTTTCTGCTAACAATTTTTGTAATGAGAAAAAGAAAAAAATTTTACTTTTCAAATTAAGTGAAAAATTTTTGAACCAACAATATATTTTTTGTTTTTTGTATTAACACAATTTTTTTTTTTTTTTTTGGTTATTTTAAATATAAAATTTTTATTGACACAAATAAATATATTTAATTGATTTAATAAAACGTTTGGTTGATTTTAGTAAAAATTTTTTTTCAATTAAAAAAAGAATTTGTTTGAATCAAATAAATATATATATATTTGTTAATTCAATTAAAAACTTTCGTTATAACTGCTTCACAGAAAAAATTAAAAGGCATTAAAATAAGCTGCAACGCGCTTATTATTTTAATCCAATTTTGCTTATTTTAATCCATTTTGATATTAAAATAAGCAAAATTGGATTAAAATAATAAGCGTTGGAGCTTATTTTAATGCCTTTTAATTTTTTTTTTCTGTGTTATATATAGCAAAACATTTATTTTGTTGAATCAACAAAAAAGTTTTATTTTGTTCAATCAAATTTTTTCCTCATTCTTTTTTCTTTCACCCAAAAAAATTTGTTAATATAAACCAAACGTTTATTTATGTTTAAAAAAATATTTTTTTTAAATTAAACAAATTTTATTTCAAGTATAACTAAAAAAAATTATGTTAATCCAAAAAAATCGTATATTTGATTCAAACAAAATTATTATTACTAATTTATAATATATTTATTTACAATCTTATTAATAATAATAATAATTACAATAATAATAATAATTATTATTATTATAATAAAATTATGAAAAAATTTTATTATTATAATTTATAAGGAATTAAAAAAAAAAAATTTCAAATTCATAAAAAAAAATTCTAATTTTAAGAGAGAATACACAAATTTTTTGAAGCTCCTCTCCCCTCCCCCCTCCAGCCACCTTTTTCTCTCCCAAAAATGGCGAGAATAAAAGGCATAAATGAGTTTTTATTGAATTTTATTATCTAAAGCGAGGGACAGAGACTATCGGAATTTTTTTTTCTTCCCTCCTGTCTAGTTTAGTCTAGCAGAATAAATCGTTTCCTGAGGGAGAAGCCTATATAGGTAATATATATATATATATATATATACACACACATACATGGTTACTTCGAAGGATATATGATTGAATAGATTTTAACCGCAGAGAAAATTAAAAAAAAAAAAAAATTCACAGAAATTTAAATATTTTAAAAGATGCTAAAAATTGAAAAAAAAAATGATAAAATAATAATAATTTTACCTGATCAATGGGAAGATTAACGAAATCCGCGAGCCAAGCAAATGTTTGAAAACCAAAATAAGTTTCATCCTCAATTGCCGTCATGATAACGACCATCTCGCTTGGAGCAGACTCAACTGACAACTGACACATAGAAAATGCTGTTCCTTTCATCTGCTCACCGGGCGCCGGCCGGTTCAGGTTCGTCCCTGTCTTTGAATGTACCCCACCCCCATTTTTTTTTTTAAAAACAAAAATTCATTTGAAATATTTTTTTTTTTTTAATTCGATAAAAAATATTCGATTTTTTTTATAGTTATAATAATAATAATATTAATAATATTAATTTTTTTTATCGATTGACATTTAAAAAAATAAATAAATGAACATCGACTTCATTTTTCCGCAAACATATGCTATATTGTTAATATTTTTTTTTTTTATTATTATATAAATTTTATTTATAATTTTTCAAATGGTAAATAATTGCTAAAAAATTATTATTTAAATAAGTTTTTTTTTTTTTTGAAGTTTAATAAACGAATCTTTCATTTTTTTTATAATAAAATGTGTACAGTTTTACCCCAATTGCTTAAAATGGGTATACCCTACCCTCACAACAAAAGGATATTCAGGATATCCTTGGGACGTCCTGGGGATATCGATTTGTTTTCGGCGGTTTGGATATCCCTGGGATATCTTAGAGATGTCCATGGATATCCAGAGGATATCTTAGGGATATCCGAATCGCCAAAAACAAATGGATATACCCAGGACGTCCCAGGGATATCCTGAATATCCTTGTGTTGTGAGGGTAATAACACAAGATATCTTGGGATATATTGATAATATCCCGCAGATATCCTAGGGATGTCCTATGGATATCAAAAGGATCTCTTAAGGATATCCAAAAAATCGGCGGTTTGGATATCCTATGGATATCTTCTGGATATCTCTATAGACTTTCATAAATGTCCTCCAGATATCCCATAGATATCGTCAGGATATCCCACAGATATCATCACACGGAAAGAAAAGGAATGGTTGGGCCAACCATATAGGTATTGATAAATACGTCCCATCAATATTATATGGTTACCACAACCATATCTTTAGTTGATACAACCATAGTATGGTTGGCCTAACCAAAGGTTAGGTTGTCACATCAAAATGACGAAAAATTGCAAATTTGATGTGTCAACCTGACCTTTGGTTGCGCCAACCATACTATGGTTGTATCAACTAAAGATATGGTTGTGGTAACCATATAATATTGTTGGAACGTATTTATCAATACCTATGGTTGGCCCAACCATTCCTTTTTCTCCTTGCAGGATATCCCATAGATATCGTCAGGATATCCCACAGATATTTTCAGGATATTCTCAGTATATCTTCTGGATGTCAAAAGAAGATATTCTCAGGATACTGTTTTTAAAGTCATTATGAGACTACGAGTGAGAATATTCTGTGAATTAAATTTTATATATAAATAAAATAAAATGCAACTTGTTTTTCGAGAAAGTTGTTTAATTTGAAAATTTTATTAACTAATTTTTTTTCTCATTCGTGATTCATTCCTTTATTCATATGCTTAATATTTTTAGAAAATAAATTGGCTTTAAACAATATAAATTCTTCCCCGCAAATAATGAATAACTATTAATATTAATTATACATTAAGTGCATATGAGTTTATTTAAAAACTTTGAAAAATGCGTTTCAAATCTTCATTTAAAATAAATTAGAAGCTCATAAGATTTTTGTTTTTATTATATTATTATTATTCATTATATTAGCTTAACAATTTTAACCTTTAAAAATATATGTTGAGATATTAAATATCCCGTGAATATCCTAGGAATATCCCACGGACATCCTGAGGATATCCCATGGACATCCTGCGATATAATATCCAATAGATATTTTTTGTAGATGTCTTAGGGATATCCTGTGGATATCCTATGGATGTCCTGTTGATGTCCCACAGACCGGCGGTTTGGATATCCTATTGATATCCTAAGATATCCTATGGATATACCAAGATATCCTATGGATATCCCAAGATATCCTATGGATATCCCAAGATATCCTGGGGACCATTCTAGGATATCGATCATTGATATGGATATCTTATGGATATCCTAAGGATATCCTTTTGTTATGAGGGTAAAATAAAATCAAATTTTTTGATTCAAAGAAATCAATTTTTCTTAGATTCAAAAAAGTTAATTACTTTGATTTAAAGAAATCATTTTTTTTTTTTTTTTTTGATTTTTTATTATATATAACATTCTACACCCAGAGAATTGTTTTATTTGAACCAAATATATAATATATTTGAGTTATAAATAAACGTATATTTGTCTCACAGCCTACTAATATAGCCTATTTATTTTTGCGTAAATAACAATTTTTAATTTTTATTTAATTAAAATAAAAAAGTTATTTAAATCAAAAATAAATATTTATTAGGCTGTGAGACAAATGTATCATATCTTTAAGTATGTATATGTGCGTATAGAATACTTCACCTAAAGAAATAAGATTTCTTTAATTTAAAGAAACTATCATTTCTTTGACTTGTTTTTTTTTTTATTCAAAATAAAAAATTTTTGAAACAAAAAAGCTTCTTAATTTCAAAAGGAATTTTCTTTGAATGAAAGAAATTATTGTGCATTAAATCAAAGAAATTCTAACATTTTTTATATATCAAAGAAACATTTATTTGAATTAAATAAAAAATTTCTTTGAAATGAAGACAATTTTTTTTTTTTAATTAAAGATAATTTGTTTGAAACAAATGAATTTTCTTTGTATCAAAAAAATAAAATTTGTCAATAAAATTGATTTCTTTGAATCAAAGAAATTGACTTTTTTTAATCAAAAAATTGATTTCTATATATAAGTATATATAGAGTACTATTGAGAATACGATAGTTTTTTTTAAACTTGTCATTGAAAATCCAATAGAACGGTGATTAGTTATCAAATAGTTATTAACTGAAAAATTACCTTTACATAATATACCGCTATAATGTTTCCCATTTAGAACCACATAATTATACGGATGTAGCTAATTATGAATTTTCCATTAATTTTTTCAAATACTTTTTTTTTCTATATACTATAAATTCATCACAATGATATTATATATTTATAATTAAAATTTTTTTGTTCTAAAAGATAACAATAAAAATAAGGAAATTTTCTTTTCCTTATTTATATAGTACCTATATATACATATATATATAAACAAAAGAAAGAAAAATAATTTTCTCAAAAGTCAACTTACGTGTACGCTTTTCCTCGTTGATAGTTTTATTTACAGAAAAAATATTTAAATTCATTGACCCTAAAAGATAAGTTTCATTAAATATAATTAATATTAATATTAACTATTACAATTATTTAATTATTATTATTATTATGTAAGGGTCATCCATAAAGCATGTGATACTTTAGGGGGTAGGGGGGGGGGGTCAGCAAAATATCACACTCCATATTAATCGGTATTGGAAAAAGCATCACAAGGGGGAGGGGGGGGGTGTTAAAATTCTGAAAAAATGTATCACATGCTTTATGGATGACCCTTTATTTATTTATTTATTATTATTATTATTATTATTATTATTATTATTATTACTAGGGAGGCCCCTAAATCTTGTATTTTTGAGGTTATGTTCCTATATTAACTCTAAGTTTTGATCTAATTTTGAGGTTATGTTTAAAACTCAGAGCTAACAGTCCGCTTGACTTATGACCTATCAATATTCAAAGCCAAAATATTAACAAACCCTGTAAACATAACCTCAAAATTAGGTAATAAGTAAGTGTCAAGAGGCAAAAAAAAAACCACAAAATTAGATAATAAATGTCAAGAGGCAAGCATAACCTCATAATTCAAGGTCAAATATTATTGACATAGGTCAAGAAAACGCTATGTAATTTAGAGGTTAAAATCGGCTAACATAACCTCAAAATAAGGTTAATTTCTAGATCGCAAGACGAAGCTAAATTTGAGGTTAAAATCGACTGACATAACCTCAAAATTTCAAATTCTAGATCACAAAAAGGCTTAAAAAAATCTTTTTGTAATATATAGGTAAGTTATAATAATAATAATAATAATAATTATTATTATTATTCAAATTAAAAAAATAGAAATCTATTTAGTTACAAAACATGTATTTTAAAAAAAATGAACATAATTTTTAAATTGTGAAGGAATTATTCTACTTGATCCTTGAAATAATTCTAATAATAACGCTATCATCCCATAAAAGCGAGAAATACAATGGAACGCATTGAATATGTCTTTTTACGAGAATTTAATTAACGATATCTCAACATAGTTTTTAATAATCGTAATATATATATATATATATATATATATATATATATATATATATATTATATATATACTCATGCGAATAATTAAAATCATTCATATATTATATTATTCAACACTTGTTCCGTTGCGCACTATATAAACCGCGAGAGTTGATTAAATTTCAAGTTCAAAATCATATTCGAGAACCAATAAATATTACTTAACCCCCCTTATTTTATAACTATTGTGACTCATTTTTTTGTTCTCAAGATAATCATTCAATTAAATTGCATTTCAAGGTCAATATACATATATTAACAACGAATACTACATATATATTTATCTTCGATACAATATATATATATATCAATTGATAGATAGCTATCTTATCGATATTTTCATGTTTTTAAAAAAATAATGTTATTTTTAATTTTTTTTTTTTAATAAACAATAATATTCTGCAGTGCAAAACTGAAATATCGTAATTTTTTTAGGTTATGTTTCATCTTTTTTTTTTTAGAAAAAATATGGAAGATCCACGGAAGCTGGATACAATTATTTCTATCAAAATTAAAATCTAATTTTCCAGATATTATTATAATCTTTATATTTTTTTTGAAAAAAGAAACGTAATGGGCAACATAACCTAACAAAATTACGTTATTTCAGTTTAGCACGGTAGTATTATAATATGGGATTTCTTCTACTTAAAATTCTTCTATTACTATTTAAAATCGGCTGACATAACCTCAAAATTAAAACAGTTTTGTCATTAATACAATGACGCTACCGATAGATGGCGTATCCACCAATCAGAATTGCTTATTATAGCCTTAGTTGCGAAAAATGGAACTAAGAGTAGAACAAAAACATAAACCACGCCTCTTAATAAAATTTTTAGAATGTGTGATTGAATAAAATAACAAGACTGCATTAACATGCAACAATCGTACATTTATTTGAAAAATAACGTATTTTCTATATATATATATATATATATAGAATATTATTATAGAGAGAAAAAACGAAAATGTCTACATATAAATTTTTTTATAATCCAGGACACATTTCTGGAAAAATATATAATTTTTTTAATGACTAAGATTCAAGTTCAGAAAGTAATGAATATTCATTAAATTATTGTATATATGAATATTCCTTATTATATTATATTTATGTATATAATATGTATATATATACGATAATTTATAATCTACAATAGTTTTGTAAATTATTCATAATAGTCTTGATATATTTTGTCCTATATATAGTTTTTTATGTACATATAGATGAATAATTTCATTATATTTAATTCAAAAGTCGTTGCGACGTATTTTTTTCACAAATGACGAAAAATTTTGGTTTAAATGTAATTAACATAACCTCAAACTAAAAAGTACTTTTTAACATAACCTAAAAGTATATTTAACCTTTAAACAGAAAAAAATCATATTTAGTGCATTTAGCGGTCTAACAGAGCGCTATTCCTTTTTTTGGGGGGGGGGGGTATTTTTCTAGTAATTTTAAAGATTAAAATTGATTTTTAATCCTCTACGAGAGGTTAAACACGGTACGCCAGAAGGTGGTTTAAATAAAAATGAATTGGCACTTAAAAATACTTTTTGATTATGATTCTTAGATGAATAAAAAAACATTTCTCAATAGTTTTTAAAATCAGTTTACGTGCCCGATTTAAATAAAATTGAGTTTTTTTTACATAAAAACAGTGTTTTATGGGGAATCAGAATTTATTTAATCTAATAAATACTGTAATAAATGATAAAATAATTACTTATTTTCAATTTTTACATATAAATAATTATATTGCTGTAGTGTTTGTGTCCAATTTTAAAAAATTAAATTATAATGTTAAAAGAACGATTTTAAGAGTGATAAAATTTATTTAAGAGAGATCGAATGATCTCTGAAATTTTTTGGCAAGAAGAGACCTTTAATTTTATCGTTCTATAAAAACGGCACTAAACGTGAAAATGATAAACATTAATTTTAAAATACTTTCTTTTCGAAAGACGGACACTTTTTACAAAAGCAGCTAGAGATCCTTATCTTATATATAAATTTCCTAAATCCTAAAGATTATACGAATCCATATACAAAAACACGATTGCAAAACGAAAAGTAATATAATGAGGGGTTCATTACCTCCTGCCGCCGTCAGATGGCAGCAGCATGCAGGGCGCACAAACTCGCAGCTGTTATTAGATTACTTTTCTACTTTTTGTTTTGCAACCATATTTTTCTATGGATTCGTACAGTCTTTTGGATTTAGGAAATTTATAAGATGAGGATTTTGGCTGATTTTGTTAAAAGTGTTCGTGTTTCGAGAAAAAAAGTATTTTAAAATCAATACTATTTCACGTTCAGAGCGATAATTAAAGCTCTCTCTTCTTGCCAAAGAATTTCAGATACCGTTTCGACACTCTCAATGCATAAATATAAAAACGAAACAAGAAAATAACTTAATTGTTAATAAATTTATATGAACCCAAATCTAAAACATCTATTATCTATATTACATTAAATAAATTCTGGTTCCTCATAAAATATACTATTTTTAAATATTTAAAACTCAATTTGTTTTAAATTGGGCACGTAATTTTAAAACCTATTGAGAAAAGTTTTTTATTCATCTTAGAACCATATAATCAAAAAGAATTTTTAAGTGACAATTCATTTTTATTTAAACCTCCTTCTGGCGCACCGTGATAAAGGCAGTAGATATATTTTGCGTCTGCGCAGAAGCAAACAATTTGCGCAGACGCAGAATATATCTACTGTCTTTAACCTCTTGGAGGATTAAATTTAACTCACGAACGTTGAAAGAAAATTTTCTCGAAGTTCTCTTTTAAATATTTGTTCGCCATCTACATTGAAACTAAAATTTTGGAAAATTTTCAACAGCCTTTTCTTGAAAACAAGATATGGTAAAATGCTTTTTCCTTTATGGATAATTGATTATTGGCAAGATATACACCAGCTAAAACTTTTTTTGAGTTTAAAATAATAAAAAAAAATTTCTTGTCAATAAATTAAATATGAGCACTTTTTTCACAAAAACTGTAACAGTACTTTCTCAGAAATTACAATCAAAAATGCAATTTCCATTTGGAAAATTAATAAACGCTAAAAAATACACGACCTAAGATTTACCAATCACAAAAATAAGAAAAAAAAAGTTTTTTAACATAACATATTTTACTCATTATGACAGCCGTTTGGCAGCGGTTGTATATGTCACCAGACGTTTCGTAGTTTTGCCGAAAGGAGGAGATTGGCGCTGTTGCTAACCACCTGAAATACATAATCTACCAAAGGGCTGTCACAATCAGTAAAGCAGTATCAATATGTTAAATATTTAATAAAATACTTTTTTTTGTTATTTTCGTGATTGGTAAATCTTAGATCGTGTATTTTTTGGCGTTTATTAATTTTCCAAATGGAAATTGCATTTTTGATTGTAATTTCTGAGAAAATACTGTTACAGTTTTTGTGAAAAAAGTGCTCATATTTAATTTATTGACAAGAAATTTTTTTTTATTTTTTTAACTCAAAAAAAGTTTTAGCTGGTGTATATCTTGCCAATAATCAATTATCCATAAAGGAAAAAGCATTTTACCATATCTTGTTTTCAAGAAAAGGCTGTTGAAAATTTTCCAAAATTTTAGATGGCGCTGTCTCACTTGGACCTGGCCTTAAATAAAATTGCAACGACTTAGAATAAAATTTAACAGAATAATCCAGGTACATAAAAATACAACTTTGCAAATTTCTCTCTATCACTGATGAGAAATTTTTGTTTTCCATTTCTTTTTTTTTATACAATATACTATTATTTATTTAAATTAATCACCAGATTGTTTTTTTTTTTATTCAACAATCTATTTACAATTATTTGCGACGAAAATCGCGAATCACATAAAGCATTATATTCATTGTGCTTTTTATTTTCTCTTCTACTTATCAAAAAAAAAAAAAAAAATGAGATTCGAATTAACCCTATCTCTCAAGGTTTAAATTCTTTATATCACAAAAATTTGGTGATTTTGGAGATAAGCTCGACACTATCAAAAATGCAAGAATGGTCCTATTTTTTTTATGTCTAAAATCTAGAAACATTAATTCTTCGTTTTGAAAATTTGTGTCTTTTTGGGGGGGTACTATTTACAAAATATTTTGATATAAAAAGTCAATTTTGAAAAATTCTAAAAGGTTTAAAAAAATTTTTTTTTGAGAAACTTGGAAAATATATATCTATTCCATGAAATTGGGGGCTTAGTTTTTTAAAATATCGAATATTCACAACAACAAAAAAAAAACCTTATTTGAGGTAGTAGGTATTTTTTCTTATATAATATATATTACTTAATCTTGATTTTGTGTAATTTCAATTTAAAGCCCAATAGTTCTGAGAGAATTCCTGACAAGGCCGATAGTAAAACAACTTTTGTGATTGTATAAAGATATGGATTTGCCGAAAGTCCTGAGATTTTGAATGGACTTTCCAATTCCTGTTGGAAAAACGAAAAAATTATCAAAAAAATTTACAAAAGAATTATAAATAAAATTTACCTTTATTAATTCAGCTGCTAATTTTAATACACTATTAGCAACCATAAGTTCATCTTTTTTATGGGGTTTCTGCTCTATTTGTAAATACAAATTTATCTGAAAAGAAAATTTAATTTTTACCATCTAATTAATTAATTAAAAATTTTTTTTTAACGAAACTTACCTGTTCTGTTATAAGAACAGAAAGATTTCTATATTTTTTATTAATTTTTGTGCCAAGTGTCATAAATCTTAAGACAAAAATTCCAAGAGCAAAACTCCAAAATAAAGCTTCAGCGCTATAGGGCGAATGTAAACTTTCCAGATCCTGAAATATTTAGAAAATAAATTTTCAACTCGAAAGTATTTTCAAAAATATAATTCAAAAATTTAAATTATACCTTGATCAATTCTAAGCTAATAAACGAGAGTAACAATAGTGTGAGAATAAAAATAGAGGATACAATAACATCCACTGAACGTTGCGGACCTCTTCTCTAGAAACAGAAATTAATTATAAAAATGTGGACAAAAATCTAGAATTGGCAAAAAAAAAAAAAAAAAAAAATTCCCTTTTACCTTTAAGTACGATCTAATACTGAGCCAAGTTTTAATATTGCGCACTTTATTCAATCGAAAATGTGGCAAATCTGATTTTCTCGCTCGTCTCGATGATGTTAAGTGAGAAAATAATTTTGCATAAAGCAAACGTTGCTTGTAAGTTCTCTCTGCCACAGCCAGTAAAAAGAAGAGAAGAGATGAGAGAACAAGCCTCTCGAAACCTGATATCAAAACTACAATTCGTTCCCTGCAAACAAATTTTGATTGAAAAATTCCCTATTTTAAAGTATTTGAGCCTCTTTTTTTTTGTTATTTAATCATATATAAATACAAACCAAAATGAAGGACCAAATGCAATATCGACAATTTTACAATACATTTCCATATAAATTCCCATATTGGCAAATGAAAATTCATAAGGCAATTCCAAAATTGTGGAATTATTAATAGATTCAGCATTTATACGATCAGTCAATCTTCTTATTGAAGGCATTAATGAGATCAATAATGCGAGAATTAATCCTCCATAAAAATAATCCATACTCTCTGTTGTTGATTCGGCTCTTTCAATTATTGCCGAACTTATATCCAATACTGAAAGTTCAGCTTTCTTTATATCGCGACGTGTCCAAATTGTACATGATACTGGAATTTAATATTCAACTATATATGTAGAATTGTTAAATTATTGAATAACACGTGCCAAATAAAATTTAATTAAATTTTCTAATCAAAAAAATAATTTCCCAAAGGTTCTCCGAATCCGGCATCAGAATTGATGTCTAGGTAAATTCTTATTTCGGATTCGAAAAATCTTTGTCTGATTCTTGATTAGAAAATTTTAAAAAATTTAATTTACCTCGATCGGATGTTGTGCAATTTGACAAAATTGAAGGAGGTAATTCAAATTCCCATGAAAATGGATGCTCCACAAATTCGTTGCAATTGAAATTTGTCTCACTGTGAAGATCAGATTCCTCGAATTCCGAACTGTAAAACAATTATATTCTTTCTGATGCAAAATTTTTAATTTACGGTTCATTCAATATTTAGAGGGTTTATTTACAAACAAGGTCTTTTACTATTTCTTTATATGTAATAGGATTTCTCTTTAGAGAAGGAATTAACGGATTAACGAAAGAATTTCGGGAAATAAGCATTTGGGATTTTGAAAATTCGGATTTTTACACATTCGGGAAATTCGTTACGGGAAAATGACTTAAATATTGTAAATATCATAAATATGCTGATGATTTTAAATTTTATTTGTTTGGTGTTTTGTATCCATTGGTGTTTTTTTCTGAATGACAGTAGCTTAATTCTGGAAAGATTTGTTTTTGACATTGGCAAGTAATTTAATTATTGTAAATATCATAAATATGCTGATGATTTTAAATTTTATTTGTCAGGTGTTTTTTTTCTGAATAACAGTAGCTAAATTCTAGAGGGATTTGTTTCTGACCTTGGCAAGAAACTTAATTATTGTAAATATCATAAATATGCTGATGATTTTAAATTTTATTTGTTTGGTGTTTTGTATCCATTGGTGTTTTTTTCTGAATGACAGTAGCTTAATTCTGGAGAGATTTGTTTTTGACATTGGCAAGAAATTTAATTATTGTAAATATCATAAATATGCTGATGATTTTAAATTTTATTTGTAAGGTGTTTTTTTTCTGAATAACAGTAGCTTAATTCTGGATGGATTTGTTTCTGACCTTGGCAAGAAACTTAATTATTGTAAATATCATAAATATGCTGATGATTTTAAATTTTGTTTGTCTGGTGTTTTTTTCTGAATAACAGTAACTTAATTCTGGAGGGATTTGTTTCTGGCCTCGGGAAGAAACTTAAATATTGTAAATATCATAAATGTGCTGATGATTTTAAATTTTATTTGTTTGGTGTTTTGTATCCATTGGTGTTTTTTTCTGAATGACAGTAGCTTAATTCTGGAGAGATTTGTTTTTGACATTGGCAAGAAATTTAATTATTGTAAATATCATAAATATGCTGATGATTTTAAATTTTATTTGTAAGGTGTTTTTTTTCTGAATAACAGTAGCTTAATTCTGGAGGGATTTGTTTCTGACCTTGGCAAGAAACTTAATTATTGTAAATATCATAAATATGCTGATGATTTTAAATTTTGTTTGTCTGGTGTTTTTTTCTGAATAACAGTAACTTAATTCTGGAGGGATTTGTTTCTGGCCTCAGGAAGAAACTTAAGTGTTCTAAATATCATAAATGTGCTAATGATTTTAAATTTTTTTTGTTTGGTGTTTTGTATCCATTGGTGTATTTTTCTGAATGACAGTAGCTTAATTCTGGAAAGATTTGTTTTTGGCAAGTAATTTAATTATCGTAAATATCATAAATATGCTGATGATTTTAAATTTTGTTTGTCCAGTGTTTTTTCTGAATAACAGTAGCTTAATTCTGGAGGGATTTGTTTCTGACCTTGGCAAGAAACTTAATTATTGTAAATATCATAAATATGCTGATGATTTTAAATTTTGTTTGTCTGGTGTTTTTTTCTGAATAACAGTAGCTTAATTCTGGAGGGATTTGTTTCTGACCTTGGCAAGAAACTTAATTATTGTAAATATCATAAATATGCTGATGATTTTAAATTTTATTTGTTTGGTGTTTTGTATCCATTGGTGTTTTTTTCTGAATGACAGTAGCTTAATTCTGGAGAGATTTGTTTTTGACATTGGCAAGAAATTTAATTATTGTAAATATCATAAATATGCTGATGAATTTAAATTTCATTTGTCTGGTGTTTTGCATTCACTGGAGTCTTTTTTTTTTAATTAATGCGAAAGGCACAGACAGACATTAACGAAATTTTTGCATTATATAGTCTCTTGTAAAAATAGTAACAGTTTTTTCGGTGCATAGTGTGCCTATGAAAATATATCAACAAACGGCTGACGGGAATTTATTCCATATGTCTTCCCGATTCGAAATTTTTAAGATTTGAAATCCTAGTTGCTCGTCTTTTCGAAATTATAACGTGGAAGCTAAATATTTGCCATGAAAAAGCGCAACCATCTCAATTTGTAATTATTTGACTTGCTTTTGTATCAATAAAACATTCTGAAAACTAATGCAATTATTATGCCTTTTTTTAATTATTGAAAATTACAAACCTATAACTACATTCGTCGCTATTAGTCGTAACTCCCATCCATTCTGTAGCTGATGTTGTCGCCTCAGTAAAATGAATATTCGACGTTTCTTCACATTCACCCTCTTCTTCACTCTCACATTCCTGTACATTTTTTCTCGAACTCGTCGAATCGGAAGGTAATTCTCTTCCCTTCTGCAAAGAAACAAAATAAAAGACTAAAAATTTTTAAAATTCCCCTAAGGAAACCTCTTAAGTTATGTGTTTTTTTTTTAAATTACCCTTGCTTTGCTTTTTTTTAAAAGAAAGTATTTCTCGAGGGAAGCTAGTTAAAAAATCAGTTAATTTTTTTTTAGAAAGACAGTGTATAAATTTTTATCACTATTAGCTTAAAATGAGTGTATAGCTAGAAAATAAAAACAAGCGATTATGAGATGATGAACATACCAAACTATTGCAGCCATCTCCATCACTATCGGAATAATTTCCCCCCTTTTTCGAAGTATCGGGTGCTGCATGTAAAGTAGGAAATAGATAATTTTTAGTCATTTTATGCCATCTTTCTTCTTGCCAGTGTTTGAAAAAAGCGTTTGTCTAATTTTTAACTAAGCCACTAATCAATTTTCCCATAAGAAATTTATATTTGCCATTTTAAATGAATTTAAAATTATAATCAAATATATGATTAGTGACTTCAGTATCAACTAAAACTTAAACTAATGGGAAAGAAATTAATAATTTTCGATTATTCTACCAGAGAAGCGTCTTGAGACTGAATATTCCTGTTCAGTAACTTCTACGACGTTTGCTCTTCCCTCGAGATTCTCGTTTTTATTTTCTATTGTAGGCGCAATTACTTCCCGTTCGTTGTCACTGGAAACATTTCCATTTAGGCTCTCAAAACCGTCGTCATCTTGATGAACAACGTTTCCATTTTCTACAACTTCCTCAACGGGTTCTGTAAAGATTATTCGTGTTTATATATTAAAATTTTTTGCCAAAAGAAATACAAATTACCTGGTTGTTCTTCAACTAAAGGCGATTGAATATCAATGGGAGATGGAGAATTTGCTCTTTCAGGTTTCACTTCATTTATCTCGTTTTCCCCTTTTTTGAGGATTTTCTAAAATTAAATTTTATTTATTCCTCGTTAAATATTCTAAAATTAATTCCTAATTTGTTTGGAATATATAAAAAACGAAGTACAACTTACTGGTTTTGGACTAGAAGCAATGGCACTTTCGATAGTGACTTTTTTTGCAAATCGAACAGACGACGAGACTTCTACACTAATTGTACTTCCTTTTTCGGAAGTATTGTCCACCGTCGATTGAAATTCATTATTTCCTCCTGGTGAGAAAAAATTTTTTTTACATTCATTTAAATATGGAAAAAATTTTTTAATTAAATGACGACTTACGTAAATTTCTTCTAACTCTGGATTTATTAAATCGTCCCCGTCCATTTCTAGAGCGTCGAGATCTTTGATTATCATTTTTCGACAACGACGGTCCTGAATGAGTTGAAACAATTTGCGAATGCACGATACAAAGTGTCAACATCATTGCAAAAGGAATCAGTACTTCTGCATTGGAAATAATCTAGGAGGAATATTTTCAAAAAAATTTATTTAAAAAAATAAATCCTTATCTCTCACCTAAACTTTCAGCACTATTGACTCAATTTTTGATATTTCTGAAATGTTGCTGTAATATTTAAATGAGACAATATTGCTGCAAGTTTAGATATGCTGTAATTGTAAAAACTTACATCAGATTCGGATTCTTTGTTGAGAATATAAAAATATATAATAGTATTGAAGAATTGAAGACTATAGAGAATTAAAAAAAAGGTAAAAGTATAGCGACTTGTCTGTTGTATCCACCAACGACTATTGAGAGGAAGAAATAAAAGTCTTTTTAATGCCAACCAAGTGACTGTTCGTAAACCGTGTTTCGGTTTTGCTTTCGGAAATGACGAACCTAAGAAAATTTCAATTTAATTAATTAATTAATTTGAAAATATTCTGTGAATAATCTCACCTCTTACAAGATCTACGTCAATATATTCGGTTTTTAGTTTTGCCGTTCTCATTGGAACGTGAGTGAATCCTCCAAAAATTCTTTGCTCCACTGTTTTTTCCCATTGTTGCTTGTCGTAGGTGCCAATTTTTTTCTGGTACCTTTCGAAAAAATGAAACAAAATTCTATTTTTTTTCTGTAATTAGGGATTTTTTTTTACAGGTACTGGGGAATCTATGTAAGATTATGGGAGTTTTTCCTTTTGGGACCTACAACACTTGGATAATTCTTTCTCCTACGGAAACTACCTTTTCTTTGTAGGTTAAAATTTCTGGGATCTCGCTACATAATAAATAGCCCAAGCTATTTATTAAATAAATTCTTACAATCTGCAAACTTATGATCGACTTCTCCTCCACTTAAAGCACACGCAGGTGATCTATCCACTGTCTTACAAACCCTTACTTTATGACAATACCTCAGGCACCTACTATTCGTTTTTCTATAATAAGACAACACAAACCAACACTGAAAAAATTTTGGTACAACAGCTGCCCCAAAAGAAATATGTCTATATTCAATTAACTTCATACTTAATATTTACCATGAGTGAAGTTAACGGAATATAGAATTTTTTCCTTTGGAACAGCTGCTGAACCAAAATTTTTTCAGTAAAAAAAAGTTTCAGAGTGTCTAACTGATATATTTAACAATAAATTAATTTCTAATGGTAGTAAAAAATGGTAATAAAAACCATTCAAGTTTTTTTAGATTTAAAAATTTTTAAATTCACAAAAAATTTTAATTTTTGTAGAAAGTTACAGAAATTTCCCTGACTTTGAATGAAATTCCCTGACTTTCACTGACTTCCCTGACCGTTAGACACCCTGAGTTTGTAAAAATTTGCCTTTGTTTCTTTTCTTGGTCAATGACTACAAATGTGAGCTTCATTCCTCGATGATTAGGTCCTAGAACCGTCACACCTTTTTCTATACCTTCTCGAGCACTTCTTCCAAAACTTGCTGGACTTTTTCTAAGATCTTCAAGATCTTTTTTCTAATTAGGACTTGACTTGGTCAATACCTTTTTGAAGTCAATTTCAATTTTGATCAGGAGGTCTCCCTTTCTTGTAGGATCTACCATCTTTTACATTTTATTATATATATACAATTTGGGAATTTAATTGTGGTTCTCATATAAAAACTATTATTTGAAGAATACTTTTAGGACTCCTATGAAAGGAATCTATACGAATTCTTGTAGATTATCTTTATATGAACAAAAAATTAAAAACTGTTCTGCCATGCGAAGAAAAAATTCAGTTAATTTATATTGTCGATTAGAATGATATTCACCAAATAAGCTGCGGGAAAATCATCTTTATCGACAATATGACTTAACAGTTTTTTCTTCGTATGGTCAGTATTAACAGCAAGACTTTTTTGACAATACTAAATAAATTTTTACCACTTTGTGCATAATATAATTATTTTAAATCATTGAAAAATAATTTAATAACAAAGAAAACAATTTTTCATTTCTCTCTTTAGAAACTTAATACAGATTTTAATAAAACAACAAAGGAAAAGTAGAAAATAGCACATTATGTATATATATATATATATATATATATATATATATATATATATATATATATATATATATATGAGGAAAATAAAAACAAAGGAAATTAAAAAAAAAAACATTGGGAATGTAACTTACCAATGAATAAGATGATTGATTGCCATAATTGTTTTTTTTTCAAAAAATTAATAAAAACATGAAATTTGAGACTATCGTTCAGGATTTCCGTAAAGATAAAGATTTCCTTTGTGGTTCAACCAAAAATCTGTGACCCCCTTCCTCAAGATTAACCTCACGACAAAGCACCTTGATGTCAATAAATTTATATTGAGAATACTTGTTCCCATAATATTCCTTTGGAATTTGATTTCTTTTATGAACTTTTTAAACTATCTCGCAATAAACAGGATACTCAATTATTATTACAAAACAATTTTATCAATGGAATCATTTCTTTTTTTTTTATTTCTTATTCCTACTGCTAATAATATGCTATACATATATACGCGCACCGCCACCAGAAATTTACTATCGACCTCGAAATCCCTTTTCTGCGCACTCGCCAAATCCACCATATTATTATAAAGAAGTGAAAATACAATTTTAATTTTATTTCATTTCGTATGTATGATAATAATTACATTAAAAGAGGGAAACAATTATTATTTATTACTTTCTTATTAAGAAATAATTTTTATTATTAAGAAATTGTTTAAATTTTTCAATAAATATTTTGCCTTCTACTTTCTGATTTCTCAATTTGTCAGAATTTTATATACACACACACGTGACAAACGACACGTGGCAATTTAAAAGTGTGATTTAAAAATATTTAAAAATTTTAATTTTATTGAATTTTTCTTAAACTCATTATATTTTACATTTTGATACGACACTGGGGTGATAACTTCTTTATCTCTTGATATATATATATATATTCAGAAATAATTCCAAAACAAAGAATATAAAAATAGAACATTTTTGTTATATTACACTGAAAAAAAATATATGACAAAATCTGCTTTTTATTTCTGTAATTTTTACCTTAGAACAAAAGCAATGCACACACGCGGCAATTATTATTGTAAAAAATATTAATTTTCACATTAGTTTTAGTTAAAATTGCCTTTTTTAAAGTAAAAATTGCCTTGCATACATTGCTTATTGTAAAAATTTCATTAAAAAAAAACAGATTTTATGTATATTTTTTTCAAATAATTATTTACTTGAACCAAATAATTTTTATTTGAATTAAATAAACTGTATTTAAACCAATTATTTCTGTATTTAAAACAAATATATTGACCTGAAGAACGTAACGTTAATTGTTTAACGGTTACAAAAACCAATTTATTAAAGTTTGTTCAAATTTTAATCATTACCAATCGAAAGAGCATAAAAAAATGTTTCAGAATCCATGAGTTTTATTCCAAATTTGATGTCGGAAAGATATGAAAAATCAAAATTAATTTAACCTTTCTTAAATGTTAACGATCGCGTTATCGGGCGCTTATTAAAGTTTGTTCAATTTTTTATTATTACCAATCGAAAGAGCATAAAAAAATGTGTCAGAATCCATGAGTTTTATTCCAAATTTGATGTCGGAAAGATATGAAAAATCAAAATTTAATAAGCACCCGATAACACAATCGTTAACGTTTGAGAAAGGTTAAATTAATTTTGATTTTTCATATCTTTCCGACATCAAATTTGGAATAAAACTCATGGATTCTGACACATTTTTTTATGCTCTTTCGATTGGTAATGATTAAAATTTGAACAAACTTTAATAAATTGGTTTTCATAACCGTTAAACAATTAACGTTACGTTCTTCAGCTCAATACAAATATACCATTTAATTGATTTAAAATAATAATTATTTGATATAAATAAATATTTATTTGATAACAGGCAAGTAACTGATTATTATTTGAATCAAATAAATTATTACTTATTTATTATTATTTCTAAAATGTTGTTGTAATCACAGAAAATTATAAGGTATTAAAATAAGCTGCAACGCTTATTATTTTAATCCAATTTTGCTTATTTTAATCCAATTTGGTATTAAAATAAGCAAAATTGGATTAAAATAATAAGCGTTGCAGCTTATTTTAATACCTTATAATTTTCTGTGATATTAGAATATTGAGGCAATGTTGCGAATATTACTGCAAGTTTAGGTGCTGAGTTGATTATTTGAATGAAATCAATTTTTTTTTCTTATTATTTCTACAATGTTGTAATATTAGAATATTGAGGCAATATTGCAAATATTACTGCAAGTTTAGGTGCTGTGTTAATTATTTGAATTAAATAAATTTTTTTTTATCATTATTTCTACAATATTGTTGCAATATTAGAATATTGAGGTAATGTTGCGAATATTACTGCAAGTTTAGATGCTGTGTGTGGATCACATACTGTGTAATTTTTGTATTTTTAAAGAAAATAAAAGATTTAAATTTTAAAAAAGCTTCGATAAAAATTTAAATAATTTAATTTTGAAAATTTTAAACAAATAGAAATTATTTAAATCTAAAAATTTTTATGGCATAGAAAACGATTCATCATAACTCAAAAAATTATTATTTTATTTTTAGGTTATGTTACCTGAATCTCGATTCCTATATATGCATAAAAACTTTTAATTTTGATTTAAATGCAATGTCTAATTATTTAAAATTTTCAAAATTAAATTACAAAATACAAAAATACACAGTTCTAATTCTTTGTTTGATTTTTTCTTAATTGGGAAAATTGAAATATCACACACAGCAACATAATATTTTCTAAATATTTTCATTGAAAGATTTGAAATATTTTAATGCAATATGTTTGAAATATTGATGCAATTATGAAAATTTGTCATAAGTGATAAAACTTTTATTTATTTACAAATAATTATGAATAAAACAAATAAATATAAAACGAAAAAAAAATTTGACATTTGACAAATTGATTCAACGATTTAACGATTCAACCATTGATCTGTATATAGAAGGTTGAAACACAAAAATTTTTAATTATATAAAACCTCCGAAATGTAAAACTTTTGAGAAAAATTTACACCAGGGTTGAGAACGATCGCGGAAGAAAAACGAACTGAAACACATTCACATCCGCCTTTTAAATTGAGGTTAGGTAACAGAAATATTTTAAAATCCAATTAATATATAATTAAACAATCTTTCTTACTAATAAACAATAAATTAAATAAATACTCCAATTAAAATACAATAATATAAAGTTCCTTTAAAAGTGAAATATTAAAAATAGTTGAAATTACAAACATAGAAAGAAAAACAAAATTCTTAGAATATTAAAAAAAAATTTTTTTTTAAATTCAGGAAATTTAAAGCAGCGCCTCTGGCGGTATTTTTGAAAATGCTTACCTTTCACAATTGACAAAGAGAATTTTCTGCTAAGTCAGAATAAATTAGTAATATTTAAAAAAAATTAAAAAAAAAAACACTCTCCATTCAGGTTTTGTATTACATTATTAATTATTACATATAGTTACGTGATTAAAAAAACATGACTCGCTAAAAATGAACATTTCAATTTTGCTTGGTTGTGTATAGTGGTGTGTTAAATAAAAACCTCAGGACGATGATTTGTTACCTCAAAGTGTATCTCATCATCATTCGGAGTGCAAAACTTAACCTAAATAAATAAATAAATAATAATAATAATAAATAAGAGAAATGAATACATTAATACGTCAATTTTCAGAATTAACAAATTTTCAAAATTATGCCACGTTATTGGATGAATTTGGCACAATGAAGGATATTTTGGATAATATTTCGGAGACAAATATAGATTATTTTAATAATGACGAGACAACATTTAAAAGAAAGAAACCTTATAATAAATTATTGTCATACGCCGACGATATTGATGACGAGGCTCAAAAAAAATTTACAACAATCAAGACAAATCTTGGACGTGCTGTTATGCTTAGAGAAATTTATCCAGGATGTCTTGAAGCAACATACAATTTATATGTGTAATTATAATTTTTTCATTTTAAATTAATTTTATATAATTTTTCAAAAATTTTTTCATTCTCTCTTTCATAAAATCTATGATTTTGAAAAATGAAGTTGACAATTTTAAAATAACAAAAAACAAACAAAAATAACAGATTTTCATTAAACAAAAATAATTTTAAATTATCATTTCAGGCCTCGGATTATACGACTTTTTCGACTTTTTTTCGATTTATTTTAATAAAATGCGATATTTTCAATTTTTTTTTTTTATAAATTTTTTTACAAAAATTTTTTAAAAAATACGTTTTTTTAATATGCAATGCAGATATTTTTCAGATCTTCTTTATTTCAATAGTTTAACAAATTTTTAACTAATATTTTTCACTAAATTAATTATTTTTAATAATTTTAATGAAATTTAATTCACAAATTCAATTATCTTATATTATTTTTCAATTAAAATTTTTATGAAATTTAATAATTGTTTATAATTTGAAAAAAAAATTAGCAAATAAAATTACAAAAAAATTTTAATTCAAAATCACTTGACATTTAATTATTTGACAAAATTTGAATGATTTTGATAATTTCCATAAAAAATGTAATTATCTGAAAGCAATTTTTTATGTAAAAACTTTTGGAATTCAATTTTTTTTTTATATGATTTCTAATAAATTCTACATCAACAGAAATCATTAGAAATTTCTTTTATTATAATTATTGTCTGAAATTTAACATAATCTTTTGAAATTCAATTATATTAAAAAATTTCAATTTAAAAGCTTCTCAAAATTATACATCTAAAATTTATTGAAATTCAATTATTTCTAAAAATTTAAATTTTAAATCAACTTAAATTCAATTATTTTCAAAATTTTCAATTCCGAATTAATTAAAATTCAATTATTTTCCAAAATTTCAATTCAGAATCAACTAAAATTCAATTATTTTCAAAAATTTCAATTGAAATTAATTTATTTTAAAAATTTTCAATTAAAATTCAATTATTTTCGAAATTTTCTATTTAAAATTAACTCAAAATCAATTATTTTTCAAATTTTTTAATTCAAAATCAACTAAAATTCAATTATTTTCTAAATTATAAATTAAAAATTAATTAAAATTCAATTATTTCCAAAATTTTCAATACGAATTAATTAAAATTCAATAATTTTCAAAAATTTTAATTCACAATCAACTAAAATTCAATTATTTTCAAAAATAATTCTTTTATTTTGAAAATTTTCAATTAAAATTCAATTATTTTCAAAATTTTCTATTTAAAATTAACGAAAATTCAAATATTTTCCAAATTTTCAATTAAAATTCATTTATTTCCAAAATTTTCAATTCCGAATTAATTAAAATTCAATTATTTTCAAAAATTTAAATTTACAATTAACTAAAATTCAATTATTTCAAAAATTTCAATTGAAATTCATTTATTTTTAAAATTTTCAAATAAAATTAAATTATTTTCAAAATTTTCTGTTTAAAATTAACTAAAGTTCAATTATTTTTAAAATTTTTAATTCGAAATCAAATAAAATTTAATTATTTTGCAAAATTTTAATTGAAATTTATTTATTTTGAAAATTTTCAATTAAAATTCAATTATTTTAAAAATTTTCTATTTAAAATTAACTAAAATTAAATTATTTTCAAATTTTTAATTCAAAATCAACTAAAATTCAATTATTTTCTAAATTATCAATTCAAAATTAATTAAAATTCAATTATTTCCAAAATTTTCAATGCGAATTAATTAAAATTCAATAATTTTCAAAAATTTCAATTGAAATTTATTTATTTTTAAAATTTTCAATTAAAATTCAATTTTAAAAACTTTTATTTAAAATTAACTAAAATTCAATTTTTTTTCAAATTTTTAATTCAAAATCAACTAAAATTCATTTATTTTTCAAAATTTCAATTGAAATTGAATTATTTTCCAAAATTTGAATTAAATATCAATTGAAAATCAATTTTTTTTTAAAATTTTAATTTAAAATCAATTAAAATTGAAATTTAATTTTTCTCAAATTCATCTATGTGAAATCATTTTTTTTTCCAAAACATAAATTATTTTTAGTTCCTTAAAATTTAATTATTCTCTGAAAATTAACAAAACCTTTTGAAATTCAATTATTCTTAATAATTCTTGATAATGTTCTTATAGAATTATTCTTATTAAAGAATTAATAAAATGAATTTAATATCTAATTAGCATTAGTTATTTAAAGTAAAATATTTATTAACCAATTAAATTTTGTTAAAATAAAAAAAATCGACTTTCTCGACTTTTTTTTATGCCTTAAAGTCGATCTGAGGCCTGTCATTTTTAAAAAATAAATATTATTAAAAATATTTGTTAATATATAATTAAAATTAACAAATAAACTATACGTAGAACGTACAATAATTCTTTTGTCCTGTTTAATTTGAAATAAAAAAAAATTTATTAATTCATAAATCTCTATAAGCGAGAAAAATTGCCCCTGGACCTTTGCAAGTGATAAACTGGATAAATGAGAAAATTCTCGCTTATCCAGGTTCGACTGTATATTAAAAAAAAATTTTTTTGTTGCAGATATATAAATATGTATGGAAAGGATTTTAGTAAAGAGGATCATATTTTACTAATAAAATTATATTACGAATTGGCAACAATTCCAGATTTAGAGCCTCAAGCTGTTAAATCATTTTTGCGAATTTTGCATCTATTATTAAAGTAAGTTTTAAAATAAAATAAATAAAATAAAATAAAAAAATGTCTATGGGAAAAATAATAATTTTGAAAATTTTACATTGGTACACTGAGAAAAATGATCTATTAAACATAAAACTAATTTCTTTTTAAATCTTCTGAAATTCAATTATTTAAAAATCTGTAAACTTTAATTATAATATTATTTGAAAATTTTTTTTACCCTTCAAACTAATAACTATACTAAAATTTTAAATTTGAATAAATTGCTTAAATCTGATTTTAAAAAAATTTTTAAATAAAACTTTGAATAATTTTTTTCTTTTTATTATGTTTTAGTTAATTTAAATTTTTTAAAATTTGTCTTCTTATATTGAATTTTAAATATTTTTTAAATATATGTAAATTTAAAAATAATAAAATTGCAAGTAATATATATATTTGTATTTTATTATTAATTAAGAATGTTTATCAACAAAAATGCATAACTCCAGAAAAAATAATTAATTAACATTTAAATAATTAAAATAATATTATTAATTGTTAATATTAATTATTGTTTTCTAGTGATCTGCATTTTCATTGATCGTCTTTAAATTTACATAATTAAAATAAAAAAATCATTAAATATTAAAATTGATAAAATAATTGAATTTTAAAGACAATTTTATTTATTTTAACTACTTTTGCTGATATAAGTTTGTTAAATAAATAAACAAAATAATAAAATTGAGTTTAAAAAAAAAATAGATAATTTCTAAATTTTTTTTTTTTTGTTTTGTCGTTTAGAAAAATTGAATTAATTCCACAAGATGAATTGGAACTTGATTGGCGTCCTCTTTACGATCTATGGGAGAGAACAATGGAAAATCGATTTGCACGTTACGGAATGTATCGACAAAGTCGTAATATGAATGCAATAATGGAAAATGCAATTCATGTGATGAAAAACTATTTTCCCGTAAGATAAAAAAAAAAATTGCTTATGAAATAATATATTAATTATTCGATCAATGAACAAAGCAATTATTTTTAATTCTAATTTCTATCTTTGCTTTTTGTTAAAAAAAAAAAAATAATAAATATTTATATTTATAAAATATAATACTATTTTTTTTATTTATATATGTTTTTCATAATTTCTAAGCAAATTTCGACTTTTTTTTCATTTTACTATACAATTTAGTAAATTTTAATATACAGTAAATTAAATTTATTATACACTTTAGTAAATTTTAATATAATGTTAAATAAATTTTAATATACAGTTAAATGCAACGAGGGAAATTCTCGATGAATTAAGACCAAAATTATATGTGTTCGATGGTAAAGTTATAAATACAACAATTAAAAAAGCAATGTTATTTTTACCCGAATTATTACCACGACAACATCTTGATAAAGGACATGAATTATGGTTTATTGAATTTATGGAATTTTGGGAAAATTTTCATGACGCTAATAATTGGGAAATTGATATGATGGATTTAATGTCAAGAATTGGATCAAAAAATATTGGCTACATTAATTGGGAACCATATTTACCATTAATGTTCAATCGAATATTAGAGAGTTTCAATTTACCTGTTTATTATAAAAAATATGCTCACAGCTATAAATATAAATTGGGCTCAATGAGTATGGCACGTTGGATTGTCTCAACACTTGTAAATAACATTTTTTTTTAATTATTTATTTATAAATTTTCTAATATTAAAATTTTATTTATTTATAAATTTTCTATTTAAATAATTTTAATTTCAAAATTTAATTCAAAAATAAGTATAATTAAAATTATTTAAATATTTTAATAAAGAAAAATTTATTTTTTATTAGCAATTTTTTTTTTAAATAATTAATTAATATTAAAATAGTTATTTTTAATTAATTAATAAAAATAATTATTTTAAATTTAATAATTTATTAGAAACTTATTCTTATTTAAGAGTAAAGAAAAAAAAATTATTATTTTTAATTAATTAATAAAAATAATTATTTTAAATTTAATAATTTATTAGAAATTTATTGTTATTTAAGAGTAAAGAAAAAAAAATTCATTTTTTTTTTTCAGGGAAATGGCTCAAAGGCTCAAGGTTATCTCGATAAATTTTTGAAAACTGTGGAGACTTTTTTGCATCCAACCAATAATGGAAGTTGGGCTTTGCACTTAATGAAATTGGTGAAGGACATAAGTCAATGTTTTGTCGCGCGATTGCATCAGTAAATAATTTTTTCTTATAAAAAATAAAGAAAATTTTAATTTATTTTTTTTTCAATATTTTTGGAATATTTGCAATTTAAAAATTAATTCTCCTCTTAATTTTGAAATAATAGAAACAATTTTTCTTTTTTTTTTCATTATAGAGAACGATTTAAGAAAAAATCATGGATTCCTGAAACGCCAGATTCACATAAATTGACCGATGGGGAAATTGATGATTTTGTAAAAAGTATTTTGCCATTGGCATTAAATTCAATGTTCAGTAAATGCATTTTTGTCGGTATGAATGCATGTTTTACATTGAAAAATTTGGCAACTGTTCGTCCTATTTCAGTGATTCCAATACTTATGACAAAATTTGGCGAGACTTATGATTCATTAACTGAACCAAATAGATTTACGAGTTTAATTTTTGGATTAAATGCAGTGTCACGACAAATGAGTCAAGGATCAAGAAATGTTAATACAGGTTTATTTTTTTATTTTTTTGTCTTTACAATATTTAATTAATTATTTTATTTATTTATTTTTATTTTAATTTTTAATTTTTAAAAATTTTTTCAGATTACGCATTCGCCGATGGACCTTCACAAATAATACAACTTTTATTTGTCGTTTTACCTGGAATTGATCGCAATGATACATTTAAATGTTTAAAGGTAATGGATTTTATTGGAATTATTGCCACGCATTGTCCATTTATTGATTCATCAAATACACAAGCAAAATTAAATGATGAGGATCGATTAATTGCCGAAGTCACATCGAAATTTGAAGATTTCACATTACAATTACTCGATAGTATTTTTACTTTAGTGGAATTGGGTTCTGTCGATTCTGTTAGACAGGTAGGCATAAAAAAAAAATTACTAATTTTTTCAGACTTTCTTTTTTTCATCAGAAAATACGATTTTTTTTCGACTTATTTTAATAAAATGCGACTTTTTCAACTTTTTTTCTTACATTTTTTACAAAAAAACTTTTTAAATAAAGTACAGTTTTTTTTAGTATACAATGCGGATTTTTGTCACATTTTTTTTTTTATTGCGATTATTTAAGAAATTTTTTAACTAAAATTCTTCTCTAAATTATAATTATTTTCAATAATTTTTAATGCAAAATTTTCACAAATACAATTATTTTAATCTAATTTATAAATTTGAAAATTTTTTTAAAATTCAATAAATGTTTAAAATTTTGACGAAAAAAAATCAGCAAAATAAAATAACCAAAAGTTTCAATTCAAAATAAATTTGAAATTGAATTATTTTCAAAATTTTCAATTTAAAAATCGTCTAAAATTTAATTATTTTAAAAAATTTTCTATTTAAAACTTTTTTGAAATTTAATAATTTTAACAGCTCTTTTGAAATTCAATTATAGGTAGGTACTTATTTTTATAATATTTTTAGAAAATTCAATTATTTAAAAATATTTTTCAATTAAAAATTTTTTAAATTTAATTCTTTGTCTATAATTTCTAATAAATTTTTCAGCAACAGAAAGTAACAAAAATTTTAATTAAAAATCACTTCAAGTTCAATTAATTTCAAAAATTTGAATTTTAAATCTTTGAAAATTCAATTAATTTTTAAAAAATGTTATCTAAAATTTATTTGATAAAATTTTTTTCAATTCTTTAAAATTTAATTGTCTGAAATTTAAGAAAATCAATTTGAAATTCAATTATTTTCAAAAATTTCAATTTAAAAATCGTCTAAAATTTAATTATTTCCAAAACTTTTTTTTTTTAATTTCATAATTTTAACTATAACTCTTTCGAAATTCAATTACTTTAATTTATTTTTATAATATTCTTCAAAAATTCAATTATCTGAAAGTATTTTTCAATTAAAAACTTTTTAAAATTTAATTTTTATCTGTTATTTTTATTAGATTTTTCACCATCAGAAATTAATAAAAAAAAAATTTCAATTTCAATTAAAAATCACTTGAATTTAATTTTTTTTTTTTTAAATCTTTTGCAATTTAATTATAAAAAAAAACAAATTTAATTTAAAAATCTATAAACTTTAATTATTGTCTGAATTATTTTTTACCATTAAAATTAAAAAATTTACCAAAATTTTTTATTCAAATAAATTTCTTAAATCAGACGTTAAAAAAAATTTTTTTTTTTTTAATTAAAACTTTGAAGAATTTTTATTTAACTAAATTCTGATTTATATCGAATCCATTAGTTTAAGTAATTAATTTACAAAATTTATTATTAATTTTCAAATTTATTAATTAATTTACAAATTTATTAATTAATTTAGAAATTTATTAATTAATTTACAAAATAATTAACAAATTGAAAAAAATTATATAATAATAAAATGCTTGGTCTGTGCTTCTGTCCTAACTTGTAGTTGGCCTTTTCTGTTTTCACGTGTTTTTTTGAATAGTAATCTTATGACGTGTCAAATTTTGACAATTCTTTTTCTCATTTTTGCCAAAGTTGTATAATTGTGTTTCCAAATTTCAAAATAAGTTCCTTTAAAATTCCAAATTCGTAAATTCAATTCACGAAGCTGAAGTACACAATGATTACAAACGAAATTTTTTTTAAACTTGTATATTGATTCAAAAATTGTATACAAATACAAAAAATTTATGATGGGAAAAAAGATGCGCCAGGAAATTTCGTACAAGATAGTAATTTGAAAAAAATTTATTTTTAAAAATTAATTTTTAAGGTACCAGGGGCCAACGAATACCTATTAAATATTAATTATAAAAACACAGGCCTCGAATCAACTTAAAAACACAAAAAAGTCGTTTTAGTCGATTTACATTTCAAACAAAAAGTGGATTTGTTTTTTATTTTAACAAAAATATTTTACAGATTTTTAAATAAAAAAATTTTTTTTTAATAATAGGTAATCCTTTTCGAAGGGTTAAAGTTGAAATTTTTAGAAATAATTAAATTTCAAAAGATATTGTTAATTTTCAAACAATTATTAAATTTTACAGATCTAAAAATAATTTATCACACAATTTTTGGAAAACATTTTTTAAATTTAATTGAATTTTCAAAGATTTAAAATTGAGATTTTTGAAATTAATTGAAACTTTAAGTGATTTTTAATTAAAATTTTAGATGATTTCACTAAAAATTTACGAAAATTTATTAGAAAATACGGATAAAATACAATAATTTGAAAATCATTTTTAATTGAAAAATGGTTTCAGATAGTTGAATTATTTTCAAAGAATATTATTAAAATAGTTAAAAATAATTGAATTTCCTTAGAGTTATAATTGAAATTATTAAATTTCAAAAAAAAATTTTCGATGGAAAATTTTAGAAATAATTAAATTTTAGATGCTTTTAAATTCAAATTATTGAAAATTCAATTAATTTTTGAATTCAAATTTTTGAGAATAATGAAATTTTATTTGATTTTAAATTTGGAAAATAATTTATTTTCAGTTCATTTTGAATTGAAAATTTTGGGAAATAATTGAATTTTAATTGAAATTTTGTATAATAATTTAATTTAAGTTCATTTTTCATTGAAAATTTGGATAATTAATTTTGAATAGAAATTTTAGAAAATAATTGAATTTTATTTTATTTTAAATAGAAAATTTTTAAAATTGAATTTTAATTGAAAATTTTAAAAATAAATGAATTTCAATTGAAATTTTTGAAATAATTAAATTTTAATTAATTCGGAATTGAAAATTTTGGAAATAATTGAATTTTAATTAATTTTGAATTGATAATTTGGAAAACATTTGAATTTTCGTTAATTTTAAATAGAAAATTTTTAAAATAATTTAATTTTAATTTAAAATTTTCAAAGTAAATGAATTTCAATTGAAATTTTTGAAATAATTAAATTTTATTTGTTTGTGAATTAAAATTTTTGAAAATAATTGAATTTTAATTAATTCGGAATTGAAAATTTTGGAAATAATTGAATTTTTGTTGATTTTTAATGGAAAATTTGGAAAACATTTGAATTTTCGTTAATTTTAAATAGAAAATTTTTAAAATAATTTAATTTTAATTTAAAATTTTCAAAATAAATGAATTTCAATTGAAATTTTTGAAATAATTGAATTTTATTTGTTTGTGAATTAAAATTTTTGAAAATAATTGAATTTTAATTAATTCGGAATTGAAAATTTTGGAAATAATTGAATTTTAATTAATTTTGAATTGATAATTTAGAAAATAATTGAATTTCAGTTCATTTTGTATTGAAAATTTTGGGAAATAATTGAATTTTAATTGAAATTTTGGATAATAATTTAATTTAAGTTCATTTTTGATTGAAAATTTGGATAATTAATTTTGAATAGAAATTTTAGAAAATAATTGAATTTTATTTCATTTTAAATTGAAAACTTGGTAAAAAATTAAATTTTAAATTGAAAATTTTGGATAATTATTGGATTTTTAATTGATTTTGAATTAAAATTTTGGGTAATAATTGAACTTTAGTTTATTTCGAATTGAAATTTTAAAAAAAAATAATTTAATTTTATTGTGATATTTTTTTAAAATTATAAACAATTGTTAAATTTCATAAAAATTTTAATTGAAAAATAATTTTGATATAATTGAATTTGTGATGTATTTCATTAAAATTATTAAAAATAATTAATTTAGTGAAGAATCATTTTAGTTCAAAATTTGTTAAATAATTGAATTGAAGAAGATCTGAGGAAGATCTACATTTTATACCAAAAAAAATGTATTTTATTTACATTTTTTTTCAAATGTAAAAAAAATGTCGCATTTTATAATAATAATAATAATAATAATATTCTAATACATTAAATTATTATTGATAATATTAATCTTTAATTTCTTTATAACAAACAATTAAATACTCAATTTGGCGCGTTTAATTTTTCTAGTTTATTAATAAAGGGATAATTTAAAAAAAAAATTTTTCCAGGATAACGATACAGCTGTAATAAACGAAGAATTAGCCGTTGAAGCATCAACATGCTATTTATTTTTTTCAATATTTTGTCAATGTAGTGACAATTTATTTGAAATGGCATGTTATAAAGTACGTGATTTTGTTATAAATAAAACACACGATTCAAAAAGTGCAGGACGATTAATATTTCATTTATGTAAAATGTTAGTCAAAGCAAATTCACAAATTGCCTTACCAATATTTTTATCAACATTCACACAAACAATTATTAATTTAATTGATGAAATTGATGATATTAGCGAGGAATATTTAGATAATCGTTTATTATCAATGTTATTGGTACTTGGCGGTATTGTAAGTGCGCCTGGTATTTATTTATTACCATATATTGATAATTTAACAACAATATTGGATAAATGTCGTTCAATGAAATCGCGTGATGGTTTAAAATTTATTTGGTCAATTTTAAGAAATTGTTTTAATTCATTGACAAATTTATCAATAAAACGCGTTGTGAGAATTGATCGCGATTATAAAAATTCAGAATGTTGTGAAATTTTTGATTGGGGTCAAGCAATAGCAATGAAAAATATGCATGCCAAATGGTATGTACCAAGTGAAAAGGAAATTTCCGTTGCACAGCAACTTTTTAATAAATATATGATGCCTGAAATACAAATTGTTGAGGATTTTATCGCTGATCCAAAATCGGTGGAGAGGTATTTCATTTCATTGAAAATTAGAAAAATAAAATTTATCCCCATATTAGTTATATTGTAAATAAAATATTTATTTTTTCAGACAAATTTTACACAATAAATTGCAAACAATTCATGAAATTATAAAAGGATGTGAAATTTTACTTCCCGTTTGGAATGAATCGCCATTAATTTTAGTATCGTCAGTGAATGGATTGACGGAGCTTAAAACAAAAATTGGAATTAATGGAGAAATAACAATGCCCGATGGTAGTAATGTGAGGCTTTATTTTGTAAAACTTCTCACACGCTTTCAGAAAGTTATATTAAAATCCGCTGAAGATGATACAAAAACAATTGGCACTCTCGTTTGGGTAAGAAAAAAAAAAAAAATTAATTTTTTTCTTTTCTTAATTTTAAATTAAATTATTATTATTTTTTTTTTTCAGTTGTGGCAGTGCGTTCTTTTGGGACCAATAAGATCGTACAATCAATGTTTTAAAAAACTCTCGGCCCTTGAAATGAAACGTAAATTTAATAATGAAAAATTAACGCACAAAGATTGGAATATTGAAATTGTTTGGGAGAGATTACTTCTTCAACAGGAATATCGTGTTATGTTACAAACATATATTATCACTGAAACTCATAAACACATTATTCTTCAATTATTGGAATTGGCAACGAGTCGATATGCAAAAATACGAATAACTGCACAATCTGTTTTGGCTGATATTACAAATGTTTTGCCATCAAATTCAGGAATTGATCAAATTTTATTGTCGTATATTCTTGATATTTTATCAAAAGATACAACTGAATATCACGATGCTTATAAGGTGATTAAAAAAAAATGTTTTTAAATTAATTTTTTTGAATTTTCCATTAAAAAAAGAAAAATTAATAATTCGAATTTTAATTTTCATGAATTTTATTGGATTTATTTTTTTTTAAATTTATTTTTAATTAACAAAATATTGAGGTAACAATTTTTTATTCGCTACATAAATATTTTTGTTAATTAAAAATAAATTTCAATGAATTGCTAATTCAAAAGAATAAAAATTAAATTCTTTGAAATAAAAAAATTTTTTGATTTTTAAGGAAAAAAAAAAAAAATTCAATTTTTATTTTTTCTTCACAAATTTCAGGGTGTCCTCTATATTCTCTTGAATAAACATCACATAACACTTTTAATGAATCACGGTTGGGAAATATTACATAAATTATGGCCAGCAATGATATTAGCAAAAACATCGGAAAAATTGTCAGTAATAAATTTGGAGGATGCACTTTTTAATTATTTAACAAATCGTTTATTTACAAAACAAATTGAACTTGAAATACCATTGAATTGTATTGATGCCGCTGAAAATTTATTTAATTCAACAAATTTTGATAATTCAAAACGACCATCAAAAGAAGAAATTGAAAATGGAAGGCTAATACTTGCAAGAAAGGGAAAAGAAAATTTGGAATATTACAATTCATTACAGGATAATCTCATTGAAATTGTTATTGAAAAAAATCTTCATTGGCGACGTCGTTTTGAAGCAATGCAACTTATTGTTGCTCTTGCACATTCACAAGGGAAATATTCATCAAAAATTGTAAAATATTTCCTTCAAGGAATGATACATGATGCAATTTCCGAGAGGGAAATTGCAATGAAAGTTATTGTTAATAGTTTAATACAACAACGATTAGAATATGTTAAGGTTTGTATATTTTAATTTTTTTGGAAAAATTATTTTCAAAAAATTTTTTTAAATATTTATAAACTTTGTTTTATATTTTATATTTTATATTGAATTTAATTTTAGTAAATGTTTTTTTTCCCTGCAATTATTGATATAAAAAAATGAATTTTACATAAAAAAATAATTAATTACAATTTTTATTTTAAATTATTTAATTAGAAATAATTATTTTTGATGTGAATTTTCAATTTTCGAATTAAAATTTAACAGTATTTTTTCTTTTATACAAATTTTTACATGAGAAAATTTTTAGCTACTTAATTTTTTGTTTGGCAGAATTTTTTATTTTATAGTCATTTTCTTTACATGACTTTTCATTTAAAAAAATTTTAATTTAAGCAAATTTTTGTAAAATTTTGATATTTTTAAAAATTTTTCTCGTAGTTTTGGCAAATTTAGTTGATTTTTTTCGTTTTTTGTATTTTTCTTAAATTTGTTATGTTTAATTCCACTTTTCGTATTTTTGTCTAATTTTGTAAGGTTTAAATTTTTTTTTCGTATTTTTTTCGTATTTTATTATGTACAATTTCTCTTTTCACATTTCTTTTTTGGTATTTTTGTCAAATTTTTTATATTTTCAATTTTTTTTTCGTATTTTTGTTAAATTTTGATATTTTTAATTTTTTCCTATTTTTGTCTTATTCTGATATTTCTAATTCTTTTTATCCTGTACATTTTTTTCTATTTTTGTTAAATTTTGATAATTTAAATTTTTCTTTTGTATTTTTGTCAAATTTTGATATTTTTAATTTATTTTTCGTATTTTTATCTAATTTTGTTGTTTATTTCTCTTTTTATATTTTTTTTTCGTAGTTTTATTAAATTTTGTTATTTTCAATTTTTTTTTCAAATTTTTGTTAAATTTTAATTGCTTCAATTTTTTTTTCATATTTTTGTTAAATTTTGATATTTTTCTTTCGTATTTTTGTCAAATTTTGTTATGTTTTTAATTTTTCTTAAATTTTGTTTTGTTTAATTTCTCGTTTTGTATTTTTTTCGTATTTTTGGCAAATATTGATATTTTTTTAATTTTTATTTCATATTTTTTTATCAAATTTTGATATTTTTAATTTTTGTTTCGTATTTTTGTTTAATTTTGTTGTGTTTAATTTCTCTGTCTTTATTTTTTTTTTGTATTTTTGTCAAATTCTTGATTTCTTTAATTTTTCTTTTCATATTTTTGTCAAATTTTTTATATTTTCAATTTTTTTTTTCGTATTTTTATCAAACTTTGTTATTTTTAATTTTTTTTCGTACTTTTGTTAAATTTTAATTGCTTCAATTTTTTTTTTTTTCATATTTTTGTTAAATTTTGATATTTTTCTTTCGTATTTTTGTCAAATTTTAATATTTTTTAAAATTTTTATTTCATATTTTTTTTTATCAAATTTTGATATTTTTAATTTTTATTTCGTTTTTTTGTTTAATTTTGTTGTGTTTAATTTCTCTGTTTTTTTTCGTATTTTTGTCAAATTCTTGTTTTCTTTAATTTTTCTTTTCATATTTTCTGTCAAATTTTGTTATTTTTAATTTTTTTTTTTCGTATTTTTTTTAAATTTTAATATCTTCAATTTTTTTTTCATATTTTTAATTTTTCTTTCATATTTTTGTCCAATTTTGTTGTTTAATTTCTTTTTTCGTATTTTCGTCAAATATTGATATTTTTTTAATTTTTATTTCATATTTTTTTATCAAATTTTGATATTTTTAATTTTTGTTTCGTATTTTTGTTTAATTTTGTTGTGTTTAATTTCTCTGTCTTTATTTTTTTTTTGTATTTTTGTCAAATTCTTGATTTCTTTAATTTTTCTTTTCATATTTTTGTCAAATTTTTTATATTTTCAATTTTTTTTTTCGTATTTTTATCAAACTTTGTTATTTTTAATTTTTTTTTCGTACTTTTGTTAAATTTTAATTGCTTCAATTTTTTTTTTTTTCATATTTTTGTTAAATTTTGATATTTTTCTTTCGTATTTTTGTCAAATTTTAATATTTTTTTAAATTTTTATTTCATATTTTTTTTTATCAAATTTTGATATTTTTAATTTTTATTTCGTTTTTTTGTTTAATTTTGTTGTTTTTAATTTCTCTGTTTTTATTTTTTTCGTATTTTTGTCAAATTCTTGTTTTCTTTAATTTTTCTTTTCATATTTTCTGTCAAATTTTGTTATTTTTAATTTTTTTTTTCGTATTTTTGTTAAATTTTAATGTCTTCAATTTTTTTTCATATTTTTAATTTTTCTTTCATATTTTTGTCCAATTTTGTTGTTTAATTTCTTTTTTCGTATTTTCGTCAAATATTGATATTTTTAATTTTTCTATCGCATTTCTTATCAAATTTTGTTTGTACTTTTTTTCGTAGTTTTGCCAAATTTATTTATTTTTTAATTAATTTTATAATTGCTTTTGTTAATAATTTTTGTTGTTTTTGTTATTTTTCGTCTTTTTATGATTTTAATTTTTTATATCTGTATGTTTATTCTAATTTTTAATTATTTTATTATTATTAATTAATAATTATTTTTATTTTTTCATTAATTAGACTCCCTGAAAAAAAAAATTATTTCCACTTCGAAACTTTAAAAAAAAAATTTATTTATAATCAATTTTTTCCAAATATCATCGTTCTTGTTATTAATCTATCTTATTTTTTAAAATTTGTTTTCATTTATTTATTTATTTCAGATTGATTTAAATTTATCGAACTTAACAAAAATTGAAAATAATGAAAAAATAACATTTGGCGAGAGAATGGATAATTCATGGCTTCAATATAATTCAAAAACACGACCATCAAACACCAATGAATGGAATGAGACACGTTACGTTGATTTAGCACACATTGGTTATTATGTGTGGCCAAAAAAAATTGAAGTTGACGCACCATATAATCAACAACCAACGCTCGATATTAAACAAAGAAAATTCAATTCAGTCGAGCAGGAGATTTATAATTTTTTCATAAATTCACAAAATATTGAAAAACTCATTAATTATTTGAGTCTTGAGAAAAAAAAGGGAAAAGAACATTTTACAAATACAAATTATTATTTATTTAGATATTTATTTAAAAATTATGGTGATTTATTTTTTGCTAATTTATTACCACATTTAAAAAAATTGGTTAACGATAAACAAGAATGTTCACAACGTTGTGCATCGGAAATTATTGCTGGTATAATACGCGGTACAAAACATTGGCCATACGAAATGGTTATGAATATTGCCAATGAATTATGTCCTATTATTAAAATTACAATGAATAATTTAACAACTGAATCAATTTCAATTTGGAGTCGTGCCTATGCTTATGCACAATATAATATGGATCCAAATAGAAATTATTGGCTAATGGAATGTCTTATGGATGAATTGGCATTTGTACAATCTGATCCATCATTGGTGCAATGTGGAAAAATTAGTATTGTTCAGGTAAAAAAAAATTAATTAAAAAATTTCTTTTCATTCCAAAAAGCAGAGAGGAAAAAATAAATATTAATTTTGATTTTTCAGTCAGTATTTCGACAAGTTTATTGGCGTTATTCAGAGGTGCTTCATCGTTTATTAAATTTCGTTGAGGATTGTCTTTTTAATCATCCATTTCAAATGTTACGCATGTATTTAGGACAATTGCTATCAACAATATTTACCATTGATTTACAATTTGAAATAAATTCCATTCAAACACGTCCAAAAACACAAATACTCATCGATAAATTAGTGCCAAAATTACAAATGCTCGCTGAAAATGCAAATTTAATTGATGAAAAAAAATCACTCGTCAGTGGCGTTGCAAATGTTTGTTTAAATGAAAATAACGAAGAGGACAAAGAACGTAAGGCGGCTATTAAAATATTCAAAATAATTTGCGATTGGATGGTGAGTTAAAAAGTTTTTTTCAATTAATATTAATTTATTTTACCAAAAAAAAAAAAAAATTTCGAATTTAAATATTAATTTATATTAAAATAAATTCTTTTTTTCCAATTAATGTAAATTAATTAAAATTATTATTAATTTTATATTTAAATTAAAAATAAAATATTCCTTTTTTTAGAGAAATAATGCACTACCAACAAAATTGAATATGCATCCGGGTTTTTATGAATTTTTTTTGACACTATGCCAATTGGAAAATTGTGATTCAGATGATGAATTGGTATCATTATGTTCAAGTACATTATCATCATTGGCAAGAATTTCAATAAAACAACGTGATGTTTCAAAAATGTTGCCACAAATTTTAAAAGCATCACGTAATACATCGTGGTGGGTAAAAGCGTCGACACTTGATTTTTTGGAAGTTTTTGTCTTTCACAATATGAGTATTTTACTCAGTCAAAATGAATGGATTGAAATAATTAAAGAAACTGTATTACGATTACTTGAAGACGAGAGAGTTGAAGTTAGAGAAAAATCATCACAAGTTCTCGGTGGATTACTTCATTGCGCTTTTATTCCCGATAAAGAAACATTATTGGTAAATATAATTAATTAATTTATTCAATTTATTTATTAATTCTATTATTAATTTATTTATTAAATTTGTTAATTTATTTATTTATTTATTAAATTTATAATTACATATTATTTTTATTAATTTACTCTATAAATGCGAATAAGAAAAAAAAAACCTTGAAATTATTTTGAATTTAAAAAAAAAAAAAAAATTATTATAGGAAGAATTTAAAGTGAAAGCGAGAACGAGAATACGAAAGAGAACGAATAAAATTGCACAAGGCGCCGATGAACGTGCAAATACAGAGGAAATAAATGCGATTGTTAAAAGGCACGCGGGAATTTTAGGTCTATGTGCTTTTATACAAGCGCATCCATACGATATTCCAAGTTACGTACCATCAATTTTCGAACATTTAGGATCACATCTTCACGATCCTGAACCAATTCCTGTAAGTTGAATTTAATTTTATAATTTTTAATTTAGAATTTTTCATCAGAATTAATTAAAAATTTCTTCTTCGATAATCGTAGAAAAGGAATTTTATAATTTTGAATTTCGCGCGCATTTCTGCATTATCGACGAGACATAGATTGGAAACTCGCAAGAGAAAAAGAATTTCTATTCAAATTATTTAATTACAGAATTTTTTTTTTTTTTTATTTAATTAACTGGTCCAATGTTTTATTTAACTAAATTATTAAATTTAAAAGAAAAATCTAACAAGAGTTTTTAGAAAAAAAAAAAAAACAAAATATATATAAAAAAATAAATATTTTAGTAATATTAAATTTTTGTCGAGAAAAAAATATCTATTTTATAAACGCCAATTTTTCTACTAAGAGTAAATTTTTCACTTTTAAATATTTCGGCGCAAATTTTTCAAAAAAAAAAAAAAAAAAGAAAAAAAAAAATTGGCGCCATTTATTTCTACTATACCGACGGAACATAGAGTGGAAAGTTGGGAAAAATTTTTTCCTACTTCTCTAATAAACGAAAATATTAAAAAAAGAAAGTATGAATGTTTGAAAATTTGAATTTTTGTAATTAAAGAAAATTGACCTTTTTTTCATTCTATCATTCTCTTATTTTATAGGCCACAATTAAAAAAACAATGGGTAATTTTAAACGCACGCACTATGACGGTTGGAGTGAGCACGCTCAACAATTCACCGAAAAACAATTAGAGGTACTTCAAGATTTAATAGTTCCGCCTCCACATTACACGTAATTTAAATAAATATTTTAAAAAAAAAAGTGTCTTTTCAGACATATGTGATTCTATTGAATATAAAAAAAAAGGAAAACTAAAAAAAATTATTTTTCTCATTTTCTTCTTTTTTTTTTTTTTTTTTTTTTTTGAATATGTAAAATATATAATTCTAATAATTGACGTTTATGAATTTATAAATATGTAAGAGGACTGTGCAAATGTCTTTTTTTTTGTAATGTAGTAAAAAAAAATATTTTCAACAATGATAAAAAAATGTATTCTATTTTATAATTTTTTTTTCGTATTAATTACTTTTTAAATGGTTTTATTTTTTTTTTTTTAAAGATCTAAGGTTCGTAAATATTTATTTCGTTCGATTTTGCTTTGGAAAAAAATATTTTTATAACGCAATATAAAGATTGTAAATTTTTTTCTTTTCGTTATTTAATAAAGTACGTTTTCATGTAATTTTTTGTATTTTATTATTCATTTTCTATTTATTTTGATTTTATTTACAAAGACATAAAATAAAACAAAAGATTTTTTTTTTATTGCTTACAATTATTTCTATTTATAATAATATAAATAAGAAATAAATTTATCATATAATTTTAAATTATTTACAGAATTATAATAATAATAGTAATAATTATTGTCAGTTAATTTTAGTTTCAAATTTATTTGAAGGAGATAAATTTGTTTGTCGTTTGCGTTCTTCGGCTTTTCGTAAATTTGCAAGAACCATTTCTTCAAAATCAATTGTCATTGATGATTGTCCAACATTTTTTAATGTTTCCGATGATTTTTGAATAGTTTTATTTGATTCTTGATTGATACTATTTGATTGCGTTGAATTATTTGGATTCCAAAGACCTTTTAAAATTAATGGATTTCCCGATAGGCCAGTCTCAGTTTCGGCAGCCAATTTCTATAAAGAAAAAATTCAAAAAAAAAAAAAAAAAAATGTCAGTAAAAATAACTAAAAATGACCATTTTTTTCGAATTATAAAATTTATTAATTTTTTTAATTATAAAAAAAAGTTTCTAGAAAATTTTCTTCTTTTCCTCAATAATTGTTTCGTTTTGAATATGAAAAAAATTATGATTTTCCAAATTTTAATTTACACTTACCGCTGTGTCCGAATCTAAATATTGTACCATTGCTCTTCCTTTTTTCCCCGATAAAACAAGTGCTGATATTTGTCCGTACTAAAAAAAAAAATAATTTTTCTTTATTATTTGCAAGAAAAAATTTATAGGTAAAAGAAAAATAATTTTTAAAAAACAATTATTTTTCATAATTTGTCAATTATTAATAAAATTTAAAATATTTATTTATACCTTTGATAATATTTTATGAAGCGTTGAATAGTCGTAATTAATATTTGTAGAATTATTTTTATCATCTTTCCATTTTATTTTAATTCTACAAAGATTCTCATCGTTTTTTGCATTTTTATTTAATTCATCAATTACTTGTTGTCTCATTCGTTCCAATTCTTTTTGCATTTGTTCCAAATTCTCTTGCTCCACACGCTCGACAGTTGCCTTAAAATTATTATTATTATTTAATTTATATGAAAATATTATTTATTTCATTTATAATTTCTTTATTTTATACACTTTAAACAAAATTAATTGTTAATAAGAAATAAATTATTTTATTATAAAAATAGATTAACAAATATATTAATAAATAAATGTATTAAAAAATAATAATATTATTATTTTATAATTAATAATTATAATAATAATTATTATTTAATTATTTATTATGTTAATATTTTTATTTAGTTTATAATTACTTTTTTTAAAATAGAAAATTTTTTTTAAATTATTAATTTAAAGATATTTAAATTCTTAATTTATTTTTTCAATTTTTTTTTACCTTAAACCTTTGTTCTTCATTAATTGGTGTACCATTTCGTGCCGCTGCTTCGCGATATTCCAAATCATTGATAAGTTTTTGTCGTTTCGCGTCACCCGCTTTTGCCCGAAGTTTCGCTTGAAGTTTTGCATTTACTATTTTATCGTACCTTGCCTTTTTTTTTAAAGAAATAAAAAAGAATTTTAATATAGAAATTTAAATTAAAACAAAAATTTAAATTTAAAAAAAAAATTATTACTTATTTACATATTACAATTTTAATTATTTTGTTAAATAAATAAATAAATTTTATTCAAATAAATAAAATTAAAATAAAATAAATTTTGCAACAATTTCATCAATTTAAAAAGCAATTAAATATTAAAATTATAATTTGACAATTAATATTAATTATTTCTAAAGCTAAATAATTAAATAATTAATATAAATTATTTTGTTTAAATAATTAATTTAATAATAAAAATAACCAAATTTTTCAGTTAAATATAATTTAGTTAATTAATTAATAATCAAATTAAATAATAAATATGAAAATTATATATAAATGAAATAAATACGAAAAATTATGAATAAAATAAAATTAATAATAATAAATAAATTATATTATTAATTATATTAATTAAATAATAAATAAATAATTAATTTATAAATAAAATTAATATAAAATTAAAATTTACGAAGGAATAAACGCACGTATTACGTACGCAACATAACCTCAAAATTTTTTTTTCTAAATAAAACTCGCACATAATTATGAATGTAAATAAAATAAAATATCACTTACCCTCGATGCTGTGTCAGTTAATATTAATAATGCAGCTTTCAACTCGATAAATAATGCCGCAGCATTTGGATTATTTGGATTTTTATCCGGATGGCAAACAAGTGATTTTTTACGAAACGCTTTTTGAATCTGTAAATTAACGTCAAAAAAAGCAAAATTTCAAAATTCCTACATATAATTAGAAACACTTATTTATTATTTGAAATAGAAAAATAAATTATTCTCAATAAATAAAATATTATAGACAATAATTAAAAAAAAAGAGAATTATTTATTGTTTTGAAAAATAAAATAAAAAACATACCTCCTTTTCAGTCGCTGTTGATTCGACACCGATTATTTTATATAAATCCATATCTATTAAATTATCCATTTTTTTTTATAAGGATTATATTATTATTATTAATAGAAAAAGAAAACAAACGTTTGAGAGTGAATAATTTTGACAGAAGTAAAAGTAAACATTGAATGTAATATGAAGTTAACAGAGTATGGTTTTTTTTTATCAAGTAACGCCACTTGCAATTGGTTAGTGGCAAAATATCCCTAGAATTGAGTAGTACCAACTGTAATCAAATTCAAATTGTTTGAGAATAATAAAAAAAAAAAAAAGTAGAAAATAAATATTATTGAAAATTATTCTTTAAAACAAAAATTTGTAGATATATTATTTTAATTATTTTTCCTTTATACAAAATAATTGAAATTAAAAAATTAAATGATTTAGGGAATTTAACTTATTTCTATATATATATTTGTCACTATATAATTCATCACCACGATGGAACTTAACCTAAAATAATTAACTTATTGAGTTCAATGTAGATATATATATATATATGTATAATAGTATAAAATTGTTCCATTATCATCATTGTTTTCTCTGTAAATATATATATATATAGAAATAAAAGTATAAAAGAAGATAAATTCCAATTAGAAATGACTCTTGTTTTTCAAAATTTTCGAATTATTGCCAGATGTTCATTAATTAATTTTATTCAAAAATCACAATGTCACACGCTCAAAACAGGTATTTATGAAAAAAAAAAATAATATTATTTTTAGACTATATTCTATTATCAATTAAAATTCTATTAAAAATTAAATCACCGTCAATGAGATATTGAAAAAAAATTTTCTATTTCGTCAAAAAAAAAATTTCTGATGTAAATTTTCTTTTTTTTATAACAATAAAATTTCCGCAAAAGTGAATAATTTTTTGCCATTATTCGTATTTTGGCAATATTTCGTCATATTTTCAAAGATAACATTTAAAAATGTTTTTGTTAATTATTTAGAATTTTACAAAAGTTGACAATTAAATGAAACAATTGAAATTTTTTCACTTTGGAAAAATATTTTTTTTTTTAAATATATTTAAAATGTTTTTGAAAAAATAAATTTGTAAATAAAAATAATAGTAAATTGGAATAATTAGTAAATTACCAATTCATTAATAATTTTAATAATTATTTTAGAATTATATAATAAATTATTTATAAAACTAAAGTATATATATATATATATATATATATATATATATGTATATGTATGAGCTGAAAATTAGGTTAAGATTTATTTTTGATTTTTTTTTTCTTCTAATTTATCAATATTTTGTATATTTTCCAATTTAATTTTACAATTAAATTCAATTATAATTTAAAAAAAAAATTCAATTTTTATTGAATTTGTTTAATTTTGTAAATTTTTAAAAATTCAAAAATTAATAATTTTGAAATACAATTATTTATTTAATTATTAATTATTTAACAAAAAGAAAATTATTTCAAATTAAATTTTTCTCAATTCAATTATTTAAAAATATTACAATTTTCAATTTAATTATTTTTAAATTACAATTGTTTCGAAAACAAATTAAATATTATTTTCAATGTATTTGAAAATTAATTTATTTTTAAATTCAATTTTTTTAAAAATATTTTTAATTTTTTTAAACAATTATTAATTATTTTTAGAATGAAATTATTTTTAAATTACAATTATTTTTTAATTCAATTTGTTTAAAAATATTTTTTATTTTTAAAAAAATTTTAATTATTTTTAAAATAAAATTATTTTTAAATTATAATTAGTTTGGAAACTTAAATATCATTTTAATTATTATTTGGAAAAATATAAAAATTTTTTTGAATTCATTTTTAAACAATTTTAATTATTTTTAGAATGAAATTATTTTTAAATTACAATTATTTTGAAAAATTAAATATTATTTTCAATTATTTGGAAATTTAATTATTTTTAAATTCAATTTTTATTTATTTATTATTTATTTATTTAAATCATACACGGGTTTATAATTATAATCATTATAATTATTTATTTATTTAATTATAATGAGTTTCAAAAATTAAATTTTTTTGTATTAAAAAAAAAATGCTTCAATAATAGTAAAAAAAAAAAAAAAAAAAAAAATGTGACGAAATAGAGAAATTGCTCCATTTAAAAAAATATTTATTTTCTAATTAAATTTTATTAAATTAAAATTATTTTTTGCAATTTCTATTTTTTTAAAATATAAAAATAATAATAATAATAATAATAATAATAATAAAATATTCTTATCTCAGAAATACTGCCAAAATCAGTGTACTCGCAATTAGGCGAGAAACCCGCAGAAATATTTTTATTTATAAAAAATAATCATGGCTATTTAAGTGGACATCATTATCTACAGGCATTGAGAAAATTAAATAAAACATCATTCAATTATAATGATGTAAAAAATAATAATGACTTTGCTGAACTTTGTGATGAATTAAAAAAACAATTAACAACACTTGATGTATCGGATGTTGTTTCTGTATTAAATGAATTAACAAAATTTCGTATTGAAAAAAATACAGTCATTTATGAATCATTATTACAATTAATTCGTACAAATATTAATTCATTGCATATTGATGATATTATAACATTACAAATGGCATTACAAAATGGTCCCAATACACCATTAATAAATGCAATATTAAAGGCATTACCAACATTATTTGACAAATTATTGGATACAATTGATTTTGATAATATTCATTTAATGGCATCGTGTCTTGTATTTGCGACAAAATGTGAAAAACATAATTATCGAAATATTGAATTTCTTCTTGATGCAATTGATAATTATAGAGATGATATTCCATTGACGTCGGCAAAATTTATTTTAAAATCAATAAGATTTCTTCCACATTTTGAAAAAACACATAATAGACTTTTAAAACGTGTTCAAAATATTATTATTCAAAAAATTGATAGAATTTCATTTATTGACGCAATTGTGATATTGAAATCAATTCAATTCACCAAGTGAGTATTATTTACAAATTTTCCCGCGCAAGCTTATTTATTATTTTTTTTTAATTTTACTTAATACTACGTAATAATTAATTAATTTAATAATTTAATTTTCTGCTTGCAAAAAAAAATTTAGTTTTTTAAGATTATTTTTGAAAACAAACTAAAAATTTATAAAAGGCCTCGGATTATACGATTTTTTTCGACTTATTTTAATAAAATGCGATATTTTCGATTTTTTTTCATACATTTTTTTAGAAATTTTTTTTTAAAAATACATTTTTTTTTTAAATATGCAATGCAGATATTATTCAGATCTTCTTTTATTTCAATTATTTAACAAATTTTTAACTAAAATTCTTCACTAAATTAATTATTTTTAATAATTTTAATTAAATTCTTCTACAAATTCAAATTATGTTAAATTATTTTTCAATTAAAATTTTTATGAAATTTTTATAATTGTTTATAATTTTTTTTAAATTAGCTAATAAAATAACCAAAAATTTTTAATTTAAAATCATTTGAAATTTAATTATTTGCAAAAATTTCAATTTTTTTTTTAATGATTTTTATAATAATCTTCGAAAATTCAATATTATCAGAAAGCATTTTTCAATTAAAAACTTTTGGAATTTAATTTTTGTTTTCTGTGATTTCTAATAAGTTTTTCTTTATCAGAAATCACTGAAAATTTCTCCTATTATAATTATTGTCTGAAATTTAATACAATTTTTTGAAATTCAATTATTTTCAAAAATTTCAATTTAAAAGCTTTTAAAATTTAATTATTTTTAAAATTTTCCATCTAAATTTTTTTTTTTTAAATTTAATAATTTCAATTATAACTGAAATTAAATTATTTTTTAATGTTTTTTTAAAAATATTTTTCGTAATTTAAACTATCTGAAACCATTTTTCAGTTTTAAAAAATTTTACAGTTCAATTTTTGTCAGTAAATTCTAATAAATTTCTTCAATTATTTTCAAAAAATTCAATAGAAATTCAATTATTTTCAAAAATTTTAATTCACAAACAAATAAAATTCAATTATTTCAAAAATTTTAATTGAAATTCATTTATTTTAAAAATTTTTAATTAAAATTTAATTATTTTAAAAATTTTCTATTTAAAATTATCTAAAATTCAATTATTTTTCAAATTTTTAATTCAAAATCAACTAAAATTCAATTATTTTGCAAAATTTCAATTGAATTTCAATTATTTTCAAAGTTTTTAATTTTAAATTAACTAAAATTCAATTATTTTCAAAATTATTAATTCAAAATCAACTAAAATTTAATTATTTTCCAAAATTTCAATTGAATTTCAATTATTTTCAAAGTTTTCAATTTTAAATCAACTAAAATTCAATTATTTTCCAAAATTACAATTCAAAATCAATTGAAAATGAATTATTTTCAAAAATTTCAATTCAAAATCAACTGAAATTCAATTATTTTCCAAAATTTCAATTGAATATCAATTTAAATTCTGTTATTTACAAAAGTTTCAATTTAAAATCAATTGGAATTGAAATTTAATTATTTTCAAAAATTTCAATTTTATTATTTCTAAAATTTTCCATTTAAATTTTTTTTTAAATTTTAATAATTTCAATTATAACTGAAACTGAAACCATTTTTCACTTTTAAAAAATTTTACAGTTCAATTTTTGTCCTTAAATTATAAAAAATTTCTTGAATTATTTTCAAAAAATTCAATAGAAATTCAATTATTTTCAAAATTATTAATTCAAAATCAACTAAATTTTAATTATTTTCCAAAATTTCAATTGAATTTCAATTATTTTCAAAGTTTTCAATTTTAAATCAACTAAAATTCAATTATTTTCCAAAATTTCAATTCAAAATCAATTGAAAAAATGAATTATTTTCCAAAATTTCAATTAAAAATCAACTAAAATTCAATTATATTCCAAAATTTCAATTAAATATCAATTGAAAATGAATTATTTTCAAAAATTTCAATTCAAAATCAACTGAAATTTAATTATTTTCAAAAAGTTCAATTTAAAAGTTTCTAAAATTTTCCATCTAAATTTTTTTTTTTTTTGAAATTTAATAACTTCAATTATAACTCTTCTGAAATTCAATTATTTTTTAATGATTTTTATAATATTCTTCGAAAATTCAACTATCTGAAACTATTTTTCACTTAAAAAGTTTTCAAATTATTATATTTTTGTCTGAAATTTCTAATAAATTTTTTAGTGAAATCATCAAAAATTAAAAATCACTTGAAGTTCAATTAATTTCAAAAATCAAAATTCTAAATCTTTGAAAATTCAATTACTTTTAAAAAAAGGTTATCCAAAAATTATTTAATAAATTATTTTTAGTTAAGACTGTAAAATTTAATTATTATCTGAAAATTAACAAATTGAAATTCAATTATTTCTAAAAATTTCAATAGTAACTCTTTCAAAATTATTATTTAAAAAAAAAAATTTATTTAAAAATCTGTAAAACTTAATTAAGTATTGCCTGAAATATTTTATAAAAATAATTATAATATACAATTATAAAAATTAAAAACTATGACAAAATTTTTAATTCGAATAAATTGTTTAAATCAGATTTGAAAAAAATTAGAAAAATGGAACTTTAAGAATTTTTTTTTTTTTTTGTAGAAATTTGTCCTAATTTAATAAAATTTTGAAAATTTGTCTTTTAGTTCATTTATGAAATAGAAATAAATTTTCTTGATAATATTCATTATAGAATTATTTTCATTACAAAATTAATAAAATGAATTTAGTATCTAATAACATTAGTTATTTAAAGTAAATTATTTATTAATCAATTAAATTATGTTAAAATAAAAAAAAATCGACTTTTTTTGGAATATAAATCGACTTTTTTTTTTATCTTAAAATCGATATGAGGCCTGTAATAATTTTGTCATTGAGAGAAAATATAAAATAAAATATTTTCTGTATTTATTTTATTTATTTTGCTAATTTCCTTTTATATTTTCATTTTTAAAAAATTTTCTTTATATTGTTCTAATTTACATTTTTGTTATATTTTGTAAATTTATCTTTATTTTAATTTATTAATATTTGTTAATTTTTTTTCCTTTTAATTTTCATTTTATATTAATTTAATTTCTTTGTATATTTTTGTTTATTGTTTGTGCTTTTTAATTAATTTTCAAAATTTTATCTATTATTCAGACTTCCTGAAGAATAAATTAGTTTTTTTTTTTTTTTTTTTTTTTTTTTTTTTTTTTTTTTTTTTAAATCCATTTGTCCGAATGTTATCGTTTTTGTTATTTAATCTATTCGAATGTTAAAAATTTAATAATTATTTTTTAAATTCTATTTTCAGAAATGTAAAGGCACTTTATAATGACACCATGGTGGATAGTTTAGTTAATATGATAATTAAAACAGATGTTGGTTTAGAACAAGGTGTTGAGACACTTGAGAAATTGGTGAAAATTGGTCACGAACAAGTTGCGCTTTTAGATTATATTGCAATAAAATTTGTCGATAAATCAAATAGAAAAGATTATAAATATTTAAATATGTTAGATGTATTTGTTTCTGCAATGGCAATGTGTGATTATAAATCAATTTTTTGGGATGTTATTCAAGAATTAATATTAAATAATAATTCAATTGATTCTTATGAGAATATCACTGAACTTGTTGTGAATTTAGCAATTCTCGATTCTTATTCCGATAAATTGCTACGACTTATTCTCGAGAAAAATACTAATGTAATGTATCAATTTTTTTTTTTTTTTTAAACATCTATTTATTTTCTTGTAAAACTAAAAGAATTATTTTAATTATCTTTTTCTTTATTGATAATAATTTAATTTTGAAATTTATAGATCGAATGGATGCCTGCTGATCAAAAGCTGAAAATTTTAAAATTATATCAAATTATTAAAACACTTTATTTAGATTATGATGGACCTCGTCCATTGGAGGATAAATTAGAATTGCTTGTCGATTGGAATCAATATAATTATAAGAAATCACCAATTTACAAGGCCTTGGAAATAGCTGTTGGAGGTTCTGAATATATTGAAAGTAAAGTGAAAACGAAATTGGGTCATTTTATTGGTAAATAATTGTTTATTTCGAATATTTTATTTTTTAATTCTTATAAACTGAAAAAAAACAACCAAAGCTATATTTTTAATTAACGGAAAAGTAAAAGAAAATATTTTTCTATTTAAAATTGAATTTTTTTACTATATAAAATAGAATTATTATATATAAAAAAAAATTTTATATAATAATTTCACAAAAAAAAAAAAAAATTGATATTTCAAATAAGGAAAATATAAAATTTTCTTTAGATCACGTGATTCTTTGGGATAAATCATCAGCTAAACCTATTCCAATTAGTTATGAAAATAGTGAAAGAAATGAAAATTCAACAACCGATTTCAATGAATTGAAGCCAATTACATATTTAGAGGATATTTCTGTTCCCGATGAGACTCAAGTGTGAGTAATTTTCTTTTTTATTAACAATTTTATTCCAATCTTTTTTTTTTTAATATTGAGTTACTCAGAAAATTATTTTTATTTATTATTTATAGTTAGTTTTATTTTATTATTTTAAAAAAAATCAGTAATCAATATAAAATATTTTTTATTCATCTTGATAATTATTCCAAATTTTATTTAGTAAACTATTTTTTTTTTTTATGAAAATTATTTTAAAATTTTAATCGATTACAATTATATCGAATTAAACAAATGAAATGGTATTTCAATAGTCAAAAAATAATAAAAATTATTACTTACAAAAAAATTATAATCGAATAAATATTAAAAAAATTGAATTTTTGCTAAGCAAAATATAATTTCGAAAAAAAGAAAAAGAAATAAAATTCAAATAAGGGAAAATATTAACTAAAAATGAATTTTTCACATTGTTAGAAAATTATTAAATATTAAAATTATGATTCTAATACTTTCGTACAGTGATAAATTGACTTTTTCATTTTTTAATATATGGGTATAATTTCGCGTAAGAGGTTAAGAGTCATGTCTCAGATTTTTTTTTTTATTTTTTGTTTATAAGTAGTATTTTAAGTCATAAACAAACGGTACCAAATATGAATTAGATATTGTTATTATTTTTCAAAGAAAATTTGCATTGCAAATTTCATGACATTTTTTTTTTTCATGAAAAGGGTCTTTTAACACCGTAGAAACAATTTAGTCTAGCAGGACGAGACTTTTCAAAATTATAAAAATATGTTAAGAATGTTTTTTACGTCAAAAACATTAAAGTTTTATATAAAAAAAAAAAAGTTAAAAATTAATAAATATTAAATTTTTTAAAATAATCTATTAATGTTTATTTTTAATATTTAAATATGTGCGTAATCAAATTTTATTCTAAAAGAAAATATCAGCTGCGATCATTTTGCACAGGGTGGGGTAACTCGAAATTTGTACCCAGGGATGTGTTGCGCTGGAAAATTATAAAGTGGAACGTCCCAAATGTTACGTATTTGAAATACGTTGAAATGCTACATTTGGGACGTTCCAATTTATAATTTTTCAGCAACCCATCCCCCGTGGGTACAAGTTTTGTTTTTAAATTAAATTTATTAATTATTTAATTCAAATTAAATTAATTTTTTTTTTTTTACATTAAATTTAAAGTAAATTACATAAAGTATAATATAATAATATAATTATTAAATTAAATTACATTAAATAATGTAAATTTAATTGTATAGAATAATTATATTTTATTATAATATTTATATTTATTTACATATTTATAATTAAATATTTATTCATAAACTGATAAATAAATATATAAGAAATTCTAGTACAAATAATACTCTTTCAAAAATACAATTTTTTCCACCTTTACACTGCATAATATAAACTTACAAAATTCAAATGCAATTTTTTCAATTAAAAATAAAAAAAAAAAAAAAATAGTATTAATGAAATTTTTTTAAAAATATTTCAGACTTCTATTTGTGGATATTCCAACAAATGGTTTTACAATCAATGCAATGCAATTAAAAGGCAGTTGGAATTCATATATTAAAACTTTAGAGGCCATGAATTATTTGGTAATTCCAATATGTTCTGAAAATTGGCAACAATTACCTGATAAGGAAAGAATTCCTTATTTAGTGCACGCAATGCGATTAAAATGTGCCACTCATTATAATCCATTGTAAAAAAAAAAAAAAAAAAAAAAAAAAAAAAAAAAAAAATGAAAAAAAACAAAGGAAAACAAATTGTCGAGAAAAACTTCGATACTAAATGTAAATTGCAAAAAAAAACCTCCTGTTAACGTTAGGACTATGTAAATTCTATTTTTTCATTGTGTTCATTTATCAAATTCTCAGAGTTTTATATATACAAATTTTTTTTTTTTTTTTTTTTTTTTTTTTTGTACTTACAGTTGAATCGGAATGCATTTTTATAAAATTTAAAACTGCCTCCGTACTTACAATAGTCATAATTAATGTTTCTAAAAATTTTTACATGAGAAAAATGTCAAATAATTTTATTAAATCCGACAAATTAAAAAAAAAAAATTATTCCCTACAAAAAAAAAAATAAATTTTGATATATTTTGACGATTAATAGTTTGATTAAACAAAAGGAATTTTTATTTTTACAAAAAAAAGGAAAAAAAAAAAAAAAAAAGAAAGAGTTTTTAATTGGCGATTCAAATAACTACACTAGCGCCACAGTTGAACTAACGTAAGCGTGACTCGCTCTAAAGCAGTCTCTGTTTTGACAATTTATTTCAAATTATTTAATTATTCTGATATTTTTATTGCGTTTGTAAAATAATTTTTAAGCGTTAAATAAAAAAAAAATAATTTAAAACACCTGAAGTGCTACAGAGCAAGTCACGCTTAAGTTAGTTCAACTGTGGCGCTAGTGTTGATGTTTGAATCGTCAATCTATGTTCTGTCGGTAAAGTAGAACAATTTCGGCGGGAAATTTAAAAAGTTTCAAAATCAAAAATAGAATCAAATAAAAGTTGAAAGGAAAAATTTTTGTAAAATTTTCAAATTCTAATTATTGAAAAGAAAGGATAACAATTTTAATGAATAAATCGTCATAATTTAAAAGAATTTTCATTAATTTTTTTCCCCCAATTGGAAAAAAATAAATAACTTTTAAACATATTGGTAAATTAAAAGAAAATTTTTCTTCTTGTATACAATTTATTGATAGAAAAATATTTTATAACAATAACGTACATTTGATTAATTGTACTATATAACTATAATAATAATAATAATAATAATAATAATAATAATAATATATAGAAGTTCCAATTTTCAGAAAAAAAACCAGAGATTTTATTTTTTAAAAAAAGTATATTTAAAAAAAAAATAAATTGTAAATATAAATTTTTAAAAGGACAAAAAATTTTTATTAAAAATGAAAATAAAGGGAAAAATATATTCTATTTTATAATTTAAAATTCACTGGTCTTTTCTGTTTATAAAACATTAATTTTTTTTTATATATATATATATATTTAAAAAACGCAAAAATTTGCCAAAAAATACATTAAAATTTCGCAAATTTTTTTTTTCAACATTTCTTTAAAAAAAAAAAACTAATTTTTTTTTTTTAATTTACAAATTCTAAAAACACATTTTTTTTTTTCTTCTAAAGTGTGTTATTGAATCTCATTTGTGCTTATTGGAAAAAAAACAGTCATTTTTTTTTGTTTTTTTGATTGTGAAAAATCGAGATGATATGATTCTATATTTATTTTCTAAAAATTATTATGCACCGTTTTTATTTTATTTTTTCGTTTAATGGCAATGATTTTTTTTTATTTATTTATTTTTTTTTTTTTTTGGCAAGATCAAAAAAATCGTCAACAAATTTGAAATGAATTCCTATAACGGTGTCTACTAAAAATCGGAATTAAAATTCCAGAACTTTTCCAGGACTTTTTAGGACAAATTTCTTATTTTTCCAGGACATTAAATTGGATGACTTTAGGGAATAAAAAAATTTTTAGTTTAACAAATTGTTTTCAGAAATTATTAAAAAATTAATTAATTACTTAAGTAAATTTTCATTTTACTTATTTAATGAATTTTTTTAACTTGATTGAGAAAATTAGAAATTTTTGAAAATTTAAAAGCAAAATATAAAAAATTCAAAGACAAAAATTAAAATTCCAGGACTTTCAAGGAAATTTTTTCAAATTCCAGGACTAGTAGACACCCTGTATAAAAATTTTGAATTTAATTAATTTTGCATAAAATTCAAAAATTTTTTTTTATACAAAACATAAGATAGAGAATTCCATTGGAATTTTTTTTATGAATTTTTTTCAATATCTATATATTTTACATATATATATATATATATATATTTATTTTTAAAATCTTTTCATTTTTAATATTTATATATATATATATATCAATTTCCCATTGGGAAAAAAAAATTATTTTAAAACTACATGAAGCTCTTAATTTTTTTCCTAGAAACTAAAAAAATTTTTTTTTTCCATCTTTATAACTCGAGAGTAAATAAGCGGGGGAAAAAAATAGAAAATTAGCTGCAAAAATTCATTCCGGATGAATTTTTTTTTTTTGTTATGCGTGAGAAAAATAAAATTTCTCAAAAAAAAGCACCTGTATTTTTTTTTTTTTTTTTTGGCAGAAAAAAAAATATATATGCATTTATCATTGATTTAAACCAAAAAGTTTTAAGGCATTAAAGGCGGTTGCCAATGCAACTTCTTCGGGTGATATTCGCATAAATGCTGCGACCATTTCAACAACCGCTGGTAGTGCACATGGCTCATTTCGTTGAAATGTACAATATCTTTGTAAAAATGTTAATGAACGTTCAGTGAGTGAATCTTTAACGTGTGGCGGTAATTTACTTGCTCTTGTATTTGGATACATAAATGGTGCATCAGTTTCAACAAGTAGTCGATCCAATGGCGCTTGACCACCTTCCAATAATTGTCGTACACCACTATCTGATTTGTCTTTACATAAATAACCAGTGATACCAAGATAATAACCTTGATCAAGATAAATTTGCGCCTCCTCGGCAGTGCCAATAAATGAATGCACCAAAATTGGTGGTAATCGATCTTTATATTGATTTAATACTTCAATCACATCCGATTGTGCACCTCGTTCATGAATTATCAATGGTTTATTTAAACGACAAGCGAGCTCCACCTGGGAAAAATTAGACATAAAAAAATTGTTAATTTTTTTTTTTGTTCTACTTCAAACATTAAAATTAAAAATTAAAAATTTTAATTTAATTGTTCAAATTTAATAGGGTATATCTAATTCATAGTTTGAAATCTATTTATTTAAATTATTGAATTACTTTGAATTACCTTCTATTACTTTGAATTATCTCGAATTACTATGAATTATCTTGAATTAAATTGAAATATATGAATTATCCTGAATTATCTGAAGTAACGGGAATTATCATCAATTACTTTGAAACATCTCGAATTACTATGAATTATCTTGAAGTATATTAATTACTTTGAATTACTTTGAATTACCTTAAATTACTATCAATTATCTCGAATTTCTATGAATTATCTTGAATTAAATTGAAATATACGAATTATCTGAAGTAACGTGAATAATCATGAATTATCTTGAATTACTTTGAATTCTCTCGAATTACTATGAATTATCTTAAAGTATATTAATTACTTTGAATTACTTTGAATTATCTTGAATTAAATTGAAATATATGAATTATACTGAATTATCTGAAGTAACGGGAATTATCATCAATTACTTTGAAACATCTCAAATTACTATGAATTATCTTGAAGTATATTAATTACTGTGAATTACTTTGAATTACCTTAAATTACTTTCAATTATCTCGAATTTCTATGAATTATCTTTAATTAAATTGAAATATACGAATTATCCTGAATTATCTGAAGTAACGTGAATAATCATGAATTATCTTGAATTACTGTGAATTCTCTCGAATTACTATGAATTATCTTGAAGTATATTAATTACTTTGAATTATCTGAATTATCATGAATTACTTTAAATTCTATGGAATTATTAGAAATTATCTGGAATAAACTTGAAGTATTTGAATTATCCTGAATTATCTGAAGCATCGTAAATTATCATGAATTACTTTAAAACATCTCGAATTATCTTGAAGTATTAGAATTATCCTAAATTATGTGAATTATCTGAAGTATCGTGAATAACCTTAAATTACTTCGAGATATAATTACTAATTAATGAATTATTAATTATTAATTAATAATTAATAATTTCCTCTCTAATTATTTTATTATTATCAATTATTTTGAATCATCTCAAGTATCGTGAATTATCATAAATTACTTTGAATTACCTTGAATTACTTTGAATTATCTCGAATTACTATGAATTATCTTAAAGTATATGAATTATGTTTCATCTGAAATATCGTGAATTATAATGAATTACTTTGAATTACCTTGAATTACTTTGAATTACTTCGAATCACTATGAATTATCTTGAATTAACTTGAAATATATGAATTATCCTGAATTATCTGAAGTAACGGGAATCATCATGAATTACTTTGAAACATCTCGAATTACTTTGAATTCTCTCGAATTACTATGAATTATCTTAAAGTATATTAATTACATTGAATTACCATGAATTACTTTGAATTATCTTGAATTAAATTGAAATATATGAATTATCCTGAATTATCTGAAGTAACGGGAATCATCATGAATTACTTTGAAACATCTCGAATTACTATGAATTATCTTGAAGTATATTAATTACTTTGAATTACTTTGAATTACCTTGAATTACTTTGAATTATCTTGATTTACTATGAATTATCTTGAATTAACTTGAATTATATGAATAATCCTGAATTATCTGAAGTAACGGGAATTATCATGAATTACTTTGAAACATCTCGAATTACAATGAATTATCTTGATGTATTTGAATTATCCAGAATTATCTGAAGTATCGTGAATAACCTTGAATTACTTAGAAGTTTAATAACAAATTAATTAATTAATAATTAATAGTAATTCGAGAGGTAATTAGTAATTATTAATTATTTAATTAATTAATTAGTAATTAATTCTCGAAGTAATTCAAGGTTATTCACGATACTTTACATAATTCAGGATAATTCAAATACTTCAAGTTTATTCCAGATAATTTATAATAATTCCATATAATTTAAAGTAATTTATGATAATTAAGATAATTCAAAGTAATTAATATACTTTAAGATAATTTATAGTAATTCAAGATAATTCAAAGTAATTCATGATAATTCACGATACTTCAGATACTTCAGATAATTCAAAATAATTAATAATACTAAATTAATTCGAGAGATAATTATTAATTAATTAATTCATTCATTAATTAGTAATTATATCTCAAAGTAATTCAAGGTTATTCACGATACTTCAGATAATTCACATAATTCAGGATAATTTGAATACTTCAAGATAATTCGAGATGTTTTAAAGTAATTCATGATAATTTACGATGCTTCAGATAATTCAGGATAATTTAAATACTTCAAGTTTATTCCAGATAATTTCTAATAATTCCATATAATTTAAAGTAATTCATGATAATTCAGATAATTCAAAGTAATAAATATACTTTAAGATAATTCATAGTAATTCAAGATAATTCAAAGTAATTTATGATAATTCACGATACTTAAGATAATTCAAAATAATTAATAATAATAAAATAATTCGAGAGGTAATTAGTAATTATTAATTAATTCATTCATTAATTAATTATATCTCGAAGTAATTCAAGGTTGTTAACCATACTTCAGATAATTCAAGATAATTAAAATACTTCAAGTTAATTCAAGATAATTCATAGTAATTCGAGATTATTCAAAGTAATTCATGATAATTCAGATAATTCAAGATAACTAATATACTTCAAGATAATTAATAATAATTTGGCATAATTCAAGTTAATTCATGATACTTCAGATAATTCATATAACTGTAAGTTTATTCTAGATAATTCATAGTAATTCGAGATAATTTAAAGTAATTACAGTTAATTCACGATATTTCAATTAATTCAAAATAATTAATATACTTTAAGATAATTTATAGTACTTCGAGAGGTAATGAGTAATTAATTAGTAATTATTAATTGATTAATTAATTAATTAGTAATTAAATCTCGAAGTAATTTAAGGTTATTCACGATACTTCAAGATAATTCCTATATATTTTAAGTTAATTCAAGATAATTCATAGTAATGTGAGTTAATTCAAGCAAATTTAAAGTATTTCATGATAATTCAGGTAATTCATATACTTTAAGTTAATTCAAGATACTTCATAGTAATTTGTAATGATTCAAAGTAATTCACAATAATTCACAATAGTTCAGATAATTCAAGATAATTCATAAATAGAAATACGATAAAATAACAATTCGTATCAATAAGAATTCTTTATGAAAATTTTACTAGACATAAATTCTGATGTTAAATTGAAATTGTATAATTTGAAAATTTCGATCAGCAATTCCGCTAGACTAAAAAGAAATATCAATGATTCAAGAAAATGATTTACTTGTCCGTATTTGATTCACTAATTTTCGTAATTCAAGAAAATTTATTTCAAACTAGTCAAATTTTCTTGGATCAAGAAAATATTTGTATATAATACGGACTAGAAAATTGGTTTTATTAATTTAATACTATTTTTTTCCAATGTAAATAAAAGTTCAGTTATATAGAAATTCTACTAAATTAAAATTTACTTAAATATAAATTCTACTAAATCAGAATTTAGTTAAATAGAAATTCTTCGATTCGACTTATTATAAAATCCACTTTATAAAATTTTGCTAAATAAAAATTCGATAATTTTTAATTCAACACCACAAAAATTCCATCTACTCTCTAAATCTGAATAAGTAAAAAAGTTTACTAATTTGAATTAGTGACTCACTTTTTGCTTCTCAATTAGTAAAATTTTACTAATTATTAGTAACTTTTACTAACAATTAGTAAAATTTAACTAATTTTAAAGCAAAAAGTGTGTCACTAATTTAAATTACACTGTAAAAAAATTAGGGAGTTAACGTTACTGGAAGTTGGGAGTTAAATTTTTCGAGTTAAAAATCAACTCAAAAAAGGAGTTAATAATGAAATTAACTCCTTAAAACCAACTCTCTAGGCATAAAATTAACTCGAAAAGCATTAACTCCCTTCGTTTCAACTCCAAAAGGATGGGACTTTTATAGCATCCCCTAGGGAGTTGAAATTCAACTCCTTTTTTTTTTACAGTGTAGTAAAGATTTTTACTAATTCAGATTTAGAGAGTAATGTAGAGGTAAATTTGATCAAAAATTATTGTATATCAACAAAATTTTTGTCTCTGAATTAATTCTCTTTTTTTTCGACCAATTATAATATAATTTCTCATAATATATGATAAGAATTTAAGAAAAAAAAGAAAAACACCTGTTTATGAAAAACAGAACGTTGTGCCTCGGGTTCGGAAAAATCACGATTATAATCCAAACCACATTCGCCAATTGCAACACATTCGGGATTTGCGGCAATTGTTTCCAATTCATCGAGTGTATCGGGATCTTCCCATGATTTTGCATCGTGTGGATGAACACCAGCCGTTGAATACAATGTACCTGGATAAATTCTCGTTAAACGTAATGCCTCTTTACTTGATCGAATACCCGCTCCCGTGACCATTATTTTTTGTACTCCCGCGTCTTTTGCCCTTTGAACAACGCTATCCAAATCGCGACTATATTTTTTATTTGTCAAATTAGCGCCCACATCAACGAGGACATAATTCTCATAGCATTGTGACATTTTTGATGTTTCCTTTATTTCATCCGTATTTGAGGCACTAGCGTTTTCGTCCATTGTGTGTGTGTGTGTGTTTTTTTCCTGTATCTTTAATCTGTAAATTAATGCGTTTTGCGAGTTATTTATATAGTTTAACAGCATTCGCGGAGATTTTAAATATCCTATGGAAATCGTAGGGGGTATTTTAAATCTCCGGATGCTGTGAGGGATTTTATAAAAAAAAAATTTTAGGTTATGTTAGGAAAAATGACTAAATTTTTATAACGTCGTTCTTTTAGTAATGCCAAAAAGCCCTATTTTAAGAAGAAAAGCTTTATAATTTTGAAACTAAATACTCTCTAAATTTGAATTAATAAAAATGTTTACTAATTTAAATTAGTGACTCACTTTTTGCTTTAGACACAAATAGCACGGAAACTTGCAGCAAGTTTGCAGTGCAAGGTTTGTAAGGTAAGTTTGCAGCAAACTTGTGGCAAACATTGAAATGTCCTTCCTTGGCAAGTTTGCAGCAAAAATTTTCTGCAAACATGCTAAGCAAAATTGTCGAAAAGTTTCAAGAACAATATTTATAGAAAAATTGCGCTGAAAATTTTTAGAAATTTTAAAATGCAAGTTTTAGTAAAATAAATATTTCATATAGTTTTATGGAAAATTATTTTGTCAATTTCTTTTGAATTTAAATAATTAAATCACAGAATAGAAAAAGAGAAATAACGAAACAATTGTTTGAAAGAATTTTTTTTTTTTAATTTATTCTCAGTGACTTTATGCATTTGAAAATATTTGTTATGGAACATTTTTAAAATTGAGTACAATTTATTAACCCCGATGTTAGTGGCTTAAAAATATTAAAAATCGAGATAAGGTATAAGTAAAAATATTTATAAATTTTTTAATTAAATACAAAATATAACTATTAAATATTTATTTTATTAAAATTTGCATTTTAAAATTTCTAAAAATTTTCAGCGCAATTTTGCTACAAATTGTTCTTGAAACTTTTCGACAATTTTGCTTAGCATGTTTGCAGAAAGTTTTTGCTGCAAACTTACCTTACAAACTTTCAAACCTTGCACTGCAAACTTGCTGCAAGTTTCCGTGCTATTTGGGAGAATTAGTTTTTTACTAATTGTTAGTAAAAATTACGAATAATTAGTAAAATTTTATTAAATTCAGAAGCAAAAAGTGAGTCACTAATTCAAATTAGTGAACATTTTTACTAATTCAGATTTAGAGAGTAAAAAACTACTAAATATTATATTAGTATTTGGGGGGCATTCTATGGGAAATTTTCATTGAAATTTTTTTTTTTTGTCCGAAACATTTTTTTTTCGAAATCTATATGAAAAATAAGGAAATACGTATTTTTTTATTTGATGAAAATGAAGGAAGTTATGATTTTTTGAAATTTAACATCAACGAAGAAAGTGTGTTTTTTGGAACATTTTTTAATCTATTATACTAATAAATTAAAAATTATGCTATATATAAAAATTTGTTCATTTTTTCTCAAAATTTTTCAAATATGTGCTCAAAAATAACGTACCTATAACAGAAGCAACAAAAAAGTTGAAATTAAAGTGAGTTTTCTCAAAAGAGACACTTTCGATTTTTAATTTTTGCTTTACAATCTCTGATGACTGAAGAATTTTTTCCCCTATCTGCGAAAGTGGTACTTTTAGTTTTTAAATTACTATTTACAATTTTTAAGCTTGACGCAACGATTTTTTGTATGTTTTTATGAAAACTAAAAAAAAAACAAATGAATGTTAATGGAAAAATGTTATATTTGTAGAAAAAAAAAAATGCTTAAATTCTGTGAGCCGTACTAAAAAAAATTATAAATAGTAATTTAAAAACTAAAAATACCACTTTCGCAGATAGGGGAAAAAATTCTTCAATCATCAGAGATTGTAAAGCAAAAAAAAAAAAAATTAAAAATCGAAAGTGTCTCTTTTGAGAAAACTCACTTTAATTTCAACTTTTTTGTTGCTTCTGTTATAGGTACGTTATTTTTGAGCACATATTTGAAAAATTTTGAGAAAAAATGAACAAATTTCATATATATATAGTATAATTTTTAATTTATTAGTACAATAGATTAAAAAATGTTCCAAAAACACGCACTTTCTTCGTTGATGTTAAATTTCAAAAAATCATAACTTCCTTCATTTTCATCAAAATAAAAAAATACGTATTTCCTTATTTTTCATATAGATTTCGAAAAAAAAAATGTTTCGGACAAAAAAAAAAATTTTTCAATGAAAATTTCCCATAGGATGCCCCATATTTTTATTATAAATCGAAACAATACATTCAATTTTGTTTTAAATAAATAATTGTAAATTTCCGTTTTTTGACAGTAGGTATATAGTAAATCGATTGTATTTTTTCAATTTAATTTTACTTAAATTTCTTTATCTAATTAGGCATAATTTTAAAAATATTCACAAAAATAATAGATAAAAATTTGTCAAGTGCATTGTATAATAAAATTAGTATATATATATATATATAATTGAAAATTAGACTCACCCTAACCTCAAAATACAGAATATATATATATTGAAAGAATTAAATTCGATATTCTTTGAAGAAAATTTTTCTTGTATTAAATACACCTAATAAATAGATTACACATCGTTGTGAGATAATTTAAACACTTATCGGGAAGGGGGGAGAGAAATTTTTATAATTGAAAAACACAGACGCAAAGGTCGCGGGAGCGAGTAACGATATTCTAACCTTATCCCAGGGAAAGAAAAGATTAATCTGCGCGCTGCCGTATATGAGTCACGTCGCGAAATAAAATATCAGGAATATCTTTTGCTCTTCAAAGACCCGGAGGCGTATATATATATGTATATATACATATATAATAAACATTGCGAAATAATTCTCCTTTTTTGGTGAAACTTAAGATATTTTATGTAATTCAGATTTTTAATTCTTATAAAGGCATTATTCAATAAAATATGTAAAATTTGAAATAAAATAAATAAATTTTATAATTTATAAGAGGTTTTAATTTTTATGATTTCATTTGTCATATTAATTTTTAAACCGATTTTTTATTTATTCGAATTAGTATTTTGTAGAATTTTCATCAAAAATGATTTTTTATATATTACAGAATGAAAAAAAAAATGATGAAAATACTATGTAAAATACTAATTCGAAATTTCAAACAAATAAAAATCAAATAATTTTTTTATTTAAATCAAATAAGCTGTATTTGAACTGATTTCTGTATTTTTGAAACTATTAATTATGAAATAAATATTTGATACAATGAAATATTTATTTGATAATAGTAAAGTAAAACCAAATTTTTGAATTAAATCAAGGGGGAAATAACTTGTTAATTAAAGTGTACATTATTTTGAAATACTTTGAATTACATGAAGTATTCTGAATTATTTGAAGTATTGTGAATTAACATGAATTACCTTGAATTACATTGAATTATCTCGAATTACAATGAATTATCTTGAAGTATATAAATTATCCTTTATCAGAACTATTGAGAATTATCATGAATTACCTTGAATTACTTTGAATTATCTTAAAGTATATGAATTATGCTTCATCTGAAGTATCGTGAATTATAATGAATTATTTTGAATTACTTTGAATTATCTCGAATTACTATGAATTATCTTGAATTAACTTGAAATATATGAATTATCCTGAAGTATCGGGAATTAACATGAATTACTTTGAATTATCTCGAATTACAATGAATTATCCTGATGTATATGAATTATCCTTTATCAGAACTACTATGAATTATCATGAATTACCTTGAATTACTATGAATTATCTTAAAGTATATGAATTATGCTTCATCTGAAGTATCGTGAATTATAATGAATTACTTTGAATTAAATTGAATCACTTTGAATTAATGAATTACTTTGAATTACTATGAATTAGCTTGAATTGACTTGAAATATATGAATTATCCTGAAGTATCGGAAATTAACATGAATTACTTTGAATTATCTCGAATTACTATATGAATTATCTTGAAGTATATGAATTATCCTTTATCAGAACTATTGTGAATTGTCATGAATTACCTTGAATTACTTTGAATTATCTCGAATTACTATGAATTATCTTAAAGTATATGAATTATGCTTCATCTGAAGTATCGTGAATTATAATGAATTACTTTGAATTAAATTGAATCACTTTGAATTACTATGAATTACTTTGAATTACTATGAATTAGCTTGAATTAACTTGAAATATATGAATTATCCTGAAGTATCGGAAATTAACATGAATTACTTTCAATTATCTCGAATTACTATATGAATTATCTTGAAGTATATGAATTATCCTTTATCAGAACTATTGTGAATTGTCATGAATTACCTTGAATTACTTAGAATTATCTTGAATTTCTATGAATTATCTTAAAGTATATTAATTACTTTGAATTATCTGAATTATCATGAATTACTTTAAATTCTATGGAATTATTAGAAATTATCTGGAATAAACTTGAAGTATTTGAATTATCCTGAATTATCTGAAGCATCGTAAATTATCATGAATTACTTTAAAACATCTCGAATTATCTTGAAGTATTAGAATTATCCTAAATTATGTGAATTATCTGATGTAACGTGAATAACCTTAAATTACTTCGAGATATAATTACTAATTAATGAATTATTTTATTAATTAATAATTAATAATTTCCTCTCTAATTATTTTATTATTATCAATTATTTTGAATTATCTCAAGTATCGTGAATTATCATAAATTACTTTGAATTACCTTGAATTACTTTGAATTATCTCGAATTACTATGAATTACCTTAAAGTATATGAATTATGTTTCATCTGAAAGATCGTGAATTATAATGAATTACTTTGAATTACCTTGAATTACTTTGAATTACTTCGAATCACTATGAATTATCTTGAATTAACTTGAAATATATGAATTATCCTGAATTATCTGAAGTATCGTGAATTAAACATGAATTACTTTGAATTATCTCGGAATTACTATGAATTATCTTGAAGTATATGAATTATCCTTTATCAGAACTATTGGGAATTATCATGAATTATCTTCAATTACTTTGAATTATATCGAATTACTATGAATTAACTTGAAGTATCGATCATAAATTATTTTGAAGTATGAAGTAGGTGTACACCAAATTTTTTATTTGTTTCCCTCTTGAATTGAATAAATTTTTTTCATGGACTTTTTACTAAATTATTTTTAGATACATATATATATATATAATTAATGTTTCATTTCGAATTATTTACAGTATAATTAAATATTATATTTTCAAATCGTGACTGAGGGAAATAAATAAAATGTCATATTTCTCCCGGGTATATTATCCTCAAGGTTGAAAATATAATTAAAAATATATGCATGCTTTTTAAATAAAAACAAAATATAACCCGGAAGGTTATTGGGTCAAATTTATTTGTTGTCAACGATTGAAAAACATGCAATCGAAAAAAATTATAATTCTTTTTTGCATGCGCGAAACAATAGAAGGTTTCAATTTACAGAAATATTTATACTCTCCTATATATATATATATATATATATATATATATATATATATATACAGCGATTTGTTAAAAATTGAAAAGTTTCTGCTCTACTTTTCAAAGGGAAATATATCTGCTCCAGGTATTGAACTATTCCGTTGTCAAGCAAACAACCGATATATATATTTTAACCATGAGAATTTCGAGATGCCGGAAGACGCGCATTCCTGCATTAATAGTCTCTTACTTCAAACGAATTCAAGTCCGCAAAAAAATTTAATTGAAAATTTTTTCTATTTTTTTGAAATATGTTTTCAATTATTTTTTCTTTTCTTCATCATCATTCTTTTGATCATCATCATCATCAGGTAAATATTTTCGCAAAAATTATAGATTTAATTTTCAATATAGAAAAATCTAAAAAAGAATTAATTTCAGCTTCGAGGGAATCGGTTGACGAAATCGAGAATAATAATATTATGAAGCCGCGTCAAAAATGTTGTTCTCATTGTCCGGGGAAAATAACAGCGTCCTTCGATCTCGAAGATCATACATGTCCGTTACCAAAGTATATAAGTGGAAATTTAAGATTAACATCGTTAAAAAAGAATGTGTCTGGTGAGGATGAGGAACGCATTGAGAGGCTATCGCGTAAAACAGTGAAATCAACACCCGTCGATAGAATTGATTCGTGCATCAATAGATTTGCTATAGCAAAAAAATTTCACGCTGAAAATTTACAACATCAACCGTTACCCGATAAAGTTGACGATTCAATTTTTAACAATGTTAGACCATCGAAATTGCTCAATAATTTGTGTTCAAAATGCAAAGCCATTGAGAGGTAAGAGGAATTTTGTTTTATAGAAGAAATAATGTTTCAAAAAAATAGAAATTCGAGAAATTATCGAATCTTTTTATGGTATAAAATATTCCAGATGTCAGAGGATAATTCCACAATTAAAACGAGAAGATGCAAAGCGTTTGGGTAAAAAGTATGGTCCAGTTTTGGGATGTAAAAAACCAGAGACACATATGGATTTAGCGATTTGTTGGGAAACTCCAATAGATCCGGAGTACGAGCCTCGAAGAGCATTGCACATTGATGGCTCCGATGGTGGACCAGCGCCTGCTGTATTTACTCTTGTTCAACATTCGCTTACATCATCGGAAAAAATTGGACAACAATGCCAAGGTTGCAATCGACAATTGGAGGTGCAATTTCACAATTTTCTAAATAGGAAACATTTTTTTTGTAGAGGAATTTGGAGTTTTAAAAGCTAATCTCTTAAGCTACCTTAAAAGCTTTTTATATATGCGGTCGTAATCGAGACATATGATAATTTCACCAATTCCGATTAATCGGTGATTAAATCCCTAACCAATCATTAAAGTCAATTTTACCGCTTATGATTGGTTAGGGATTTAATTATTACTGATTAACTCTTAATCGGGAGTTGGTAAAATTGGCTTTAATTATACCGATTAACTTTTAACCAGATTTGGCGAAACCGGTCCATAGTGATCTTCTCATTTAATCAAAGAATTGTTAGAAGAACAAAAAGTAAATATTCATGATCATTTAGAAAAATGTCCTATATAATTCAATTCATAATTAAAAAATATAAATGTTAAAGCATTAACAAATTTTAGCCAAATTCAAAATGGGTGATTGGTTAGAACAATTTATTTTTACCATTGTACCTAAATTAAATTGTGATTGTATTATCCGTTCAGATATGTTAAAAATATATTAAAAACTAAAATTGATTTAAAAAAATGATGTTATTGTAGTAATGAAAGGGAAAGAAGAATTATCAATGAAAATGCTAAAAGAAAACATAAATAAAATAAGAATAATATATTAGCAGAAAGAAAAGAGTATAGAGAATTTTATTTTTTCAGAACAAATCTGATCACCGTGATGTGGAAAATAATTTAAATTCATCGGAACCGTTGAATAATCATCATTCACCGAATGTGGAGGGAAATAATTGTGATTTGTGTGAAAATTTTAATTCAATTCACATATCCAGTGGCGATAAGAAAACTATTTTCCCAAAGCCTGGATTTCGTCCAAGGCCAAAGCATGCAACTCAATTGAGACATTGTACAGCTTGCGAGGCAATGGGAAAAACAACAGTATCAAATTTGCATCCATCACGATTTATTCAATCGGCAAAAATTAATCGAAATGGTCGACGTAATGGTTTGTCAACTAAATTTCCCGTACCACGTCCACGAACACCATTTGCCCGACGATCATTTTGCATTGATACACTAACGCCGCCATTCAGTATTGTTCAAGGATGTCGTGACGCTGACTATCCAGAACATTGGCGGCTCACTTCTGTTTATCAACAATCATATCGTAATCCAAAAAAACAACGCGGTACAATTTTAAATTACGATCATTAATTTCTCCTATGGGTAGAATTAATTAAGAAAAAAAAAATTATTTAGTAATCCATTAAGTAATTAATTAATTAATATGTGAAGCGGCAGGAGAAAAAGGAGGGGATATCCTTTTCTTCAGCGGTGTCACATAATTAATTACTAGTGAAAAGTAAATAACTAGTGAATTAATAATGAAAATTTAGTAGTAAATAATGACATTTGAAATTAAAATATAGTTTATTTTAAATTTAGTAATTAATACCAAAACACATAAATATTAACATTAATTATTAAATTTTAATTATACGCTCAACTTTGTCAATTATAATTTTAATTTAATGTAATTTTTTATCAATAGTTTATCACACTAATTTTTATCGCAAACACTAATATGAATTTAAATTAATTTTTCAATTTGTAATTAAAAATTGATAACGTAAACTGATCAAATGTTTCGATTTTAATTTTAAATTTAATATAGAACGAAGAGGAATGGGAGAAAATTTAAGAAATAAAAGTTTGACAATTAGAAAAGAAAATACTAGGATTTAAAAATTTTAAATTAAATTAATTAAATCAATTTAATTAAATTAAATAAATCTCTGATTAAATTAATTAAATTAATTAAATTCATTTAATTAATTAAATTTCTGATTAAATTAATTAAATTAATTAAATCTCTAATTAAATAATCCTCGAGATCCTCTAATATTGCTAATGTTCACATTAATTGGAATTGAATTTTGATCAGTACTTGATTCACCGGGTAAATTAATAAATTCCAATCTTTGTAGTGCAATTTTTTGTAGACGATTAAGAAGACCTGGATAATTTGATATTGCTTGGAGAAAATTCTCTCGAGTTAAAATTAACATTTCACATCTTTCAATTGTATAAACACTCGCGATACGCATTTCATTCTCCATTACCAATGCAATTTCACCAAAATAACAACCATCATCTAAATGACATATCTATAATTAAAAAACAATATTGTTTATTGTTATTATCCTCGAATAATTTAATAATATTGTAATTCAGTTAATTAGTAATTAAAAAATTGTTAAATTGTTATTATTGTTGTTTTTTCAAATGAAAAAGAAAAAAATTCGATTTCAAATAAAAGAAATGGAAAAAATTTTCAATTGTTTAATTATATCAATTAACATTTAAATAATTTAAATTATTATTTATTAATATTTATTGGATAAAATTAAATATTGAAAAATGAAAGGAAATTGTAATTTGTAAATTACCTCTTTTCCTTTATTTGAATAAACTGCAACAGTTCCGGAAACAATGTAAAAAAATGTTTCACCGGGAGTATTTACTTTAACAATTTCATCATTGGGTAAATAAATTTTCGGTTCAATAAATTCAGCAATTTTAATCACAACTGACTGTGGTAAATTTTGAAAAAGAATAACTGTTTCAAATAATTTTTTACATCTATGCAAAATCAGTTCCTATAAGAAATATTTTAATATAATTCATTTATTTTAGTTTCCAATTTAAAAAAATAGTTTAATGCAAACTATTTACATTAACAATTAGCTTGTGGAAAATTTAAAAAAAATTAGCATTTAAATTTGGCGCGCATATTAAATAATTTGCATTAAACTACTTTATCGACGGTACATAGATTGGAAACTCATTGGAAAAATTTTTTTCAAAAAATATTTTCTATTACTTCACGAAGATGTGGTGTAACTTGAGAAAGAACATCTTTTTCTCTATCAAAATTTCGTTTATTATAATAATCATAATAAGCGAGAAGACGATTTTGTATTGTTTTCGGTAATTCTTTATTTTTCATAAATTCACGTAATTGTTGAAGATGTTTATTTCGTTTTTTACTTAATGAATAAACGAGACTTGTGATTTGAACAAATTTAACTGAAATTTGAAAATTTCTAATTATGAAAATGAAAATAAAAAAAAAAATTTTAATCAACACTTTATACGAACATAATAAATAAATAAATCCAAGTCTTCCTAAAATTGATAAAACCAAATTTAAAATCATATCCTCTAGGGCAAAAACTGGTAAAATATGTGTCGAGGAAACTAAAGCTGTTGTTGCTCGTTGTAGGCAAAATATGTATTTTTTTATTCGACTTGTTTTCTTTATCATAATATCACTCAATATCCAGGAGCTAACAAAATTTAATAAAAAAAAAAATTTTAATTAAATTAAATATTTTGAATTAAATTTTAAGCAAATTTTTATTAGGAAATAAAAAAATTTTTTATTTTTAAAATTAAATTTAAAATAAAAATTATATTATACTTTTTACGTTCTCGTAATTTTCCAGATTTTAGAATAGCTTGAGGGACATAATATTCTAAACAAGCTGACCAATGAATTGTTATTGAAATAATTAATGTCAATTTAATTATTTCGTAATTTTTTAACGATACTTGAAATGTCTGTAAATTGTATATAATTAATTTCAACAATTATGAGAAAAAATTTTGTATTTAATTAAAAATTAATAGATTAATCTAATTACTAGCAAAATTAAACGCGCGCCAAATTGAGTATTTAATTGTTTGTTATAAAGAAATTAAAGATTAATATTATCAATAATAATTTAATTTATTAGAATATTATTATATATTAAATGATAATTTACCTTTTTTAAATATTCCGTACCTTTAAGAATATTACGAAGGGTAATGATTTTGATAAAATTGAAAATTGGTATGTACCATTTAGTGTCTCCCATACCGCATATGAGATAATCTATCAGTTCTTCCGGAAATATTGTTAACAAATCAAGAAAAAAATAGCTTCCAATGTATTTTCTGTTAGAATTTTTCTTGTTATTAAAATCTTAAATATATTTTTTTTTAAATACGATATTTATTTTTTTTCAATATTATTTTTAGGATTTTTAGGATTTTTAGGGAATTATTAAATTATTATAAAAATTACTTGGTAAATTATTTACTAAATTAAAAAAAAAATTGTATTTAAAAATTTTTGTCAAACAAAAAGAAAAATACTAACTGAGCAACAATTTTTGGATCAAAAATAACATTTCTCGTCTCAATATCATAATAGCCAGTTAAAAAAGTGAGAATTATATCGAATAAAAAAATTGTATCAATAAAAATTGTTATTGGATACCAATTTTTTTGCATTTCAAAATAAAATGCATTTAATACGGGAATTATAAATAATGCTAATATCGTAAATATTACAAGGAAAATAATCCAACATACTCTGTAAAAGAATATATATTTAAATTAACTTTTACTTTTTTAAATTCTACTATATTTATTAAAAATAAATATATTTTAATTTATAATTTTTTAACGACATAATATTACTTTTTTTTAAAATAATCGATTAATTAATAAATTAATATAATTTTATAATTAAGTTTAAATAATTTTATTTATATACCTAAATCTAGAAAATGGATGTATCATGTAGGGATAAAATTTAATTTGTCTATTAATTTCATAATTAACAGCAGCAGTACTTTTTAAAATATTTCTTGCAAAAGGATTTTTACGTGACAAAATAAATAGTCCTTTAATCCATTCACGAAAATCAGCAAAAATTCCATTTGTTAAAAAAATATTTCTTTTATTTTCATTTTGATTTATAAAATTGCATTTGTGTTCAATAATCGATGATTTCTGAGAATTTAGAAGAAGAAGAAGAAGAAAAAAAAATTACAATTATACAATTAAAACTGTAAAATAAATTAATTTAAATATGCAACTATTAATTTTGTAAATAAAATTTTGAAAAATTACTAAAATATTAATTTTTCACGAATTCAAATTTCATAATAAAATTTGTTTTTTAATAAATTTTTTTTTTTTTAAATAAAATTCAAAATTACCTGACTATCGATAGATGGATTGACTGCTTCAGGTATAAGTGTAAATAAATCCATTTAAAAAAAAAAAAAAAATTATTTATTTAATTCACTTATAATAAATCCAATGAATTTGATAACCAAAGAAATCGATGTCATGTAAATTAATTCATTTTGATTGTCATTTATTTAGAAATAAAAAAAATTATTTTTTAGTGATTTGAAATTTGGCGCGTTATATTTGACGCATGCGCACATTATTTAACTGACCGTTACTGAGCACTGAGCAGACGTCTTTTATCAGTCTCGTCAGCTTTAATAGAATACACTAAAAGTATAAATGATAATTGTTATCTTTTAGATGTGTTTTCTATTTATTAAAAAAATAATATAATATAATGTAATATAATGTAATATAATGTAATATAATATAATATAATATTTATAATAACAACATAGACCTGATGATGATACGTATTGCATTGAAACGTTGACAACAATTAAAATTATATGATTACAATAAATTATTAAATCTGTAAAATTCTATTTTAATAAAAATGATTTAATTTTTTTTTTTTATTAGATTTAGATTTTTATTTAAACATGAAAAAAAATAATTAGTTTCAATCGGTAATTCAGATTTTTTACAGTTATAATATACCGTTAATTTTAAATTAATATCAAAACGTTAATTTTCTTTTTTCTACTTATGCAAAATGTGAAAATAAATTATAATGTAAAATTAATTTTAAAAAAATAAGTAAATTCCTTTTTTATTTTATTTAAAAATTTCAAAATAAGCCTCCGTCGATAAAACAGTTTCACAAGTTGCGGCAATTGTGTTACATTTAGGGATAAATAAATTACTTTTTTTTTACCGTAAAAATGATTGTTTTGTGTTAAATAAACTTTATAATTTATCAAAAATAATAAATTTATTCTTCCAAAGACTATATAGTTAATTTAATTTTTATATATCTTTTATTTGGGTATATGAAAATAGTTTTTGATAAATGATATTTTTTTTATAGGTTAGGTTTGGTTGATTTGTAATATATTTCCAAATAGGGTAATAGATGTTAGATTATGTTTATCTTTACGGCGTGGGTGTTAAAATAACGGCAAAGAAAGTGTGGGTATTCAGAAAGAATATAAGAAATATATAATTTAGTATCGAAAAAAAAATCTCAGTGTTAAAAACTACGTGACATAACCTACTCCAAAAAAGAAAATGTAAGTAACTTTTAATTCTAAATTTCCTTTTATGGATATTATTCGATTAATTTTTTTTATATAAATTCCGTAAAAAATAATTTCTATTCAAAATATTTAAATTTAAAATTAAAAACGTTTATTTAAAAAAAAAATTTTTTAATAATAAAAATTTGTAAAAATTTTTCTTTTCTTTACAGGCAAAAAAGTATTTTTATTTTTTTGTTCACACATTGTTTGGTGTGGGGCAATGACTATTATGAACTTTTGGGATTACAAAGAACCGCCGATCAACGAGAAATTAGACGAGCATTTAAAAAACTTGCGGTCACTCAACATCCGGACAAAAATACTGTAAAAAAAAAATTTTTAATATATATATTTTTTTAAATTTAATTTTATTACGAGGTAATTTTTTTAAAAAAGAAGTCACCCCCCCCCCCCCCGAAAAAAAGTTCTGGAATTGGCTTGATACTTTGGTAAATTGTTGTCCTATATGAAAGTAACAAAATTTCAAAATATAAACTTATTTAAAACAAAAAAAAAAATTATAAAAACTAGAGGGGTTTAAAGTTTTGAGTTTTTAGGTAATACTGTTATTTTCAAATCCGTATAATTTCTACAAAATTTTATGGATTTTAATTTGTTAATAGGGTTTTTTTGTTGGGTTTTTCATGTACTTTTCAATGCCAAAATAATTATTTTCAAAAATTTTTTTAATTTTTTTTCAAAATTAACTTTTATTTTTTTATTTTTAACCCCTTATCATCGTTTAAAAAATTTTTTTTTTTTTTTTGAAAGCTGAGATTTTTTCCAACAAATTTTGTGAAAAAAAAATCAAAATAGCTAGATGACTTTCAAAAAATAAAAAAAAAAAAATATGACATATTTTTTGGGTCAAAAGGAGTCTTAAGATTTAAGGTTTAAGGTTTTAGAAAATTGAAAAAAAAGTTTTCGGTGAAAAATTTTTCAAAGAAATCCTTAAGATGGATTTTTAATAAATTTATTTTTGTTATTCTAAGCTATAAAACTTAATTTTCTTGCTTTTTAAAAAAAAAATTACTTTCCTTGGTAGACGTTAAAATTAAATTTTTTTTAAAAATAATTTTAAATATATTTTTAAATAATATAATTTGAATGTTGATAGCTAAACAATTAGATAATTTTTTTTTACCATTATATTATATAATAATAAAATGCTTGGTCTGTACTTCTGTTAGCCTTTTTCTGATTTCACGTGTTTTTTTGAATAGTAATCTTATGACGTGTCAAATTTTGACAATTCTTTTTCTCATTTTTGTCAAAGTTGTATAATTGTGTTTCCAAATTTCGGAATAAGTTTCTTTAAAATTCCAAATTCGAAAATTCAATTCACGAAGCTGAAGTACACAACGTTTACCAACGAAATTTTTTTTAAAGTTGTATATTGATTCAAAAATTGTATACAAATACAAAAAATTTATGATGAGAAAAAAGATGCGCCAGGAAATTTCGTATACAAGATAGTAATTTAAAAAAATTTTATTTTTAAAAATTAATTTTTAAGGTACCAGGGGCCAACGAATACCTATTAAATATTAATTATAAAAACACAGGCCTCGAATCAACTTAAAGACACAAAAAAAGTCGTTTTAGTCAATTTATATTCCAAAAAAAAAGTGGATTTGTTTTTTATTTTAACAAAAATATTTTACAGATTTTTAAATAAAAATTTGTTTTTTAATAATAATCCTTTTCGAAGGGTTAAAGATGAAATTTTTAGAAATAATTAAATTTCAAAAGATATATTGTTAATTTTCAAACAATTATTAAATTTTACAGAACTAAAAATAATTTATCAAACAATTTTTGGAAAATATTTTTTAAATTTAATTGAATTTTCAAAGATTTAAAATTGAGATTTTTGAAATTAATTGAAACTTTAAGTGATTTTTAATTAAAATTTTAGATGATTTCACTAAAAATTTATTAGAAAATGCGGATAAAATACAATAATTTGAAAATAATTTTTAATTGAGAAATGGTTTCAGATATTTCTGAATTGAATTTCAAAGAATATTATTAAAATAGTTAAAAATAATTGAATTTCAGAAGAGTTATAATTGAAATTATTAAATTTCAAAAAAAAATTTAGATGGAAAATTTTAGAAATAATAAAATTGAACTTTTTGAAAATAATTAAATTTCAATTCCAATTGATTTTAAATTGAAACTTTTGAAAATAACAGAATTTCAATTGATATTTAATTGAAATTTTTGAAAATAATTGAATTTTAGTTGATTTTGAATTGAAATTTTTGAAAATAATTCATTTTCAATTGACTTTGAATTGTAATTTTGGAAAATAATTAAATTTTAGTTGATTTTGAATTAATAACTTTGAAAATAATTGAATAACAGTTATAATTGAAATTATTAAATTAAAAAAAAAAATTTCGATGGAAAATTGTAGAAATAATTAAATTTTAGATGCTTTTAAATTCAAATTATTGAAAACTCAATTAATTTTGAATTCAAATTTTTGAGAATAATTAAATTTTATTTGATTTTAAATTTGGAAAATAATTGAATTTCAGTTCATTTTGAATTGAAAATTTTGGGAAATAATTGAATTTTAATTGAAATTTTGGATAATAATTTAATTATTTAAGTTCATTTTTGATTGAAAATTTGGATAATTAATTTTGAATAGAAATTTTAGAAAATAATTGAATTTTATTTCATTTTAAATTGAAAACTTGGTAAATAATTAAATTTTAAATTGAAAATTTTTGATAATTATTGGATTTTTAATTGATTTTGAATTAAAATTTTGGGTTATAATTGAATTTTAGTTTATTTTGAATTGAAATTTTTAAAAAATAATTCAATTTTATTGTGATATATTTTTTTTAAATTATAAACAATTGTTAAATTTCATAAAAATTTTAATTGAAAAAATAATTTTTATTTAATTGAATTTGTGATGTATTTCATTAAAATTATTAAAAATAATTAATTTAGTGAAGAATCATTTTAGTTCAGAATTTGTTAAATAATTGAATTGAAGAAGATCTGAAGAAGATCTACATTTTATACTAAAAAAATGTATTTTATTTACATTTTTGTCAAATGTAAAAAAAAATGTCGCATTTTATTAAAATAAGTCGATAAAAGTCGTATTTTTGAAAAAAGTCGGAAAAAGTCGTATAATCCGAGGCCTGTAAACATATAATTTTCATTATTATCATTTAATATGTAATAATATTCTAATAAATTAAATTATTATTGCTAATATTAATTTTTAATTTCTTTATAACAAACAATTAAACACTTAATTTGGCGCGCTTGCGCGCGTTTAATTTTGCTAGTTTTAGAAATAATTAATTAAAATTTTTGTTCCTTAATTAATAATTAAAAAAAAATTTTTTATAAATTTTGAAAAATTAATTTTTTTTCGGTTTTTTTTTTCTAAAGGATGATCCAAAAGCTCACGATAATTTTGTAAAACTAACGAGAGCCTATGAAGTATTAAAGGATCCAGATTTAAGAAAAAAATATGATATTCACGGAGAAGAGGGACTCGACAATAATAATAATAGACGCAATCAATATCATTCCTGGACATATTATCAAAATAATTTTGGAATTTATGATGACGATCCTCAAATTATGACACTCAACAGAAATGATTATTGTATGTTTTATTTATTTTAAAAAAAATTTATTCGTCGTCCCACGAATATAATTTTTAATTATAGGCAAATAATATTTTTAAAATAAATTTTTGTTTGCAATATTAAATTTTTTTAGTAGAAAAAAGAAAAAGAAATTAAATTATAATAATAATGTTTTTCATTTTAGTTGAAAGTGTATTGGATTCGGAAAAAATGTGGTTAGTAAATTTTTATTCGCCAATGTGTAGTCATTGTCATCATTTAGCACCTGTTTGGCGTAAAGTCGCTAAAGAACTCGAGGGTGTAATTCGCGTTGCCGCTGTTAATTGCGAAGACGATTGGCAACTTTGCAATAAAATTGGAATTCAATCGTATCCAACTTTAATGCACTATCCAAAGGTTAATTTAACAAAAAATAATAATTTTCTACTTTTTTCCAAAAATGAAAATTTCATTCAATTTTTTTTAATTTTGAAATCTTTTCTTCTTTTTATTATTGTTAAAAAAAAATTGTTTACTTAAATTTTTTTTTTAATTTAAATTACTTTCTTCAAAATTGAAAAATTTTCAATTTTACGCAACGATTAATTTTTTTTTTTTTTAAACATTTAATGATTATTTTTAGAATTCGAATCGTGGCGCTCGTTACACGGATGAAAAATCGTATGAGGCAATTTTACAATTTGTTTTGGATCGACTCGATGTAAAAATTGAGAAAATAACAAAAAAAATTTGGAATCATTTATTGAAAGGACTCGAATTGTCTGATAAGCCAACATTAGTTTTTGTTTGTAATAATCATCGTCATTGTTTCACGTCAGACGAAAGGCTCAAAGTAGCCGCGATATTTGTAAGTAAAATTTAATTTTTTTTCCTTCAACTCTTTTTCTATTATTATAAAAAAAAAAAATTTTAATAATTAAATTTAAAATGTTCAAATTATGAAAAAACTTTTAAAATTTCAAATTTAATTAAAATTTTTTTGTAATTTTTAAAAATAATAATAAATTTTTTTTAATTTCAGGACAAAATGATAAATATCCGAGTCTTCGAATGTGAGAAAGATTGTGATGATAAATTTTCTAAAGATAGTGGCGTTATTTATTTTCCATCACAAAATGACGATGTATGGAAACCAATTTCTTTAGAGGACTCAATTGATGTTGATGAATTGGTGAAAAAAATTCTCGATCAATTACCCGAGCCGCAAGATATTAGCGATTTCGATTTTGAGGTGTGAATCATAATTTTCCTCATCTATGTTACTTATAAATTGATAATTTACAAAAAATCCAATTAAATATTTTATTTTTTTTTTACATATAAATTGATGTATTAATTTTATTTTTTTGCAGAAAATTGAAAAAAGTCTCGAATCTCAGGATGAAGACGGTTGGTTAATTTGTTTTTATATTGGACACGCGACCGAATTGGATGTTCAATTAAAAAAATTACCAAGTATCGTTCGCGGAATGAATTTAGGTAAAATTTCCTAATTTTTTTTTTTTTTGCTTTTATTTATCATTTGTTTTTTAAATATATTTTTCTATTAAATAAAATTTATAATTAATTAACTAATAATAATTAATAATGTTTAATTGTATTTTTTTTCAGCTAAAATAAATTGTGGTAAATATGCGAAATTATGCCAGGATTTAAATGTAAATCACTATCCATCATGGGGTGTATTAAAACCCGGTGGTGGTGCTTTTGAATTGAATCATGGGAAAAATACAATAAACGATATTGCACGATTTGCAAAAAATAGTGTTAAAGCAAAAAATGTCCGTGCACTATCGGCAGAGAAAATACTCTCAATTCTAAAGAGAGAAAATGGTGAGTGCAGGCCTCGGATCGACTTTAAAGGCACAAAAAAAGTCGTTTTAGTCGATTTATGTTCCAAAAAAAGTCGAAAAAGACGATTTTTTTTATTTTAACAAAAAAAGTTTTACAGATTTTCAAATAAAAGTTTTTTTTTTTAAATAATAATAATTTTAGAAGAGTTATAAAGTTGAAATTTTTAAAAATAATTGAATTTCAAAAGATTTTGTTAATTTTCAGACAATAATTAAATTTTACATAATTAAAAATAATTTATTTAAATAATTTCAGATAACATTTTTTAAAAGTAATTGAATTTTCAACGATTTATAATTGAGATTTTTAAAATTAATTGAACTTCAAGTGATTTTTAATTAAAAAATGGTTTCAGATAATTGAATTTTTCAAATAATATTATGAAAATAGTTAAAGATAATTGAATTTCATGAGAGAGTTATAATTGAAATTATTAAATTTCAAACAATTTTAGATGGTAAATTTTTTAAAGCGTTTAAATTGAAATTTTTGAAAATAATTGAATTTCAATTGAAATTTTGGATAATAATTTAATTTTAGTTGATTTTAGATTAAAAATATTGATAATAAATAATTTTGAATTGAAATTTTTGCGAATAATTGAATTTTAGTTAATTTTGAATTGAAAATTTTGAAAATAATTGAATTTTAGTTGATTTTGGATTGAAATTTTTGAAAATAATTGAATTTTATTTGATTTTGAATGAAAATTTTTTTGAATTTTAAAAGATTTTGAATTGAAAATTTCGTAAATAATTGATTTCGAATTGACATTTTGGAAAATAATTTAATTTCAAAAGATTGTGTTAATTTTCAGACAATAATTATTATAATAAGAGAAATTTCTAATAATTTCTGTTGATGAAGAATTTATTAGAATTTTTTGGTAATTTTATTTTGTTAATTTTTTTTTAAATTATATACAATGATTAAATTTCATAAAAATTTTAATTGAAAAATAGTTTAAAATAATTGAATTTGTGATAAATTTCATTAAAATAATTAAAAATAATTAATTTAGTGAAGAGTTTTAGTTAAAATTTTTTTAAATAATTGAAATAAAGAAGATCTGAAGAAGATCTGCATTTTATACTAAAAAAATCGTAATTTATTCAAAAAAAATTTTTTTAATGTAAAAAAAAGTCGAAAAAGTCGTATAATCCAAGGCCTTTGAGTGAAGAAAGAAATTTATTTTTAATTTTCAAAAATTGGTTTCTTTTTTTAAAAATAAAAAAATTATTAACAGGAAATGAAGCTTGGTTTATCGATTGGTATGCGCCATGGTGTCCACCATGTTTGGAATTTTTGCCAGAATTACGAAAAGCCTCATTGGAATTTAAATCGTCTTTAATTCATTTTGGCACTGTCGATTGTACAGTTCATTCGAATATTTGTCGACAATATAACATTCGTTCCTATCCAACTGCAATGTTAATTAATGGCACAAATACAATTCAATTTACAATGCAAAAAACCGCTTCAAATGTTATACAATTTATTCACGAGGCAATGAATCCATCTGGTGAGAATGAAATCCAAAAAATATTTATATTCTTTTAATATATTAAATAAATCTTTTTTCAAGTAAAGAAAAGAAAAATAATATTATTAATTATTTACAGTCATAGAAATTACGTCGAAGAATTTTAATCAAAGACTCGTGAAAAAGAAAAGTAAACTTCTTTGGGTTGTGGATTATTTTGCCCCGTGGTGTGGTCCCTGTCAACAATTGGCATCTGAATGGACATCAGTGGCAAAAGCATTGCGACAATTGAATTTTGTGAAAATAGCAAAAATTAATTGTGACATTGAATCAAATCTTTGCAGAACACAAGGAATACAAAGTTATCCGACAATTAGACTTTATCCCACAGAAAGCGAAGGAATCAATACAATTGCGTAAGTTATTAAATAAAAATAAAATTTTTAATTTATTTTATTTTACCGAATTTCATTTAAATTTGGAGAATTTCTATTTAAATTCATATTTAGGGATAAATAAAATTTTAATTTTAATTAAAAATTTCAAAGAAAATAAATAATATTAATTAATAATTCTACGTTAAAAATATATTTCTCGAAAATATTTTAAATTAAAAATACTCATTTTAAGTAATACACATTATAATGTTCAAAAAAATCGCGCGCTCGTTGTTTGGTGATAAGTTAGAAAACTACATTACCGAACTTGTACCACCCCTTTTTTCCCCTACGATGCGCGTCACTTCCTTACAACCGAGCACATTCCATTTCTTTTACATTTCATCAGTCGCAGGGCACGCATTTTCGCAATAAACGAAAAAGTTTATAGTTTACCATCAAACGAAATTAGTTAAAAAAAAAAAATGTGTTTTCTTGGTGTTAAAATGAAATGTTATGCCTTTGATAATTTATGTAAGTTTAAAAATATTTTTTTCTTATTAAATTTTTTATTTAATTTTTTCTTTTCATAGCATCGCATTTTCATTGTATTGTATTTCATTTATTTCATTTTTCATTATAATTATAAATATATAGGGGGGAATTTTTTTATTTACTCTTACTAGAAAAAATCGAAAGTAAATTTTATTTCTTTAAAATTGAATTATATTTAAAATTTTATTATTCTGACGCGATTTTTTCTAAAAATATTTTATTTCAAAGCTGTGAATTTTATATAAATTTTCAATTAAAATATGTAAATTTATAGCAAGATTATTATTTTTCATAATTACTACAATTATATTTCTATAGTTTCTTTTTAAGTATTCAATTTAACGTTTTGAGAAAGAATTTTATCTGCTACAAAATGGCGGTTTCGGCGTCATATTAAAATTAATATGGCTAAGTAACTTTAATTTATTATTATTATTTCTTAAAAAGAATAATCTAAAAGTTTTAAAAGATAATTTGAAATATTTATTTTGCCAATTGTGATAAAAATAAGTTTTTGAAATTATTAAACCAATAAAATTATTTTAAATTATTTTTGAATATAAAACCGTTGTGAAAAAAAAATTACGCTCTTTAAAAAAAGTTATTTAATAATTTTTTATTTAAATAAATAATTATAAAGAAACGTATAAAGTGAATAGTTTTACATAAGAAATAATAAAAATTAATCATTCAATTATTAGAAATTTAAATAATATTTATTAAATAACTTTTTTTTAATTAAGTGCAATTTTTATAAATGAAACAAGATTCTTTATAAAATTAAGGGAATTAGAAAATTAGAAATTAGAAAATTTTTTCTAATTGAATATTTAAAAGGAACTTTAGAAATATAATGTAATAATTAATTTTAGATTAATTTTAATTGTTAATAATTTTCATTAAAAAAAAATTTATTTTTTGGTTTAATAATTTCAGTAACTATTTTTTATAAAAGCATAAGTTAAAAATGATTTAATATTAAAAATTAAATTTTTAAATTCTAATTGATCTGTTCGAGAAATTTGGATTCTATTTTAAAATATTTATTTGCTTTATATATTTTATTTTACATAAAAGTTAAATTAAATTGAAATTGTTTCAGTAATAACATTCACTTGTTGTTATGTGTTGTATTAGGAAAAACACCAATAATAATATTTTTTTTTATTTATTATATGTGACGCGATCTGAAGAAAAGGACCTTAGAAGCAAAAAATTATAGGTTACGTTTAGAAATTTTAAAGTGAAAATACACAAAGACATTCAACTCGTAATGCAAACTATTGATATTTAGGTCTTCATTGCATCCAAAATATTCAATAAAAACTGATTTCAGTTTAACAAAAACAAAAATAAACTTTTAGTTCAAGTAAAACTATAGTAAACATAACCAATAATTTATTTGCTTCTAAGGTCCCTTTTTTCAAATCGCGTCACATATTATGTAATTTGTAATTTTTTTTATTGAAAATTGACGGTTATTTGTAGTATTATTTCAATATTTCTATGCTTTATATGTTTCACTTCACATATAAAATTGAATTAAATTGGTCTACTATTTTTACAGAAATTTTTTACAGTAAAAACATTCACTTGTTGTTCTGTGTTGTATTAGGAAAAACACCAATAATAATATTTTTTTTTATTTATTATATTATGTAATTTATAATTTTTTTTAATTGAAAATTGACGATTATTTGTAGTATTATTTCAATATTTCTATGCATTTATTATTCTTTTTTAAGCCTGTTTACATGTAAATAAATAAATATTTGACTAAAATATGAATTTTATGTTCTCCCTTATTATAGATTATATAATGGACAAAGGGATTTCTTCTCGATGCTACTGTGGATTACAGGATTTTTCCCAGTCAAAGTCAAAGAGTTAACGTCTTCCACATTCCAAAAGGACGTTCTAAAAGGGAACGAACTTCATTTGGTTGATTTTTATGCACCATGGTGCGGTCATTGCCAAAGACTGGAGCCTCATTATAATATTGTCGCTCAGGTTAGTAATGACTTCCTTTTTCTCTAATTTTTATTGTTGTTTTTAAATTTAATAAGCAAAAAAAAATTTTAATTCGTTGGTAAAAAAAAACAAAATTTTTATCTCTTGCGATTTTTTAAAATAAATTATTAACATTAAATTTTGAATGTGTCTAACTTCAGTAAAAGGGAAATACATAATCTATCAAAACTATTCATTGATTTAATATAATTTTATTTTTACAATTATTTTTTTTCATTGTAGCTTCTTGAGGGTAAAATTCAAGTAGCGCGAATCAATTGCGAAATTTATAGAAACGAATGTTCGCAATCTGGAATTCAAGCATATCCAACGCTAATGCTTTATGGACGAAAATCGAGTTATAGAATAGAAGGTGCCAAAGCTGAGGAAATACATAGTAATGTTTTGAAAATATTAAATCTCAAAACTGAACAGAAACACGATGAACTGTAACAATCGTTGTTCAAGTAGGTGCCTTGTGATCTCTATTTTATATAAAAAAAAATGACGTTCATAATTAAAAAAAAATTTTTTTTTAAGAAAATCAATTACTGATGATTGACTTTGTTTTTGTCAATCGCATAAAAAAATTGTGGTTTTTTTCTATAAAAAAAGTAGAAAATTTCGAATCAAATACTCGAAAGAACCATTTTGGATTTTTTTTAGCATATAAACTTAGGTAATTTTTGAAAGAAACTTTAATGAAAATTAACAAAAACAAAATACGGGTCGCTTGCCCTTCGAGCCCTCACTAAGTCGCTCTTTTGTATTTTGTCCAATTTTATTTCATTACGGGTTTTTGTTCCTTTCTTCGATTTTTCATACAATATTTAGTTAAATAATTTTACGCCGTAAAATGTGATAAGAATTGTAATCAGTTATTAATTGTATTTAATAAGTTACATAATTTACATTTATACTATAACATTGTTGGATTATTTTATATGATATTGATTTTTTAAAAATATCAACATTTTTCAAATCGATGTAATAAGCTATATATCAAATTCAAAAATATTGCTATTTTCATTTTTTAAAAAAAGGTGTCCAAAGTTTAAATAATTTCCTAAAGGTCTAAATCCTAGGGGCCTGCTTTAGACTATTAAAATAAAAAAAAAATAAAAACTTAATAATAAAGCCTCTATTTTGGGTTGAAATAGAGGCTACTTGCTTTTTGTTTCAAATTGAATAATTCAAGAATTATTGTAATTTGAAAAATTTTTTACTTAAAATGCTGATATTGCATGAAAACTTAATGTTTCATTTATACATTAATCTATTCTAATTATCATCTTAAAAGGAGATAAAATTCTTCGAAAATGTTCCACTACCGAAGATCTCTGCCTTTTAATTGCACTTCTGCACAGATCGGGAACAAAAATTTTCTATTCTAAAAGATTATTAAAAAAAAAATTTCATATATTTTCATTTAATTCATTTCATTTTATAAATCACATCAAAGCAGATCTTTAAAGAGTAATCCACTCTTAAATGATTTCTGTCTTTTGATTGCACTTCTGCGCAGATCGTGAGCTAATTATTATATTTGATGATTTATTGTGAGATTAACTTTTATTGATTTAATATAAAAATGACAATAATTTGGCATTGTTCTCCATGTTCAGTATGTATGGTTCATCAGTGCATGTGAAGTAATCCTTGTCAAAACTGCAGTTACCTTAAATTACAGTTGACTTGTGCTGTGTCAGATTGTATAAAATTTCTAAGACACATTATAGACGTCATTGTTTTAAGTTCAACTTCCTAATTAAATTTTTTTGAAATAAATATTGAAAATTAATGAAAGAATTTTCAATAGCAGCGTAATGAAAAGCTGAATTACCTTCATCGACGTAATTTGCATATTGGCAATGAATTCGTTTATTCTGTCTTTCATATTATTATAGTTTCTATTTGTTCTTGATCAACCACAGCAGCAAAGCTGGTTGCTAAAAATGGACCGCTAAGTTCTGGAATTAATAAAACAAAAGATTGCTTTGGCATCGCTGAAACCTCAGGACCGCTAAGTTCTAAAATTAATAAAAAAAAGATTGCTTTGGCATCGCTGAAACCTCAGGACCGCTAAGTTCTGGAATTAATAAAACAAAAGATTGCTTTGGCATCGCTGAAACCTCAGGACCGCTAAGTTCTGGAATTAATAAAACAAAAGATTGCTTTGGCATCGCTGAAACCTCAGGACCGCTAAGTTCTGGAATTAATAAAACAAAAGATTGCTTTGGCATCGCTGAAACCTCAGGACTGCTAAGTTCTGGAATTAATAAAACAAAAGATTGCTTTGGCATCGCTGAAACCTCAGGACCGCTAAGTTCTGGAATTAATAAAACAAAAGATTGCTTTGGCATCGCTGAAACCTCAGGACCGCTAAGTTCTGGAATTAATAAAACAAAAGATTGCTTTGGCATCGCTGAAACCTCAGGACCGCTAAGTTCTGGAATTAATAAAACAAAAGATTGCTTTGGCATCGCTGAAACCTCAGGACCGCTAAGTTCTAAAATTAATAAAAAAAAGATTGCTTTGGCATCGCTGAAACCTCAGGACCTCTAAGTTCTAAAATTAATAAAAAAAAGATTGCTTTGGCATCGCTGAAACCTCAGGACCGCTAAGTTCTGGAATTAATAAAACAAAAGATTGCTTTGGCATCGCTGAAACCTCAGGACCGCTAAGTTCTAAAATTAATAAAAAAAAGATTGCTTTGGCATCGCTGAAACCTCAGGACCGCTAAGTTCTAAAATTAATAAAAAAAAAGATTGCTTTGGCATCGCTGAAACCTCAGGACCGCTAAGTTCTAAAATTAATAAAAAAAAGATTGCTTTGGCATCGCTGAAACCTCAGGACCGCTAAGTTCTGGAATTAATAAAACAAAAGATTGCTTTGGCATCGCTGAAACCTCAGGACCGCTAAGTTCTGGAATTAATAAAACAAAAGATTGCTTTGGCATCGCTGAAACCTCAGGACTGCTAAGTTCTGGAATTAATAAAACAAAAGATTGCTTTGGCATCGCTGAAACCTCAGGACCGCTAAGTTCTAAAATTAATAAAAAAAAGATTGCTTTGGCATCGCTGAAACCTCAGGACCGCTAAGTTCTAAAATTAATAAAAAAAAAGATTGCTTTGGCATCGCTGAAACCTCAGGACCGCTAAGTTCTAAAATTAATAAAAAAAAGATTGCTTTGGCATCGCTGAAACCTCAGGACCGCTAAGTTCTGGAATTAATAAAACAAAAGATTGCTTTGGCATCGCTGAAACCTCAGGACCGCTAAGTTCTGGAATTAATAAAACAAAAGATTGCTTTGGCATCGCTGAAACCTCAGGACTGCTAAGTTCTGGAATTAATAAAACAAAAGATTGCTTTGGCATCGCTGAAACCTCAGGACCGCTAAGTTCTGGAATTAATAAAACAAAAGATTGCTTTGGCATCGCTGAAACCTCAGGACCGCTAAGTTCCAAAATTAATAAAAAAAAGATTGCTTTGGCATCGCTGAAACCTCAGGACCGCTAAGTTCTGGAATTAATAAAACAAAAGATTGCTTTGGCATCGCTGAAACCTTAGGACCGCTAAGTTCTGGAATTAATAAAACAAAAGATTGCTTTGGCATCGCTGAAACCTCAGGACCGCTAAGTTCTGGAATTAATAAAACAAAAGATTGCTTTGGCATCGCTGAAACCTCAGGACCGCTAAGTTCTAAAATTAATAAAAAAAAGATTGCTTTGGCATCGCTGAAACCTCAGGACCTCTAAGTTCTAAAATTAATAAAAAAAAGATTGCTTTGGCATCGCTGAAACCTCAGGACCGCTAAGTTCTGGAATTAATAAAACAAAAGATTGCTTTGGCATCGCTGAAACCTCAGGACCGCTAAGTTCTGGAATTAATAAAACAAAAGATTGCTTTGGCATCGCTGAAACCTCAGGACCGCTAAGTTCTAAAATTAATAAAAAAAAGATTGCTTTGGCATCGCTGAAACCTCAGGACCGCTAACTTCTGGAATTAATAAAACAAAAGATTGCTTTGGCATCGCTGAAACCTCAGGACCGCTTAGTTCTGTAATTGATAAAACAAAAGATTGCTTCGGCATCGGAGACACTTCTAGACCGCTTAATTAATTTATTGACTATTCAGTGAATTAATAATTTTTTAAATCACTGTAGAACGTGTCACATTGAAAATATTTTGCAATGTGACGAATCTAATATTTACTCATTTCATAAAAAGGATTGTTTTAGTAAAAACATTCACTTGTTGTTATGTGATGAATTAGGAAAAACACCAATAATAAAATTTTTTTTATTATATTTTACAAATTTTCATTCATAATAATAATGATAACTACTTTATAAATTAACCTCATAACATTAATGTTTAATCATTATCTCATCACTATTATACTTATTGGTATAAGTTGACTTAGGAAAAACACCTTATCATAATTTTTTTTTTAAATTTATTAAAATTTTTATTCACTTCATTTATTATATTTCATCATTTTTAATTATTCATTCCTGTCTTCTTATCTAATGATTGTTAGAATTAGTATGTTTGAGTATTCTAACTACTATTTTTCATTTGATAAGTAAAACTACTACCACTACTACTACTCAATTGATAATAGACTCTTTTCTTAAAATGGTTTCTTTTAAACATTGGACACCTATCGTCAATTAAAATAATATATTCAATTATTTTTTTGGAATATTTATATTCTCTATGGACTTTTAAAAATTTTTATTCTGATTAAAAAAAAAATTATTGATATTTTGATTTATACAAAAATAGTGTAATATCAATAACAATATATGAATTTAAATATATCGTTTAAATAATATTGCAATATTGTTATAAAATATTAATCGATTATTAATTTTGGTGTTAGATTTGAATGCGTACCAATTTTAAAGTATAAATGTAAATTTTACATGAAAAAAAATTACTTCTTTGAAAAAAAATGTAATTAATACTTTGGAGAATATGTAAATATTTTGTATATAATTACTTAAAAGATATAATATATCGATTGAAAAATATCGATATATTAATATTAAATTATCATCGCTTTTTATCTACGATCTTGTAATTTTTTTTCAAAATCTTTTCAAATTTATTTCTGAATACTTTTATTGTTAAAAATATATTTTTGAATATTATTGTTATATTTTGATTAATATTGCCGATATTAAGGATCGATATTTCAGTTCTAATACATTTACTTCGAATTCGAAATATACGATCCGTGCTATTTTTAAAGCACAATAGACACTTTTTTAAAAAAATTTTGTAAGAATTTTTTTTTACTTAATTTTTACACTTGTAAATATATTACGATTTTAATAAAAAAAAATGATTTTTTCGAAATTGAAGTTTTTTTTTATTTATTTCACTAATATTTTTGTGATTATTATTTTATATATTTATTTGTATTCCCCACTTTTTTATTATATCTTATTTCCTGATTTTTAATTTTCATGATTTCTTTTTGTTGAATAAATTAATTTTTTCTTCACTGCTTGGCACTCAAGAAGTGTCAAGACGCTTTTTCGAGTAGGATTTATAAAGGTAAGTTAAATATTAATTATTATTTAGTGATCAAAAAAATTAATTATACTCTAAAATACCGTAATTTGTTATTTATATTATGCTGCTAAATTTTTTTTTCTTCTTTATTATGGAGATTAAAATTATGAAAAAAATTTTTCACAGAAGATAGAAATAATTATTTCTATAACAAATTCAAATCTTTTACATAATTTTGTTCTCTATTTATTTTTTAAAGAAGAAGCAATGAGTTAAAAAAGGAGTTACAATTTCCGTTATTTTGAATTTTGAATAACTCACGGTGCGCCAGAAGGAGGTGTAAATAAAAATGAATTGGCACTTAAAAATTCTTTTTGATTATAGTTCTAAGATGAATAAAAAAAAACTTTTCTCAATAGGTTTTAAAATCAGCTTACGTGCCCAATTTAAAACAAATTGAGTTTTAAATATTTAAAAATAGTATTTTATGAGGAACCAGAATTTATTTAATGTATACTTATATGCGTATAGATAGCTGCCATCTGACGGCGGCAGGAAGTAATGAACCTGTCATTATATTAATTTTCGTTTTGCAATCGTGTTTTTGTATGGATTCGTATAATCTTTCGAATTTAGGAAATTTATATAAGATAAGGATCTCTAGCTGCTTTTTGTAAAAAGTGTCCGTCTTTCAAAAAGAAAGTATTTTAAAATCAATGTTTATCATTTTCACGTTTAGTGCCGTTTTTATAGAACGATAAAATTAAAGGTCTCTTCTTGCCAAAAAAATTTCAGAGATCATTCGACTCTCTTAAATAAATTTTGTCACTCTTAAAATCGTTCTTTTAACATTATAATTTAATTTTTTAAAATCGAACACAAACACTACAGCAATATAATTATATTTATATGTAAAATTGAAAATAAGTAATTATTTTATCATTTATTACAGTATTTATTAGATTAAATAAATTCTGATTCCCCATAAAACACTGTTTTTATATAAAAAAAACACAATTTTATTTAAATCGGGCACGTAAACTGATTTTAAAAACTATTGAGAAATGTTTTTTTTATTCATCTAAGAATCATAATCAAAAAGTATTTTTAAGTGCCAATTCATTTTTATTTAAACCAAATTTTTCTTAATTTATGGTAAATTATTTTTTCAACTGATTAAGTTTAAATAAACGTATGTCTAATTATGAAGATTTTAAAAAATTCTACATAGTTTAAAAAGAGGGGAAAAATTTTTTTTTTCTACCTTTTGGTATTCGAATACAAATTTAATGGGACTCAAGTCCCCGTTCTTTCTTTTGTGTGTGTATGTATGCTTTCATCCTCCCACCACGCTACTCTTTGTCCACCTTCTCCTTTTTACCTTTGCGAGACTCCACTTCAATTCCCCTCTCTTTTCTCGTTTCTTTCAATTCCAGTTCGTGGCAAGTCTTTCCTTTTCCTCAATAAGCCAGTTTGCTATAGCGAGAGCAGCCATCTTACCAGGTTCTCGTGTGTGTTGTGTCCCCCTTTTCTTTTCTTTCTTTTTTTTTTATTTATTTTCCATTCATTTCAATTTTGTGAAGGAAAATAATTCAAATATCCATTTTTTTTTTATATAATTGTATTCAGTCTCAACGAATAATTTTCCCATTTTAAATAGACGTAAATTTTTGAAAATTGTGCTAAAAGGATTTTTAAAAAAGAATGTGAAGAATAAGTGAGTGATTCATATATATATAATTTTTTTGTATCATATTCAAAAGTAACAGAAACCGCTATATAGTAAAATAAAATATGGAATAGTTTTGATAAAAAAAAAAAGGAGAATTACATATATAGTTTTATATTATCGGTTAGTGACTCTATATCAAGTGGAAGGAAAAAGGGAATATTGCAGAATAAATATATATTATATAAATTATACATTTATGGAACGTTAATTATTTCCGGATGAGTGTGAAAATACGATGATGTAAACGAAAAATGCAACTTATTTAATACTTAATCTGATTCCATGTTTGTGGGAAAATTTATAATAGTTATATGAAAAGAAATGAATCGAGGATTTTAATTAATGTAGCTGTTACTTTGTTTTTTCTTAAAGGAAAAAAAAGATTCGTTAATTTAATTTTTTTATTTTTTTTTATCATCCATTTGTAAATCTTAATATAAATTTAATTTTAATTTAAAATATTTGAAAATTAACAAAAAAAAATACTTTGCAAATTAAATTGAATTATAACGAAATAACAGTAAACGTAATTAAAGAATTTTATTTTATATATTATTTATCAATTTTTTTTTTTTTTATTAAAATTAATTAGTATTTATTAATATAATTATTTTTTGTTTTTCATAGTAGAATTGAATTATTTAATTTTTAATTAATATATTATTATTATCATTCCTTTGGCTTAGAAAAAATAATTTCAAAATTGTCAAATTTTCGATTTATCGATAATCGATTAAACGATATTTGATTTATCGAACTATTGAATATAAGGAAATTTTTTTGGGAATTCCATTTTTTACTTCCAAATTACTTTTTTAATAAAATAAAAATTAAAAAAATACAAATAATTCTTAACTGGATAATTAATTTGCTTTATTACTTTTTCTAATTTAATTTCAATAATAAATACAATTAATATAATAAATTAATTAATATAATTAATATAATCAATCAATTAATTAATATAATTAAATTATTTTTTTTTCATTTTATTTGCAAAAATATATTTTGCAATCGGAATGTCTGACTAAGTAATTTTTTAAATGTATTCCTTATATACCAACTGACGTGTGTGTTAAAAATATGAAAACTTTTGTTTTTTAATTATACACATTTAAAAAGCACTTTGAATTATTTTTTCTTCTTAAATGATTCTCTTCTTAAATTGCAAAATAAAACATGAGGACTCATAATATTAAAGTTTCTGAAGCGAGTTAAATATATTTTTAAAACACAAACTAGAATTATATATATATATATATATATATATATATACCGGAATAACTGTGATTTTAAATTAGAATTCCTTTTCCTGTCGTAAAATAATAATGACAAACTTAAAATATTCATATTAAAAATTTGATTTCATTTTTATTATTTATTTGCTTTATCTTTAATAAAAGAAAACACAATTTACATATAGTATTATTAATATTTTTTTTTTATATTTAAAAATTAATATTGTAATGTAAAAATTAATAAATATATATATATATATATATATATATATATATATATATATTATGTAAAAAAAATAAATTAAAATATTTGTTTATATAATTTATTATATACGAATGTTATATTAATATATTTATTATCTTTTTGAGTGCATGATATCTATATTATAATATTTTTAATAGTTTTAATATATATATATGTTTTCTGGCTTGTAAATAGAAGAAAAAAAATAGTTCAATTATTTTACAAATAGCTTTTATGTTCATTTGCATGATAAGAAAATGACATTATTTTTCAATACAATACAACAAAAGTTCATTTTTAAAAATGTATTTTGGAATTTATTAAAATTAATAGATAAAAAAAAATGAATGTAATAGAATAAAAATGTTTAGTTTTAATTATTTTTATTTCATTAAATAATTAATATTTAATTAATGATTAATTACAAAATTAAAAATTAATTATTTGTAATTAAAAATTAATTTACGATTATTTAATTATTTGTGTTATTAAAAATAGTAGGGTCAGCTGGGGTAAATCCGAACGCTAATTATTTCAGCTTAATTAAAATTTTTAAAAATAAGTTCGATATGAGAAATTTTACCTCAGATCCTCTTCAAGAGATTCTAAGTATTATCCCATTTTTCGTTTGTTAATTAGCAACAGCATAAACAAAGATAACGAGTATTGCAAAAAAGATTGAAAATCAAAGATGACACTCTTTCAGTATTTTGTCTCGTATTTGAAGAAAAAGAAGCTAAAAATTCATTTTATTATTTATAATTGTTTGTTATGAATACTAGAACAGAAACTATTTTTCATTTTTGCCTTCTGTAAAATTTTATTAATAATATCAGACCGTTCGTATATTTACCCCGGAAAATTGGAAAACCGGGTTAAATCTAAACGGTATTTTCAATAATTTTTTCTTATATCAAAAATTGTTTTTATTTCATTACACTATTATTTTAACATTATAAAAGTACATAGAAAAAAGTTTTTCTTTCTATATATGTATCCTCGTTAGTAATTATAATAAGCAGAAACTTAATCTCTATTCTCTCGAAGGAGTGTTCCACTTTTTTTTTTGCCAAATGGTTTGTTGAAAAAAAATTTTCAGGATCTTAATAAAATTTGGTATTCTAGAGTTTTTGGGGTCGCTTATTACCAATTTGAAGTCAGTTTTTCAAAATTCAAAATGGCGGACGAGAATTAAAAAATTCATTGGATTCACTCGAAAATTGTTACTCGGTGGGTTTTAGGGTCGCTGATTATACGAATTTGAAGTTAGCAAATTTGATCATTTTTAAAAATTAAGTTTTAGGAAAGTCCGACATTTTGAATTTAAAAAATTTCACTTTTATTTTTGTATTTACATTCAATCACTCCAAAATACTTTCTGTAGCAAGTTTTGCAAAAATCCGTTATGATTTGATAAAGTTATTGAAGGTTTTAATTGTGTAATGCATTTTAATTTTTAACCTGTTTGATTTTTTTATTTATATATGATGCATTATTACATAATATAGGTTTATTATCGTATTTTTTTTTTTGAGTTTTTATATAAGTTTAACAATTGCAATACTTTAAATTTATTTTCCCTAAGATTTTTCTGAAATACAGTGCGGCGTTCGTATTTAACCGCGGTATTTTAGGAAAGTTGCAAAGTATCGAGGTAAATACGAACGCTATAAGTTTCCTGCGATTGTAATTTATCAAAAATTTTTGCTACCCCATAAAATTGTTCTATGGAAGTAAAGTAACAACTTCATGCACCAGAATACCGGAAGTATTTTTTTTTTAAAGAAAAAACTTATGTTATTGTTGAAACTTACTAAAAGCGTTTGGATTTACCCCGGCTGACCCTACACGGAGAGAAATAGATGGTAAGAATTTATGATCTTAAGATGGTAAAAAGTAGATGTTATCCGGTACTATCATTATGCTACTCGGTACTATGAAAAATGTTACAAAAAGTATTAATAATAATAATAATAATAATATGAAAAATTAATTGAAATTTTGTAATTGTAAAATTTTGCAGATTCCTTTGGTGGAAGTGAGAAAATAAAAAAAAAAAAAAAGAAGAAATGGGTGCAAAAGTTGAATACGTCGAATCATCGCACATGTATGCGACAAATTACATTCGTAATTCAAAAGCAATTGGTGTATTGTGGGGAATTTTTACAATATGCTACGCGATAATTGGTACAGTCGCATTTATCACACCCGAATGGTTAGGTGATTTGGAACATGAGAATCCGGGAAAATTTGGCCTTTGGTCCCGATGTAGCTTTGGCGGAAATGGTAAAAAAAAAAAAAAAAAAAAAATTGTTTCTTTAAAAAAAAAATATTTTTCTAATCAATGAAATTTGTATTCAATATATTATTTAATTTTTTTTAATAATTATTAGAAAAAAAATATTGAAAAATTATTTAGAAACATAAATTTTTTGAAAAAAGTTGGTAAAATATTTGTAGGGAATGAAAAAAAAAATTTTATTTTTTTTATTGTTACAGGAGAATTAGTGGAAGGATGCATTGGACGTTTGGATGATTTTTCGACAATTGCCAATGTTCCATTTAAAGCGAGTACAATACTTGTTGGTTTGGCAGTAATAATTGCAATTTTGTCAATTTGTGCCATGCTTCTATTTTTCTTTTGTCACAGCACAACTGTCTATTATATTTGTGCTTGGATGCAAGTTACGTCAGGTAATTTTAACAAAATTTTCCCCCCAAAAAAATAGAATATATTTATTATGAACTATAGTCCCGTGGTTAGAGCTCTTGACTTGTAATGAAAAATCCAGGGTTCGATCCCCGGTGGAGTTGCAATTTTTCAAAGACAAAAATTATTTATTTTTTTTGTTTTAAATATGCTTCACGGAAAAAATTTTTCATCTGGAACAGCGAAATGTTTCACTAAAATAGCTAAACTTTTCGCTATTCTAAAAAAAAATTCTAAAAATAAATAATAATAATAATAATAATAATAATAATAATAATAATAATAAGATAACAACAAACAAAACAATAAAATTAATTAAATTAAACAAAACGATAAATAAAATAAATAATAATAATAATAATAATAATAAATAAATAAATATAATAATAATAATAATAAATAATTCTAAAAATAAAAATTATTCTTTTTTTCTAAAAAAAAATTCCATTACAAAACGAAAAATCTCCTATATTCACGTTAAATTTTAATGTCGCTTATACATATACGATTTCGTTATAAACTGGCGAAAGGTTTTATAAGTGATTTGCCCTATGAAAGTGAAAGTAAAAACGAATTGCTAATTACAAAAATAGAGCAAAAACCGTCTAATGTTACACTGTAAAAAGTTGAATTTAATTATCAAATATCAAAAAATTTAATTTCGTTTAGTCAAAAAAAATTTTTTTCTAGGAAAATTTTTGGATGGTTTGAAAGATTTTAAATTTCTTTTGTCATAGATATTAATTTATCAGAAGAATATCAATTTTTATTTCAATTTTATTATTTTTATTAATTATTAATAAATTATTAATTAATATTAATTAACTAATTTTTTTTCTATTAATTCATTTTTATTAATTTTATTTAAATTAATATATTTTAAAAAAATGTTTTTTTACCAAAATTATAATAATTTCATTCTAAAAGTTTAAAAAAAAAATATTTAAAAAAAAGGAATTAAAAACAAAAAACCAAGATTAAAAATAAATTTATTATATTTTATTTAATAATTATGTAAACGTTTTTTTTCTCATTGTAATCCTCAAGGAAACAATAATAAAACAATCGTTAGGAATTCAAAGCGTGAAGAATTCTGTTATCGTTGTTGCATTATTTTTTTTTTTTTTTTTTTTGGAAAATGAGCAGAACAAATCTCATTAATCAAAATTCCGTAACAAGTTATTGCGTTTCATTAAATAGTAATAATATTTCATTAAAATTGATGCGTTAACAAAGCGTGATAATCGCAATTTTTTTTTAATTCCCTTTTGAATTATTTTAGTCAAATTTTTATTATTATTACGCACTATTATTATTATTTTAATAATTTTTTTTATTAAATTTTTTAATAAATAAAACTCAAAGAAAATAATTAGACGATTCTAAAAATGTGTGGTAAAAAATTTAATTTTTGATTTATTTACAAACGTAATGAAATTAAAGTAATTTTGTGCGATTCCAGGTGAGATTTTGACTTTTTCGAAGTAGGTTAATCGATTGCAATGAAACATTGGAATTTTGTTATATATAGTAAGACTAATCTTTAACGTAAATTTCAGCTTAAAATATTTGTTAGTTTACGAGATTTGTAATAATAACAAAAAAAATTTAAACTGCTATATTTTCCATTCTAATAATCGGATTGAGGTCTACTTTTTTTTTGAAAATGTCAAGGAAAATGAGAGGAATAAATCTCTTTTAGAACAATTTTTTATAATTTTACAACTAAAAAAATTATTAAATAATAATTGATTAAATTTTACGCGACAATCTAAAATTCAATCACTTAAACGCTAAAATGATCTTATCAGTGTTTTCTTTAATGTTCCAAAGGAATCCAATTGTAAATGCAAGTTTAACTTGGTTAATTTTAATAATTTACGAGTATAAACAATTGTGATTTCTGCTAGTTGACGTGCAGACGACATTGCGCACGCAGCATTCTCACGTAGCCAATTTACTCCACGAATCACGTCAGCTGGTTACAGGAGAATGCTGCGTGCGCAATGTCGTCTGCACGTCAACTAGCAGAAATCGCAATTGTTTATACTCGTAAATTATTAAAATTAACCAAGTTAAACTTGCATTTACAATTGGATTCCTTTGGAACATTAAAGAAAACACTGATAAGATCATTTTAGCGTTTAAGTGTTTGAATTTTAGATTGTCGCGTAAAATTTAATCAATTATTATTTAATAATTTTTTTAGTTGTAAAATTATAAAAAATTGTTCTGAAAGAGATTTATTCCTCTCATTTTCCTTGACATTTTCAAAAAAAAGTAGACCTCAATCCGATTATTAGAATGGAAAATATAGCAGTTTAAAATTTTTTGTTATTATTGCAAATCTCGTAAACTAAGAAATATCTTAAGCTGAAATTTACGTTAAAGATTAGTCTTACTATATAATAACAAAATTCCAAAGTTTCATTGCAATCGGTTAACCTTCTCCGAAAAATTCAAAATTTCACTTTATTAAATTTTTTAATAAATAATCTATAAGAAAATAATTAGGCGATTCTAAAAATGTGTGTTAAAAAATTTAATTTTTATTTATTTACAAACGTAACGAAATTAAAGTAATTTAATCATAAAATTAAAAATTTATTTTGTTTTTTAGAAATTTGTACATATAAATATATATATTTTTTAATTATTTTTTTTTTTAAAACGTAAGTTTTTAAGACTAATTTTCATGAAATTTAAAATTTTTTAATTTTCTTAAAATTAAAAGAAAAAAATTTGAATTAAATTAGATTTTTGTTTAATTACCTAACAAATTTTAAAAAGTTGCGATTAACTGGATTAAATAAAAAACCGTTATAAATGTACATATACATGTACTCATATATATATATATATATATATATATATATATATATATATATATATATATATATATAATTACCTATACCGCTTACGAAATAGGTTGTTATACAGGTTTTAATAGTTTTTTTATAAATAAACTTAAAAAAAAATTGACAAAAATTATTTATTAATACAAACCGATAATTATATTTTTAAATGTAGAAAATCAAGTTTATAACATGGAAAAAAATTTTCACCTGGAACAGCGATAAGTTTCACTGAAGCAGAGATATATTTCACTAAAACAGCTAAAGTTTTCGCAATTCCAGAGAAACATATCGTTGTTTCAGATAAAGATTTTTTCCATGGCGTAAATTTAAATGTAAAAATTTTTAAATATTTTTCATTTTTTTTGTTATTCGAAAAAAGATTGTCTCGTTATTTTTTTTTTGGTATTTGAATTAAAAAATTATATTTTTTCATTGATAAATATTACTTTTTCTTTTTATTTTCGCGAAGATTTTTATACTTAATTCCATCATTTATAATGAATATAAGCAATTTGATCAAAACGGAAATCGAATATACAATCAAGATTCCAGATTTTCTTCTAAGATTTCTGTTTAAGTTTTGCTTTCACTCTCAATGCAAAGTTGTAGAATGCAAAGAGAAAGATAGGGAATAGGTCATAAATTTCCAGTAATGACCATAAATTAGTGAAAATTACCCCTTTTTTTAAATAATACCAATTTTCTACGTTTTTAATTTTTTTAAATTGTAACAACTGTTAATTTTTTTAATTTTTTAGGTAAAATTTTTTATTTTAATATTTTTTTTATAATTTTTTTTTTAATTTCTGTTAATTTTTTCTATTTGCGAAAAAATCTAATTTTAATTTAACATTAAAATAAATAATTTTTATTTTCCTTTTTCAAAAATTGTTACACTAAAAATAGACAAAAAAAAAACTTAAAGAAAATATAAGAAGAAAAATTTAATAGAAGATGCAAATCTGTTTTAAAGGCATCATAACTTTATTTATATATAGTAGAAAAATATTCAAATAATTCGAGCGAAACGGATTCTTTTATTAATCAAGTTTCAACACTTGAATGAAAAATATTTAGCAAATATATATATAAATATAAGAATTGAGTTATTTATGCTCTTTTGGCATTTTGTGTGTATACAATATCAGTGTACCGTAAATTTACAGTTAGAAAAGCAATGTTTCAGATTCCTTTCACTGAGTGGCCTCGCCTCTAACCTTGCATAATGAGGGGAGGGGAGAGGGGGTTCAGAATCGACGTTTTTCAATAATATTAAAATCTATTTTTAGATTTTCTTAAAAATAATTTAAATTTTGTATTATTTATTATCTAAATTATTATTTTCCTAAATAACAAAAATGCAGACCTATAGAAAAAAAATTTTAAATAATTAAAATAACATTATTAATATACTTATTGAAAGATGAGATATCAATTTTTAAAAAAATAAATTTTGCAGATTTTAAATATTTTTTTTTTGAAAATTGATATCTTATCTTTCAGAAAGTACAATTAATAATGTTATTTTAATTATTTAAAATGTTAATTAATTATTTTTTTCTAGAGGTCTGCATTTCCGTGAATAAACGTCCTTAATAAACAGATAATTGTAAAAAAAAATAATAAATTCGAAAATTTTACGTTTTTTTTTTTTTTAAATTAATTAATAAATTAATAATTGAATGTAATTAATTTTAATTTTTTTTTGTACAGCAATTTGCATGGCTGTTGGCGTTTGTGTTTATCCACTTGGTTGGGATTCCCCTTTAATTCGAGCAGTTTGCGGAGCATCTGCCTCAAGGTATTAAAAAAATAATTTTTTTAAATTTAAAAATATAAAAAAAAATTAATTTTTTAATTAGAAAATTTTTGAACAATTCATTATAGTTATGAATAAAAATAAATATTTAAACTAATTTTTATTTTAATAAAATTTTTTTGTTTATTTTAATAAAAAAATTATGTTTTTAATTAAAATATGAAATACTCGAGACAATACAAATGTAGGTAATTATTAATTTATAAAATATTTAAACTATTAAGCAGGTTCAACCCATTAACATAACCTCAAACTAAAAAGTAGTTTTTAACAGAGCTAAAAATATATTTAAAATTTATTACACACCCAAAATCGGCAGATCCAATTGTACAATTTTGAAAAAAAAAAAATTATTTTGTCCTAAAATTTGTTGTTAAATAATAATTAATAAATATTATCTATTTTTTTTAAAGTTAGTGAACTTAGTATATAAGGGTTTATGAGGTCGCTGAATTCAAATTTGGCATTAAAAAAAAAAATCCAAAATGGCGGATCCAAGATGGCGGACAAAAAAAAATTCAAAATCAACCGGATTTGATTGAAATTTGTTAATCGCGGGTTTTGGGGGTCAATGATTACGAATCCAATGTTAGTTTTCAAGAATTCAAAATGGCGGATCCAATATGGCGGACAAAAATTTAAAAAAACAACCGGATTTTGCTTAAAATTTGTTACACGGGGGTCTTTAGGGTCGCTGAATTCAAATCTGATATCAAAATTTAAAATCCAAAAACCTCTGTGTAAGAAGTTTTAAGGCATTTGGATTCAATTTTTAAAAAAGTCGTCCGCCATTTTGAATTTTAAAAAACTAAGCTCAGATTCGTAATCAGCGACCCCGAAAACCCCCGAGTAACAAATTTCAAGCAATTTGTATTGAATTTTAAAAAAGTAGTCCGCCATATTGGATCCGCCATTTTGAATTTTAAAAAACTAAGCTCAGATTCGTAATTAGCGACCCCGAAAACCCCCGAGTAACAAATTTCAAGCAATTTGGATTGAATTTTAAAAAAGTCGTCCGCCATATGAGTCGCCGGAAAGTAAAACCACACATAAAATTCTGACTCCCATTGAATTAACATGGCCGTCAGAATTTTATGTGTGGTTTTACTTTCCGGCGACTCATATTGGATCCGCCATTTTGAATTTTTAAAAACAAACCTCAGATTCGTAATCAGCGACCCCAAAAACCCCCGAGTAACAAATTTCAAGCAATTTGGATTGAATTTTAAAAAAGTCGTCCGCCATATTGGATTCGCCATTTTGAATTTTGAAAATCTAACATCATATTCGAATTCAGCGACCTCGAAAACCCTTATTATACTCTAAATGTGGGTAAAATCGTAAAATAAATTTTTTTTTTCGGGATTTTTACTTATTTTCCAATTGTTATAATTAATATTAGTTAATGAATAAATACTTAATTATTGTAAAAAATTTAATTTTGCAATTTATATAACAAATTGCATATATATTTTGTGATAAGATGTTCACAACCCAACGTTGAGTCGCTGACACAAAAAGGTTTAAAAATATATTTTTTTCAAAAGTTCAACAAATAAAATTTTTATTTTTTATATTTTTTTAAATAAACCGTTATTTAACAAAAACACAAAATTATAGAATTGTAGAGAGAATTTTTCAAAGAGAAAAATGAGTCATTGTTTATAAAAATTAGAATTATTCACTATAAATTATAAGAAAAAATACAAAATATTTATTAATTATTATTTAAAAACAAATTTGAACTTAAAATAATTTTTTTTTCAAAATTGTACTATTGAATCTGTCGAATTCGGGTGTAATAAATTTGAAAATTTATTTTTAGTTCTGTTAAAAACTATAATTTTTAGTTTGAGGTTATGTTAATGGGTTGAAATTCCTTAAGAATTGAAAAGTAGAAAAAAACATTTATTTTGAGGTTATTTTTTGTCAATTGTTGGAAATAATTTAAACTTTTGGGGCAATTGTTATATTTTGAATATTTAGAGCCGATATTAAATCCAAATATTATATTTTAGAAAGATATTTTTGAATATTTTGAATATCAGTTTATCTTAATATATATTTTATTTATTTATTTTGTAATGTAAACAGGCTTAAAAAATTAAAAATACCCTTTTACACTCTACTAAGAGAGATTAATTAAAATGTATATTAAATTGATTACACGGAATTTTAAAAACAACATTGATTTGAATTTAAATCATTATGAATTTTGGATTTAATTGAAATTAATCTAATGCACTTTAATTCCTTTTTATTAAAATTAATTCGATGGGTCAAAAATAAAGAAAGATTTTTAGTTTTATTATTATTTAACCGTTACTTACTGTAGGAGAAATTTAGATGTACACCGCCGTTGTTTGTTCCATCGGAAAGAAAGAAAAAAAGATTGTAACAGGGATGGGTAGGTAACATACTTTATGTATGTTAGGGTCAACGCACAATAAATATATTTCTGGCCTTTTCTAACTCAACTGAAACCTCTGATAAGTGACACTTCTAGTTCTATTTTAGTTCTCCTTCATATAGTGAAAATTATAAGGTAAAGTTAGGTTTAATAGAAAACTGTCATATATGGGAGGTTTCTCTATAAAAGCAATTAGGCTCTGTCACTTGTGACGTCAGAATCGATTTTAGGTGTGACGTCAGAGGCCTGGAGGGACAACAAACAGGCGACACAATGTTATTCTTATGGGGAAGAAAATTTGTTTCCACTTTCATCAATTTTATTCATACTTTAAACATGGAAAACGCTTGTTGACATCTAATAAAATTAAAATGTGTGTTGATAATTAATTTTGTTATATATTTGATTCAATTGCATCGATAGATTCTCTCAATTCGTGATAAAATATAAATTTTGAGGTTAGGGGTGTTTGATTACTAACTTGAAATCCTTTACTGCTAAGGTAATTGCTGTGGTTATTAAAATGTAAAATGTGATTAGTAAACAAACACCCTTAACCTCAAAATTTATATTTTATCACGAATTCAGAGAATCTATCAATGCAATTGAATCAAATATATAACAAAATTAATTATCAACACACATTTTAATTTTATTATATCTCAACAAGCGTTTTCCATGTTTAAAGTATGAATAAAATTGATAAAAGTGGAAACAAATTTTCTTTCCCATAAGAATAACATTGTGTCGTCTGTTTGTTGTCCCTCTAGGCCTCTGACGTCATATCTTGAACTCGAAATATCTCGATGAACTGACACAGCCTAATCGGCCGTTAAAACCAATAATACTTATAGATACATACACCCAATCGCATAAATGTTGGCCTTCTGGTTTGACTATATTTTGAAAAGTCGTTACATTTCTATAATAAATTAGTTTATAGCGTATCCATAACCATATGCCACGAACTAATAAAATTATTATAGAAGTGTCACGACTTTTCAAAATATAGTCAAACCGGAAGTACAGCATTTATGCAATGGGGCGTAAAATCTAGTGAAAACTTAGTTATATTCTAGTAATTTTCTAGTTAAAACTAATATTTCTAGTAATGTAATAGAAAGTAACATGGTTTTCTAGTAATATTTTTGCAAAAAAAAACATAATATGTAATTAAATCATTGAAAACCTTTTTTTGAATTTAATTAAAAAGAAAATTAATTTAAATTATTATTTTTTTTCTCACAGATATAATCCAGGAGCATGTGCAATCAGATGGGCAATTCCATTGGCAGGAATTGCGGCTATGGATGCAATAACATTAGCGGCTCTCGCTTTTATTTTAGCATCGAGACACGTCAGACTACAGGCGGAACCATTTAATAATGGATCCTTATATAAAGGTGTGCAATTTTATTTTTTGATTTTTGTAACGATAAACAAAAATTTTTTCATGCTGTCCTTTAGGGTTTGACGCCATTTTAAAAAGTCGTGACACTTCTATATTAATTCCATTAGTTCGTGGCCTTTACATCATATGCCACGGAACTAATGGAATTAATATAGAAGTGTCACGACTTTTCAAAATGCCGTCAAATCGATAGGACAGTTGGGTGTAAGGGTGTATTCACATGGAAACGTAAAACGTCAAATGTAACTAGAATATGAGTGCGAGAAGGACAAATGTATAACTTCATCTCGTTCACACTCATTATCTAGTTATAAAATTTGACGCTTAACGGCCTCCAGGTGGTTTTACCCTAATGTTAAAATCAATTTTTGATAAAAATCAAATTTAGATTTGTTTTCTAATTAGGCTGCAGTCCCAAGACAGCGTTTTGCGTTTTGTCACTAGACTATGAGTGTAAAAGAGAAGGTTGGTTGGTTTCCGTTGTCCTCACTCGCCATTCTTGTCAACTACCGCACCCTGCTCTAGTGAAAATTTAGTGATTTTATAGTAACTTTTTATTTTAACAATAAAGTCACTAAATTTTTACTAGAGCAGGGTGCGGTAGTTGACAAGAATTATGACAAATGGTGAGTGAGAACTAACAATGGAAACAGAGCCTTTATACAGTTGGAAGTAAAGGTGTATTCACACGTAAAGTGTCAAATTTTGTAACTAGACAATGAGGGTAAAAGAGACGCAGATATATGTTTGCTATGTTTACACTCATGGCCTAGTTACAAAACGAAACGCAAAACGCTGTAATAGAACTGTAGTCTTACAAATTTTTTTTCTATGTTTCAATTTTTAATTTCCTCTTTTCTTTTAGGTGAAGTTAATCCAGCCTATGTAAATGAAGCGCAAAGTGTCGCTGGCTCAAGAAAATCACTATCATTAAGGCCAGTACTTTTGGTAGCGCCACCTGAACAGGACAGGTATTCAGAAATTTCCCGAGCAAAATCACATTCCCATCATAGTCTCTACGCAGCATCACCTGGACATCCAGTTCATACATTATCAACAAACACTTTAAATCGTTCACAACACAATTTCCAATTCTAGAAAATCGTGGAGGGGGGGGGCGAAAGAGAAAGAAAAAAAATGAAATTTCGAAATAAAAATTCGAAGGCCATAATTTATGTTTTCAAACTAGGAGATCAAATCAAATTTTCTTTTTTCCTTACGCAGTGTGCAATTGTTGCCATTTCTTTAAACGTATTTAATTTGTCCTCATTTTTTTTTACATTATAATTAGTAATTTTTTTTTTTTTAATTAATTTTCAATTAGTCATTTTTGCAAATTCAGTTCAGATAAAAAGAAAAGTTTTTTTTTATTTTTGCAAAATGACAAATAAATATATTGTAATTTTGTCTTTAAAAAATAATTTAAAAATTAGTATAGTAAATAAATTAGAATTATCAATTTTTTTTTTCATCTAAAAATGAGAAATTCGGGTTTTTTTTTTAATGAAAAAAACGATAATTGTTATAATTTTAAATTAGTGAATTTTTTGTAGAAAATTACACTTGTAATTTTCACAAAAAAGCGAGAGATTATTACGTTCATTTTAAAAAGTTTTAATTATTATAATATTATTATTATTATTCTTAATTAAGAATCTTTAAAAAGCCATCTTTTGTAATAAAATTTTAGTCTATTTTGTATTTTATAATTAATTTTTATAAAAAAAAGAAAACAGATAAATCGAAAAGTTGAGTTGTGTTATTTTATTGCTACTGTTACATTTTATCGTAACATTGTCGACAGACTGAAAAATAAAGAGATTGTTGAAATAAATATTGAATTTCTTTTTTTTCCTACCGTATCTACTTTACCGACACAACGTAGATTGGAAACTAGTATAGAAATTTCGTTACATATAACAAAAATTTAATTTACCTATAGTAGTTATAATAAATAGGTTTATAAACTCGAAAAATATTTTCTGTCATAATTCTCGTCAATTACCTTACTCTGCTCTAGTGAAAATTTAGTGACTTTATAGTAACTTTTAATTTTAACTATAAAGTCACTAAATTTTCACTAGAGCAGGGTGCGGTAATTGACGAGAATTATGACAGAAAATATTTTTAAGAAACTAATATTTTCCGAGTTTATGAACCTTTTTTATTATAATTACTATAGAGTAAGTGTATGAATTACTGCTGATGCGACAATTACTGCGATTTTTATAAAATTAGTAAAACTTAGTAATTGTGAACATAAAACTGTTTCATAATGACTTTAAAACTTATTCCAAATGATATTTGATATTATATCCAATAATAATGCATATTTCGACTATTATAAAATTATTTATTCAAGTTACAATTGAATCTATCACAGTATTTAGAGCATGCGTATATTTTTCGCATTCTGCTATTACTGTGGTCTATACAGTCAACCTAACCTCTAAATCAACGCGTTGCAGTAATTGGTGCACACTATTCGCAGTAATTCATGCAAACTTGCAGTAATACCAGCAAATGCCATTTTTAAAAAATTTAATATTTTTAATAATATATTTGTTATTTCTTCAAGTTTAAAGTATCGTTTCTATTTTAATAGACACTAATAGTGATTTAACAAAAAGAATTAAATCATTATTTCATTTATACACTTTTATTATTTTATCATTAAAGTCGGTCTTGGGTTGTACATCACAGTAATTGGGACATTTACCCTATAGTTGAATTATATTTTTATATATGTAACGAATTTTACAGTGAAAATTTAGTGACTTTATAGTAACTTTTAATTTTAACAATTAGGCTGTGTCAGTTCATCGAGATATTTCGAGTTCAAGAAATGACGTCAGAGGCCTGGAGGGCAGGGATGGGTAAATGTAACAAACTAGAGGTTTTCTACGTATGTTACATGGTTTGTTACAGAGGTAAAATACGTATGTTACCCCCCCCACTACCGAAAAATGCATTAGGTAACAAATTTTTGAAGTATCATACGTATGTAACATACGGTAACAAACCATGTAATATACGTGAAGTATGTTACCTACCCATCACTGCTGGAGGGATAACAAACAGACGACACAATGTTATTTTTATGGGGAAGAAAATTAGTTTCCACTTTCATCAATTTTATTCATACTTTAAACATGGAAAACGCTTCTTGACATATAATAAAATTAAAATGTGTGTTGATAATTAATTTTGTTATATATTTGATTCAATTGCATTTATAGATTCTCTCAATTCGTGATAAAATATAAATTTTGAGGTTAGGGGTGTTTGTTTACTAATCACATTTTACATTTTAATATCATTATTAAACAATATCCAGTATGCATGTTATTATATAAAATATATATTTTAACCCTCACAACAAAAGGATATTCAGGATATCCTTGGGACGTCCTGGGGATATCGATTTGTTTTCGGCGGTTTGGATATCCCTGGGATATCTTAGAGATGTCCATGGATATCCAGAGGATATCTTAGGGATATCCGAATCGCCAAAAGCAAATGGATATCCCCAGGACGTCCCAGGGATATCCTGAATATCCTTGTGTTGTGAGGGAAGTGGGAATTACCGCAGCAGTAAAAGATTTCAAGTTAGTAAACAAACACCCCTAACCTCAAAATTTATATTTTATCACGAATTGAGAGAATCTATCGATGCAATTGAATCAAATATATAACAAAATTAATTATCAACACACATTTTAATTTTATTAGATGTCAACAAGCGTTTTCCATGTTTAAAGTATGAATAAAATTGATGAAAGTGGAAACTAATTTTCTTCCCCATAAGAATAACATTGTGTCGTCTGTTTGTTGTCCCTCCAGGCACCTGACGTCAGACCTAGAATCGACTCTTACGTCACAAGTGACAAAGCCTAATGGAGCATTTACACCTTTGGTAAAAAAAATTTTTTATTTTGATTTTCGGAAATGCAAAGATCTGATTGGTTGTCCATTATCAATCAGATTGTGAACAACCAATCAGGTTTGTGTATTTCGGAAAATTCAAAAATAAAAAATTTTTTTACCAAAGGTGTAAATGCTCCGTAATAAAGTTGGATAAATTTTTACTAGAGCAGAGTGCGGTAGTTAACGAGAATTATGACAAATGCCGAGTGGGGACAATGGAAATCAACCATTGGTCAAGTCCATTATTTTATGTCAAGCGACTCAGCTTTGCATATTGGTGGTATAACGTATGAGTTGTCTTTTATAATTGTAAAAATTTAGCCTAAATAGATTAATATATTTATTATTAAATTAATATTATATAATAATTTTATTTAAACAGTTTGTAAAAGATTATCTAGTATTAGTATTTATTTTTTAAATAAGGTAAGTAATTAAATTGTAGTTGGTATTAATATTACCGCATAATATTATTATTACGTGAATTTCGGTAACCTAACCTATAAATAAATATAAATTATATTCATTACTGTTAGAAAAAGGTATGCATTTATTTATAATAAATAAATAAAGTAAAATAATCATTAATAAGGTATAATAAAGTATGTTTTCGACTTAAAAAAAAAACAATTTCTCTATTTTGACTAGTATATTTTGTAATTATATGATACAGGTCAATTTTTTTTGTATACCTAATATTTATATTTGACAACTTAATTTACTTGTAGATGTTTTTGGATTTCAGATTTGATTAAAAAATACAGCAATCTGTGACAAATTGTCTCTATAGACAAAGTGTGTTTTCTGTTTTTAACACTCAAAACAAATAATTTTTTTTACAATAACAAGTTTCAATTTTTCTTTTCTTAACGTCTATAATTATTATAATCAACAAATTGAATTTTTTTTTTTTCATTTTTAACGTTTTTATTACAAAATTTTTTTTAAAAAATTAATTCCCAATAATTCACTCTAAAATAATAGAAAATTTATTACAAAAATAATTTCATAAATTATTTAATTTTAATTAATTAATCAATTCAATTGAATGACAAATTAATTAATTAAAAAAAAAACAATCATTAAAAATTTTTTAAATTCGTGAATTATTGAGAAAATAATTTGCAAAATGAAAATAATAGTTCTTAAAAAATAATTTTTATAAATTATGAAAATTTGTTAATTATACAAAAATAATTTACACATATTACATATATCACTTTTTTTTAAAGTGAAAATATTAAATTAATGTCGAGATAATAATAATTATTATTTTTCACAAAAATTTTGTTTAAAAAAAAAAAATACCCTCGCACAAATATATCACAATGTCATTATATTAAATAATCATCATCGTCTCATTTTTTTTTCTAGTCTCTTAAATTTTCACAACGATGTATATTTTCTAATCTAATTTTATTTTTCCAATAATTTTTTTCTTACACCAAGACTTTTTTCTTTCACACTTTTTTTTTCTCTGAAGTGATTATGGAGTATTTTATTTATTAGTAAAAGAAATATTTTAAATATTTCCCACCTTTATCTACATTACCGACGAAACATAGATTTGAAACGTGTGTAAAAAATTTAAGACAGAAAAAATTTTCAATTCTAAATGACAAAAATGTAAATTTTTTTTTTCTAATTTGTAAAAATTTTTATTTATAGAAGAAATATTAATGACAACAGTAAGAATTTGAAAATACACTTTATATATATATTCTTTTTTTTCATTTTGAAGAGACACGAAGGTGTAAGGTGAGGAATACACGATGATTATGTGGCCTATGACATTCTTCGGCAAAAGGCGTTTATGGTTTTACAAGAGTATTCCATCGGCAACTTTTACAACTCTTCGCTTATTAGGGCTTTCGTTTAGTCGTGCGAAAGAAACTTCTGATTTTGACCGCATACTATTATGTTAAGCGCAACACAACTTTATGGTTTTTAAGTTACACTCTAGAGAATATAACATCTTAATAATAAATATCCTGAGATTTTTTGGATTGCGATAAAAAGAAATGGCAAAATGATCTTCATTCTTTAATTATAAACAAGAGAAGACAATTTTCATATATACTCGAAACTTATTTAACAATTTTTCATATAAAGATAGCGAAAGAGATAATAAACCCAAAATTCCGCACTAACAAAGATAACCTCAAAATACGTGAAATAATTTTTATTTTCCTTCTAGGTTGACGGCATTTTGAAAATTGATCAGAAAATAAAATTAAGAAGAAGAAGAAAAAATTCAATGAGTGAGAATAGTGTTGTAATGGATTCAGTGGCTGATGAAAGCAAGTGTTTCATACTAGATAATGAATAATTGGGGAAAACACATGAGGGAAAATACACAAAATGACAAAATAAAAGAAAAATGTCAGAATAAATTAATGGCAAAGTCCTTTTTTCCGGACAATATAAAACGCAGTTGTTCTATCACAAATTTTCACCCCCCTTAGTTTCGCCTCGTATATCTCAAAAATGTTTTTTTTTTTTGCACAAAAATGCCTTAATACGGAGGGTTTATCTAAAAAAATAAATTATACTGAAGAAACTCCAGGTTTTTTTTTCTTTGGCCTTCAACGATTTTTTTTATCAATGAAAGCTTCTAATACAATCACACACCTTCGCAGGAAAATTTCAAACATCCTTACCAACGACAATGCCACATGGTTGAACAACTCCAGTATTTAAAAGTCTTGGCCTCTTACAAATATTCTTGGTCTCATCTTTCTTCAATAGTTCCTCTATCGAATAAGGATTCTTCTTCTTTCTTGGTGGCAATTGATTTGCATTACTGCTACTGTCATTTGGATTTTGTTTAATTTCAATTAATTCACGATCGTGAAGATTCCTTGAATGATTTTCATCAGGCGATGATGGATTTCGTGATGAATTGTCTCCATGTCGAACAAATGCGCTTCGTTCGCTGCCAACTTTTTGACCTAATTCAAGAATAATCGGTGATCTTTGGTAAGATTTAAAATGATCCTGAGACTCGGCTGTGTCGTCTAAATCACTTTTGTCCAGAGAATCATCACTACCGGCCATTGAACTCGAACTTGATTTTAATTCGACTTGTGATTGACTCTCCTGTCGATCTGCCAGTCGATCAGAGTCAAGGGATCTAGGAAAAAGATTTTATTAAAAATTTTTATTCAAATTTTGTATTTACAAAAAAATTAATATTTCAAACGCACTGTGAATTGTGATGCAAGTGTAGAGTTGTAGCCTGATAGAGTGACGAATAGAATGTTGGATTCCATGTTGGAGTTCCAGAACTTCCGGAAGTTGTGGAAACGTGCAAAGGTCCCAAAGCACTGGGATAGAAAAATTGATAATCTCCTCGAAGAAGAGGTTCTGAAAAAAAACAGTGAGAGAAATTAAGAACAAGTCCTAAAATTATTTAATCGACATCTGTTTCTCAACTGTTTCATCATTTTTGATTTAGCGAAATTTGTTACGTGAGTTTTAGAAAAAAAAAGGAAAGAGGAACAAATTGAGATCCAAGAATTCTAAAATTGACTCGTTAGGTTGGCTCGTTTCAACACGCAACCTAGAGAAATTTATCCCTTCACCCGATAATTTAAATCTCATCGAATTGCTGCTTTTCAACTATTCGAATTCCTCGATCTTTTTTAGAAATCAAATATTTTTGTTCGTAGAAAAAAATTCGCTAAATCATCCATTCGTTATTATAATTTTCCTTAGGAATCCAATTTCAATGGTATAAATAATTCTTCAAAAAAAGAAAAGAAAATGGAAAAAAGAAATGTAGAAATAATTCACCTCTGACGCTCCCTACGTTGGATGGCATTTGCGGTTGGTAAGCGGTAGAAGATCCTCCCTCAATCCCCGGATGTTCAGTTTGTAAACCACCACCTCGGAGTATCCGGTTGACCGAAGACACGGAAGGTAAGCTCTGAGGATCGCAAGCTCCCTGTCGAGCCAGTTCTTCCCTTATCTCCCAGGCAAACATGGTTGGATGTTCCTGCTTCATCCGCAGGATTTTCTTCACGACACTTGGCGTTGCTACTTGCTGCATAAAAAGAGAATCCAAATTTTCATATTCGAAATTTCTAATTCTAATATAAGAATTCAAAATACATCAAATTGGCTCAATTGAGAGGAATTGAAAAGAAATAATTAAACCTAGTGTGAAAGACCAAAGAGAGAGGATATGGATTTAAAGGGGTTTGGGGGAAGTGAATGAGCCTAACCGTTGGACTCGCTTATCAGCCCTTAACCGACATGTCAAACGACCCTTAATCCCCCTTCCGATAATTACTATTGGCCACTGTGGAAGGTCAACCTGTTCAACAGTCCCTGGGTTATCTAACGTTTATAGAACCAGATGACGGAACTCCGATTCCCCTTCCCCTAAATTTGTGAGCCCAACAATTTCCTCCTGTTCAATGAGCGCGGTCACTAAACATGACTCGACGATACTACCAAGTGTTGTGACATTAGTAGATATCAACCCCTGGGTAATAATTGCCCGGACGACGACGGAAGTGTCAGATTAGAATCTGAGATGCTCCCTTTGGTGCACGCGATGTGCCCTCCCTCTAAATATATATACCCTCTCCAAAAACTATTAGCAGTAACGTTCGCACAGGATTCTCAACACATTTCTCAGGGTTTAAGGATATTATTGATCAGAGGTGCCGCTTTTAGGGCTTTTATTTTATTATATCGAAAATTGTCACCTATTTTTTGAAACGAACATATTTTTTTTTTCTAACAAAGAATCGATTACTTAATCTCGATATTTGGTATTAATAAATGTTTCAAATTTCACATGTTGTATCATATTAATCGTAAAAACAATAATTGGTTGGTATTGGATTCAGTGGCTGAAAGCAAGTTTTTCATATTAGATAATGAATAATTTGGGAAAATACATAAGCGTAATGAAGAAGTTCCTTGATTAATGTCGTATTGGATTCAGTGGCTGAAAGCAAGTTTTTCATACTAGATCATGAATAATTGGGGAAAATACCTAAGGGAACAGGGAAACATCTTAAAATGGTTCATAGTTAAAGTTAGTTACTGCAGAAGTTAGAGGTTAGAAGTTACCATAAAATAATCTAAATGGTTGGTTTCCATTGTCGCCACTCGTCGAAATTCCCATTCGACATTTGCTGTAAATGAAAATTTAGTAATTTTTAATTTAAACAATAAAATCATTAAATTTTTACTAGAGCAGGGTGCGGTAGTTGACGAGAATTATGGCGAATGGGGACTTTGGCGAGTAAGGACAATAGAAACCAACCATTGCATAACAACAATTAGGGCTTTGTTCACGTAATTAGCAAAATAGATTTTAACCAATCAAAATTTAGTCTTGCGGCAAGATAAGAGACTCCATTTTGATTGGTTAAAATCTATTTTGCTAATTACGTGAACAAAGCCCTTAGCCAATTAAAAATTATTAAAAAATTAAAATTATCCGATTTTAAGGTTATGTTTCCCAAAAAAGCCGAATAAAGAAAAAAAAACTTCTCGTTTCTCTATACTTTTATTTTTTTTTTGGTGTGATGTAAAATAATATTTATGTAATCGATTTAAGACAATAACAAAATGTTTTTCATGTTATATGCCAGACCTCCTGGAAAGAAAATCAAAGTCTCAACTTGATCACGTGCCAAGACAAAATATGGGGGATCACTCGATCTTGAAATCTGTCGGTTGGAATAACATTTCCATCGCGTTAGCATAAAATTATCGGTGCGAAGTTTTAAATGAACTTCATTAGCAATTCAAATTTATTTTCTATATATATATACAGATTTGAGAACCTCTGCGAGGGACTTAAAATAAAAAAAAAAAAAAAAAAAAAAAATGACGGCAGATGACGCTAATCACTATAACCAGGGCTAAACTGAAATAAAGTGTGTGCCCACCTGAGCAGCACTATCTCATTGCGTCCATCACTTCACCTGTGAAAAATTATATATAGCGCACATGTGTGCAAATTTTCGTCAACTGTCGTCGTTGTATTACTTCCTTTTTTCTGCGCCACGACAATTTGACAAATATTCAAATAAAGAAATGTAGGAAACATATTTTGAACTATTTTCCCTTCTATGGCAAAATGGCGCCAATTTTTCAATTCCTATTTTATAAAATATATATAAAAAAAAAATTAAAGTCAATCAATAAATTCCGGGTAGGAATAAAAATTGAAAAAAAAAGAAATATTCTCATTGGTTTCTGTTATTCAGAGAAATATTGATATTTCTTTCTCTGTAATTTCATTTAACTGCTACGGTAAAGTTCGATAAATAAATAATAGCACTACAGTCGATGGTAGTGGGGGCAAGAGGAGGGGGGGGGGTGATGGAAACTATCAGGTAGCCGTTCCGTTCCGTCGCGTTTTCAACCAATGACATACGAAGCTTCACTAAATCATACATCGAAAAAAAATAAACGTGCGACATTTCAGGTATTCCTCCCCGAGATCTTAATTGCACGATAACGAGTCTGGGAATCGTGACTGTATTTACACTACAAAAAAAAGAGAGAGAAAAAAATAGAATATAAAGGTCCATATAGGTTTAATAAAAGTGTTATAAAATAAATTTTATATATTTTGATGTTAAATGATGTTAAAAAGGAGATTAATAAAACAATTGTATTTTATAACCTATAAATAATAGAAAAATTGTAATTTTTTTTTTCTAAACTAATTTTAGTTTTTTTTAATTCTATTTTTGTTTCTAGATTGAAATTATAATTCCCAGAAAAGGAGAAGGAGAAGAAATTCAATGAGTGAGATTACTGTTTGGATTGAGTGGCTGAAAGCAAGTTTTTCATACTAGATCATGAATAATTGGGGAAAATACCTAAGGGAACAGGGAAACATCTCAAAATGGTTTATAGTTAAAATTAGTTACTACAGAAGTTAGAGGTTAAAAGTTACTATAAAATAACTAAATGGTTGGTTTCCATTGTCTCCACTCGTCAAAATCCCTATATTCGACATTTGTCGTAATTCTTGTCAACTACCGCACCCTGCTCTAGTGAAAATTTAGTAAATTTTAATTTAAACAATAAAGTCACTAAATTTTTACTAGAGCAGGGTGCGGTAGTTGACGAGAATTTTAACAAATAGCGACTAGGGAATTTGGCTAGTGGGTCTTGATTTCCATTGTCCCACTCGCCGTTTGTCATAAATCCTTTCAACTACCGCACCCTGCACTAGTGAAAATTTAGTAACTTTTAATTTTAACAATAAAGTCACTAAATTATCACTAGTTAACGAAAATTATGACAAATGGCGAGAAGGGACAATGGCAACCAACCGTTTTCAAGGAACCATTTTCCAAAGAACCAATCACAATTCTAGGCGGTAAATTCATACAATGAATTAAAATAATTTAAAAAAAATAGAAAAATAAAATTAATAATACAAAAAATAGAACAAAGATCTACAAGACTTGATAAAACAAAACAAAAAAATTTTTTTTGAAAAATTATGAATGAGAAATTGATGCTTCTTATGAGGGAAAATTAGTTACAGGTAATTACAAATTTCCTCTTGCGCCGCGCGCTCTCATGAGGTAAACATTTCAAATGAAATTAACGAGCGTAAACGATATCAATTGTGTGGATCGTATATAAAATATAATGGAGAAAACCACGCGTTGTACTAGAGTGAAGCTTTTAATATAAAAAAAAGAAATAAAATGTATATATATATATATACAACTCGCGTCAAACTATTTTCACTTGTCGTGACAACTCTTCATTATATATATATATAAATATCAGGGAAGATACAGAAGAAATGTAAATATACATACATCACTTTGAAGAATGTCATAAAAATAAACAATGAAATTCTATTATATTTAGATCATCGATAATTAGACATATATTTGTTGTTTTTAATGACCAATCAATTACCATATTGTATATGCGGTTAAAGTGAATTATAAAGTTTATTTTTTGCATGATATGTCAATTTTCCCGCGTTAATTTATAATAATCAAAATGTGATAGGTTTGAGGTTATCTTAGACTGGTTGAAAGATTTAAGGTTATGATAGGCATAAGATTTTAGGTTATGTTAACCCTAAAAGTTGAGGTTATGTTAGACCTAAGATTTGAGGTTATGTTAACCCTAAAAGTTGAGGTTATGTTAGAAATAAAATTTTACGATTGTTATTCTATTGTAGATTTAAGGTTAAGTTAGACAAGATTTGAGGTTATGTTAGGCATAAGGTTAAATTTGACCTTAATTAAAAAAAAAATTATCCATGTGAGGAATTGAACTCAGGTTATGAAATTTAAAAACCAGGGTCATAACCTCTAGGCTATGGCAAATCAAAATTTTATCTTTTTTTTTTTTTTATTTATTTTCGTTAACGATATAATCGACTTGGGTGTCTCGGAATGAGTTAATTAAAATAGAAATTTTTGTATTTACGTTAATTGCCTGTAAATGATGGCAAACTTTATACGTTTTATTGGTAGGGAATCCGTGAAATGGTAAAATAAGTGAGAACAGTCTGCCATAGTATATAGTATGAAGGCGACAAGGACGAGGCACACGCGTTTTTTTTTTAACCATTCACAGTTCAGCGTTTTATTGCTGTAATAATGGCGCGCTAAAGATATTTTAAAAGGATTCGTCTCAAGAGTCGTAAGTTGCGCATGGTTTGGAATTTCTCATGTAATTTTAAGGGTTTATAGTATAGTTTATTATAAGAATCGCCCAAGGTGCAATTATCCGAAACACCTTTTTCTTATAATTTATATTTATTTCTTAACTATTTATTATTTAATCATTAATTATTATTTATTTAACTATTGCACCCTGCTCTAGTGAAAATTTAATAACTTTATAGTAACTTTTAATTTTAACTATAAAATCACCAAAAAAAAAATTTAGTGACTTTTAATTTTCTCTATAAAATAACTAATTTTTCACTAGGAGCAGAGTGCGGTAGTTGACGAGAATTATGGTGAATAGGAACAATAGCAAATCTTTCTAGAGCTAGTAATGGTCATTCTGCAATTAAAAAAAAATTTGTTTACCTTTGTTTTGCTGCCGCCAATACTTCCGGGACGAATGCTTCCAGTTTCATAGAACCTGGTTAAAATTTTTGAGACACAGCCATGTGATACTAATAGTTGTCGGGAAATATCGCAAGGTCTCACGCCAACTAGTGCAAGTTGAACGATCCTTTGCCTCACACAGTCAGGAAGTGGTCTACCATTAACAAAAACACCCCCCAATTGATTAACTCCAGCTTGACCTGAAAAAAAAAATTAAATGAAAATTAATTACTCTGTTTAAGCGATGGTAACATCCCAAATGTGACACTGGACAAATACGGTTGGTTTCCATTGTTCCCACTAGCTAAAATCCCTACTCTCTATTTGTCATAATTCTCGTCAACTACCGCACCCTGCTTTAGTGAAAATTTAGTAACTTTATAGTAACTTTTAATTTTAACAATAAAGTCACTAAATTTTCACTAAAGCAGGGTACGGTAGTTGACGAGAATTATGACAAGTGGCGACAATGGAAACCAACAATTTAACTAAAATTTTGTTAAGGCTGTTCTACAATACAATACTTCTATAATAATTTTATTAGTTTATGGCGTATGTTGTAACCATACGCCACGAACTAATAAAATTATTATAGAAGTGTGTCATGACTTTTAAAAATACCGTCAAACCGGAAGTAGATATTTAAAAAAATTATAATAATTTCAAATTAAAATTTCAAATTAATATTCATTACAGCAATATTTATAATTAAAAATTCTAATTGTAAACAAAAATTTAAAAGAAATTTCTAAGACTTTAACTTTTCTTCAAAATGACCCTAAGGCGATAATAACAAATATAGGGTATAGAAATAAATGCGGGGTAATAGTGAATACGAAATAATAATCCTAACACAGGGGTATAGGGATGATAATAGAGAGACAAAATAATTTCTTCCAGCTGAAAGATGAAAATGATGGGTCAATATATAATATGACATATTTAGCAGGTGTTTTAAAAATGGTTTGACAACCTAATGACATCTTTTGACATCAGCAGCGTGCTTTTTCAGATGATCTTCAAATTCACGTGTACCACCCAAGGAGACAGAGACACATGTATATAATTATATTTCGAAGCTGACAAAGAGAAATCATCACCTAATTTATAGTTTTAGTTTCGCTTCTTTAAAAAAAAAAAAAAAAAAAAAAAACGCATTTCTAATCCTCTCTATTTCCGTTTATTTTACAAATGTTTAATTTTTATGGACATTTTTAAGAATTGTTATAGATTATAGACAATACGGGGTAATAACGAACTTATGGAGTAATACTATATAGGGGGAAATAGGAGTAGGGGAATCAGAAACACGGGGTTATAGTGAATATAGGGTAATAGTAAACACAGGGTAAAAGTGAATATGGGGTAATAGTAAATACGGGGTAAAATTGAACACTACTTATGAACATAAGGGGTAATTGTAATCGTATATTGTAATGGGAGTGTGAGCAGTAGGGGAATCAGAAACACGGGGTAATAGTGAATATAGGGTAATATAGTAAATGGGGTAATAGTAAATACGGGGTAAAATTGAACACTACTTATGAACTTACGATTATAATTGTAATCGTATATTGTAATGGGAGTGTGAGCAGTAGGGGAATCAGAAACACGGGGTAATAGTGAATATAGGGTAATAGTAAACACGGGGTAAAAGTGAATACGGGGTAATAGCAAACACGGGGTAAAATTGAACACTAATAACAAACGTAAGGATTAAAAGAGTAAAAGTAATACAGTAAGTAATCTGTAATACGGGGTAAAAGTGAATACGGGGTAATAGTGACATTAAAATACAAAAAAATTCTTTTTTTACTTTTAAATCTTGACGTTATTATTATTTTATTTTTTTTTTTAATGTCATTTTGTGCACCTTGGAAGTGTAGGCACGTGCTAAAGGAAATGGTTTTCGTTGAAGAGAGATTAGTCTTTTAAATTGACTTCTGCAAAATGCAGAAAGAAACCCACACTACTACTACTACTACAACAAGGGTCACCCGCCCTTATTGCTCGCGCAGTGGGACGTTTACGAGTAAATTTTCCCTCTTTTTGAGGCTGTGGCCGTTGGCTAAAAGTGCAACGCGCTTAAAAATACAGACACAGACACACCTACAATATATATATATATATATATATAACTGGACACTCGTTTCTTGTTCACCTGCCGTCGTATATACACACACTCTATTATAGAGAATGGGCCACCAATGTCAAGGCCCGCCCGCGGGTTTTGGAAAAGACAATTAGCATCGGATTGCAACTCATAAATGGCACGAGGCAAATGGGCACATCGATTTTTATCTTTCTTTCGACATTGCGAGAAAAGAAATATAACGACGACGACGACGACGACAACAACAAACGTTAAGTGACCAAAAAATTTTCACCTTATTTAATGATCTTTGAAAAATTGTCTTAAGTAGACACGAAAATGTCTATATTTAGGTATATGAGAAATTGATATTTTTTAAAAAAAATTGATGGGTAACTTGACATCTGGGTAAAGAAGAAAAAGAAGTAGAAATCACAAAAAAATGCTAGTAACAATACTAGTAACAATACTAGTAACAATACTAGTAACAATACTAGTAACAATACTAGTAACAATACTAGTAACAATACTAGTAACAATACTAGTAACAATACTAGTAACAATACTAGTAACAATACTAGTAACAATACTAGTAACAATACTAGTAACAATACTAGTAACAATACTAGTAACAATACTAGTAACAATACTAGTAACAATACTAGTAACAATACTAGTAACAATACTAGTAACAATACTAGTAACAATACTAGTAACAATACTAGTAACAATACTAGTAACAATACTAGTAACAATACTAGTAACAATACTAGTAACAATACTAGTAACAATACTAGTAACAATACTAGTAACAATACTAGTAACAATACTAGTAACAATACTAGTAACAATACTAGTAACAATACTAGTAACAATACTAGTAACAATACTAGTAACAATACTAGTAACAATACTAGTAACAATACTAGTAACAATACTAGTAACAATACTAGTAACAATACTAGTAACAATACTAGTAACAATACTAGTAACAATACTAGTAACAATACTAGTAACAATACTAGTAACAATACTAGTAACAATACTAGTAACAATACTAGTAACAATACTAGTAACAATACTAGTAACAATACTAGTAACAATACTAGTAACAATACTAATAATAATAATAATAATAATAGCAAGTGGTAGGTTGCGATTAAAATGCGCGCTTTGCTCATTTGTTATAGGCATTACAAAATTAGGATTTCAGTGTCATTATACGGAATGATAAAAAAAGGGAATTAAGAGAAAAAAAAAATAACATAAATTCGGGCTTCTCGCTTCCCTTTAGGCACTAGTGGCATTCAGAGTCAACGGACAGAGCTAAATTATTATTACGGCAAAAACAGAAAAATGATGCACTTCTATCTCCATGAGAATCAAGTATAATATGAACTACAGCATTAAGGTGTATAATAAAATATTTCATTTTTTTTTTTGCAAAAAAGAGAAACAAGAATGTCAATAGGAGGCTATATAGTCATAGTATAATATACTACACTGAAAAAAGGGTTTGGTATTGACAACCAAACGTTTGGTTGGTATTTAAGCAACTAAATTTTTTTTTTTTTATTGAATCAACAAAATTTTGGTTGTCCCAATCAAACTTTAGTTAGGACAAGAAAAATCCTTCTTTTTTCTAATTTTGGTTGTGTCAAACAAAATTTTGATTGAGACAATTAAATTTTTGTTGATTCAAAAAAAAAAAAAATTTTGGTCGCTTAAATACCAACCATACGTTTGGTTGTCAATACCAAACCCTTTTTTCAGTGTATACTATATTATAATAGAAACAAAGCTGACAAAAGTAACAGGAAAATAGTGGTAGCATATTCAGAATTAAATGCGGTAACAAAAAAAAGTTATAACAAAAAAGTAGTAACAAAAAAGTAGTAACTAAAAAGTAGTAACTAATAAGTATTACCTAACTAAAAAGTAGTAACTAATAAGTATTACCTAACTAAAAAGTAGTAACTAAAAAGTAGTAACTAAAAAGTAGTAACTTAAAAGTAGTAACTAAAAAATAGTAACTAAAAAGTAGTAACTAAAAAGTAGTAACTAAAAAGTAGTAACTAAAAAGTAGTAACTAAAAAGTAGTAACTAAAAAGTAGTAACTAAAAAGTAGTAACTAATAAGTATTACCTAACTAAAAAGTAGTAACTAAAAAGTAGTAACTAAAAAGTAGTAACTAAAAAATAGTAACTAAAAAGTAGTAACTAAAAAGTAGTAACTAAAAAGTAGTAACTAAAAAGTAGTAACTAATAAGTATTACCTAACTAAAAAGTAGTAACTAAAAAGTAGTAACTAAAAAGTAATAACAAAAAAGTAGTAACAGTAACATCTATAGTAAGAATAAAATATTAAATATAATAATTTATACTAGTAACATAAAGTAATAGTAACAAATTTAGAATTAAATGCGTTAACAGTAAAAATGAGTAACAGAAATATATATTTATAGTAACAATAAAAGTACGGTAAGTATATATACAAGTAACATATGGTAATAGTAATGTATTTAGAATTAAATAGTAACAGAAAAATAGTAATAGTAACATAAAAATAAACATAAAAACATCAAAATTGTAACTTTTATTAATAAAAGTAACAAAATTATAAAAAAAAAAATTTTACAATCTATTACTAGTGTGTTACCGTTACTATTTCTTCTGTTACTATATTTGATTCTAAATACGTTACAAATTATCATATGTTACTTATATACTTACTGTACTTTTATTGTTACTATAAGTATTGCTGTTACTTTTTTTTGTTATCGCATTATTCTCAATTTTTTACTATTATTTTATGTTACTAATATAAATTACTATATATTTAATATTTTTTTCACTACAATCCGAACTATATAGTCTCGTTATTATACACACTATACAATGTTTATTTTTTAAGTTCTAATTTAAATGCACTCTATATCATAAATTTTAATACATACAGATTTCACGAAAGATTGGATATTGAACATTGTTTTTTTTCAGTAGAAAAAAAAATTAGGGGTTAAAAATGTGTTATATGTTTAGGGTGATAATAGTTGGTTTAGAATTAGCCGCATCTAAATGGGATGCACGTATATTGTAGATAAGTATCGGGAGTTTGGCTATTTGAAAAAAATGCTACACCTGCTTTTATACCTGCAACCAAAGGGCCTATAGTTTTTACGCAGATTCATTGGTTTTTTTCCTTATATATATATATATATATATATATATATATATATATAATCCGCCTCGTTCACAATGCATAATGGCACGCGACAAAAAATTTTTTTTCTTTTTTTTTTTAAAGAATCTATGAATTTCATTTTATTCGATAAAAATTTGTTATGAAATTAATTTAGAAATAACAAAATTTATATTTCGTTAATTACAACAAAACTTAAAAAAAAAAATAATTGTTAAAATTAAAATTAAAAAAAATTTAAATTCAGTTAACAAAATTGTTAACCAAATTTAAATTTTGTCAATTATAAATTATTTCACAAAACAGAAATTAGTTACAAAAAAAAAAAATTCTAATACTTTTTTTTAAAAATTATTAATGAAGGATATTTACTTACCCGTGTGAGGCATCTCGTTTGAAACAGAAAGCCTTTCTGTAAACAAAAATTAAATTTTTTATAATTAAAAATTTATTTTAAAAATTCCTCTGTAGGTATATTTTTTAATTAAAAAATTTTAAAATACTACAATTATAAAATAACATTAAAATAATAGTAATAATAATAATAATAATAATAATAATAATAATAATAATAATAATAATAATAATAATAATAATAATAATAATAGTAATAAAAAAACTAATAATGACAGTAATAAGTATAAAATACTATTAAAAATTAAAAAAAAAATTTTTTTTATTTCAATTTGAGTGAATATATATGTATATTGTTCAGTGTAAAACGTAAATTTAGGCGTAACGCCCTTAAATCCGCGCACATAATTAATTTAAATTTATTCAAAGGGCGAGTTGTTATAGTGACTGACGACCCTTAAATATGCGACCACACTGATAAGCACTAAAGGTTAGTCAAAGGTAATACGACATACAACCGTGACTTTTACTTTTTCAAAAAAAAAAAAAAAATAGAAAAAACTAATTATAATCCTCAAAAGAGTATAGTAGTTTAGGAAATTTTACATTTTTTTTTTCTTGATACAAAAACTACAAATTTAGACTATTTTTTTAAAAGATTTTTTATTCTGTAATCATATAAAAAAGTTACATCTTGAAACATAACCTCAAAATTACGACAAAGTTTTGGATTAAGAAATGAACATAACCTCAAAATTAAAATTTGTTAACTATATAAGACCTAAGGGGCTTAATTATTAATCAATTACTAGGTAATTCACTATTAATGATTAATTAATTATTAATTATAATTGACTATTAATTATGAATTAATTACTAAATAATTTTCTATAAATAGGCGCCTAAGCAGTATAAAATCTCCAATAGTAAATCTTTAAGCTTTTACATGAGAGAGAAAAGGATAGAGAAATATCTTTTGTCTTTTTCTCTCTCATCTAAAGGCTTAAAATTTGTGATTAGAGATTTTATTTTCTCCTTAGGTCTAATACTAAATACTAGAGCAGGGTGCGGTAGTTGACCGAGAATCATGATAAATAACGAGTAGAAATTTTGACGAATGAGGACAATGAAAACCAACCAATTTTGACTAGAGCATGCTGCGGTAGGTATAAGAAGAAAAAGAAAAAATTCAATGAGTGAGATTACTTTCATAATGAATTCAGTGGCTGAAAGCAAGTGTTTTATACTAGATAATGAATAATTTGGGAAAATACATAAGGGTAATGAAGAAATTCCTTGATTAGTGTCGTATTGGATTCAGTGGCTGAAAGCAAGTGTTTCATACTAGATAATGAATAATTGGAGAAAATTAATACATAAGGGAAAAGGGAAACATTTCAAAATTGTTCATAGTTAAAATATAACCTCAAAATATGACATTAGAAAATAATAATAATAATAATGAAATTATAATTTATCCCCCCCCTTTCCCCTCTTCCGCAGAGTGAGATATTTGTGGCAGGTAATATAAAAGCAATAAAGTATATAAGAAAGGCGACAAATAGTGAGAAATTGGCGTAGTTAGAAAAGTCAGAGCGGAAAAAGTACGAGGAAGGAGTGCGTATAGCGTGGCGCGCGATAGCGTAGCGTGTACTTTGTGATGCAAATTAATGCACGATTACCAATGTTCCCTTTACCCCGCATGACCCATTCTCCCCCCCCTCTCTCCCTCTCTCTCTCTCTCTCTCTCTCTCATTCGACCTTTTTTCCATAGTCTCAAAATGTTTGACCGCAACAATATATATATACAGGGCGTCTAAGTAGCCGCATTTATGGACATATTTCCTTTACGTGTGTTTCGTATATTACAAATATCATGCGCATGAAACAGGAGAAAATATATGTTAAGAAAAAAAAAATAATATATAGAGGGTATACATAACTTTAACACGATTGCTATATACCCTTGCATTAAGGCTGCGCTTACACGCTCATATATATATATATATATATATACAGTATATATAAGTGGGGGTGCCCCTTTATATATAATCTGATTTAATTATTACGCATTATAAACTTTTCAGTCAAAACACTATTTTGCATTTGTGTTTCGTTGAAATTCATTCATATTCCGCCTCCTCTCTCTCCCTTCCTATTTTTTTTCTCTCTTTCTTACACTTGTATATATATATATATAGTATTGTCTTATTTCTCTTGTGCATTATTTTAACGACATTGTGAACAACTTCAGAAATCTACATCAACAGAGTCACGTGATTGCGTTTGTCTAATTAATTTAATTAATGGTTTAATAATCCCGAGTATAAAGATATAGAAGGGAATGAAAAATTTACATTTTTTGCTGTATATTATCATTTTTTATATATCACACGGGATTATAAATATAATACGATGTTTTTGATAACCGTATTAGGTTGTGTTTACATGACTGCGCGTTAAGTAATTTTTCTTTTTTTTTTGTTTCACATCTTAAAATTAAAATAATATTAACATCCAATTGCATATACTGTCCTTCCGGTTTGGTTTCCACTCGCCATTTGTCACCTACCGCACCCTGGTCTAGTGAAAATTTAGTGACTTTGTAGTAAATGTTAATTTTAACTATAAAGTCACTACATTGGTTGGTTTCTATTGTTCCCACTCGTCATTTGTCATAATTCTCGTCAACTACCGCGCCCTGCTCTAGTGACAATTTATTAACTTTTTTTTTGTCGAGTGGGGACAATGGAAACCAACCAATGTAGTGACTTTATAGTTAAAATTGACATTTACTACAAAGTAACTAAATTTTCACTAGACCAGAGTGCGGTAGGTGACGAGAATTATGACAAATGACGAGTGGAAACAATAGCAACCTACCTTGCCATATAAATGTTGTCCTTCCGGTTTGACGGCATTTTTAAAAGTCGTGACTCTTTTATAATAAGTTAATTAGTCTATGGCATTGTTTACATCATACGCTATAGACTCATAAAATTGTTATAGAAGGGTCACGATTTTTCAAAATGTCGCCAAACCGGAAGGACAGTATTTATATGCCAAGGAAGGTTGCTATTGTTCCCCCTCGTCATTTGTTATAATTCTCGTCACCTACCGCATCCTGCAAAATTTAGTAACTTTATAGTAACTTTTAATTTTAATAATAGTCACTAAATTTTTACTAAAGCAGGGTGCGGTAGTTGACGAGAATTATGACAAATGACGAGTAGGAATTTTGGCGAGTGGGGACAATGGAAACCAACTTAAAATCTAGTAACATTCTAGTTAAAATTAAAAGTTACTATAAAGTCACTAAATTTTTACTAAAGCGGGGTGCGGCAGTTAATCGAGAATTATAGTAAATAGGGGTTGGTTTCCATTGTCGCCACTTGTCATTATTCTCGTCAACTACCGCACCTTGCTTTAGTGAAAATTTAGTGACTTTATTGTTAAAATTAAAAGTTACTATAAAGTTACTAAATTTTCACTAGAGAAGGATGCAGTAGTTGCCGAGAATTATGACAAATGGAGAATGGGGATTTTGGCGAGTGAGGACAATAGAAACCAACTAATTTTGACTAGAGCAGGGTGCGGTAGGTATAAGGAGAAAAAGAATAAATTCAATGAGTGAGATTACTGTCTTAATGGATTCAGTGGCTGAAAGCAAGTGTTTCATACTAGATAATGAATAATTTGGGAAAATACATAAGGGTAATGAAGAAGAAATTCGTGGAGTGTAATTATAGTGTCGTTTTGGATCCAGTGGCTGAGAGCAAGTGTTTCATACTAGATAATAAATAATCAATAATCGAAGGATCGTAAAAAGCATATCCCAAGGACCTTTACCTACGAAGTTTAAAGCTTGACGATAATTCCTTATAGTATACGGAAAAAAATGTTTTTCTACAACAGCGATATGTTTCTCTAGAATTGCGAAAACTTTCTCCGCATTTTATAGTAAAACATATATCGCTGTACCAGTGAAACCTTTTTGCTGTTACAGGTAAATATTTTTTTTTCCGTGTATAAGGATTAACCTAACCTATAGTGTGTGGTTTTTAATAGGTCTACCAGAACAAGATTTTCCACTTCCCTCGTAAAATAAATAATAATAATAGAATATGCATAATTTAATACAAACAAAACAAAATTTTAATATCAATATATTACTCCTATGTCGCATATTTTTTTTTTAATCTTCGTATACCGAAAAAAAACCTCATTCGTCGCGGTTATTACTCATTAATTTATTCATAATTCAGTTTCGTAGTATCTCTTTCTCGCCGCTATAATTTTTAAATTTATAACTTGACGGAAAGATTTTTACGCGATCATAGCGAATCGGAAGTCTCGATATTTCCTAATCTTTTTTTTTAAAAAAAAAATTATTTATATTCTCGAAATTCTAGAAAAAAAAAATTTATTATTAATAAATACGCGGAAGGTTAAAAATAAGCACGGATTTAAAATATTTAAAATTATTAAAATTTCTAACAATTTGCAAATAATTTACAATGATTTTTAAAAAATATTGTCACCGAATAATTATATATTGACCCAATTTCAAAAATTGTAACGTGAATTTAATACATATAGTATATGTGTAACGTGAAACTTGATCCAAGAAACACGTGTGTGTGTGTGTGTTGACTTTGGCAAAACCAATGGATCGCAAACAATGTGGTGATCGCTCGTTGTCGTTCAAAATGACAAAGTCAGTTTGATTTATAATAATCGCTCAATCCTCGCCATCGTTATATCGCGTTTCTCTCGCGCTTTAATCGGAGTAGCTGATGAGAGAACGCTCAATTGTGTATGTGATCAAAAAATTTTCTTTGTGTATGTATGTTTGTGTGCAAGCCCGTAACCTATATAGTTCTCTTGATTCGATAGCGAGAAGCGCGCGACGGATCGGAAAAAGTTCAAAAACAAGTCGCGGAATGACAACGTTGCAAAATACAAACTTGATGATGAGAGACTACTTTTAAAATTCTGTGTAATTTAGTAATTTTCGTTTGCGACGTGAGATGACGATCAATTGATATATATATATAT